TGTAGAGGGGTTTGCGGAACGGAATAATGAAGGAAAAGGAACTGGCGTATGACTTGCAAGGGATGGTGATTGTCATTTATAGGAGACCTGTAGAAGGTGCCTTGAGCGCGCGCGAAGGAAATCGCTAGTTTGAGGGTCTCGAGAGTTAGTATTGTAGGACCAAGGCTTTGGAGAGAGGCCTTGGCCGTTACAGGGGGGGGATTTGAGGGATCATCGAGAGCTTTCATGGAGATGGAGTAGCTTAGTGAGACTGATATTTACGTTCCATGAGTTCTGCAAGCCTCAGACGATGGGCGGGTAAGTGAGAGAAGGGTGTTTTATTGTACAAGAAGTTCAGAAGAGGACCTCCCCGGAGCAACGAACCATCATCTCACAGGTCTTATACAAAGCACACAACGAATCATGATAGCATATACCAGGACGCCACAGCTCCAGAGCAACGTACTTCCTCCTCGACCGACCCCACAGAGAGCTGCAGGCAGATTAAAAAACGCCAAGTGTCTGTAAAACAGTCGCGACCATGAGACCAATAGCGAGACCCAATATCTCTACACCTACGTTGGATGTGACGCCATTACTTGGGATCATTATTGTTTGGTTTGCAATGTTAGCTATACCATGACTCGGTGTGCCGGAGAGTTGCTTTCCTATCATTCTGGTCCATCGTCCGTACCTATTTCCAATTGGGTAGTATTGGCATGTGATGGACCAAATTGCTGAAGTTGAGATATTGGAAATGCCCTGAGCTAATTTGAAGATCTGTCAGCATGAATCCCTCGAGCGGACGGACGTTGAGCTAGACTTGACATACTACAAAGTTGTCTAGCGCACCCAATTGTGGTCGTATCGGCCCAAACGACCCGTGCGAATTCGTACATAGAGCGACGAACGTAAATGTAATCGTAATTTATTCTCGTGAGTCCCAAGCCATCAACAAAGTCGTCTACTGTTTTATCACCATACCTATGGTTCTCTCCATATCCACCTATGGGGCCCCAGTGTTCTCGAGAATTGTCGTCTATGTTGGCGTAGCTTGTCTGAGTGTAAATGTCAGCTTTTTATCTCCAACGATGTCTCACAATACTTAGTTTATGGGCAACGATGAGTGTCTTACCGAAAAACCATTAGCACACTTGGCTACCCATTCCTGACTTGCACTCTCCAGAGTATCGTTCCATTTTAGAGCGGGAGAACCGTGCTGAGCTCGATACCACTGCATGTTTTGGAAATCAGCGATGCTTGATTTAAAAAGATGTGAAGCCCCATCACACCCGGATGTCAAAAGGCAACACTGAAGAACTCTGAGCCATGTGAGGAAGGGTCCAAGAAGTCTTACATTGTGGTCAATGAGGACTTGATCCTTGAATTGGGTGTCATCCACGAGGCTGGGATCGTAGGACACGGGAGATTCTTCTGGTACCTGGACTATAGCATGTATACCTGTGATGGATTCTTCAACTGCCTCTGCGTTGGCCATGGGCCCGACGGCATAGAGGCTGATGGCGAATTTGAGGAAGGATCTGGCAACCTTGTAGGTTGGCATGTTGACGATGAGAGAGATTGGTCAATATTGATGCTTCCTGTGATGATTGAAGATGCCGAAGCAATAATGAACAAAGGTTATGATGATTCAAGCAATAATGTTCCACGGTAGATGAGGAACGGCTGGATGATGAAGTTCGGTGGAGGCGGCAGGTCAAGGAGCGAGATGAAGGCTTTGTATGATGTAGACCAGGTCTCCAAGGAAGGTGCGAGTTGGATGCCTTCTACCCCAAGTGGTTGAGACTAACTTACATCGACAAAACTAAAAGAAATAGAATAACAAGAGTCGTGAAATCGGCGCAAACAAAAGCTCGTCCAAAGCATTGCACCACATAAATATGGGGGTTTCGTTATTGAAGTCACCGTGAGATATAAAGTAGCTGCTATTAACACTTCTATATCGTCTTAGAAGACACATCCTTGGAAGAAACAAGTACCTAACTTGAACATAAAATGCTCGCACGCTCCTGCCAACTTTTTCTTTTCACCCAAGTGAGTTGAACGGCAGTTGAATATTGCCGGATGCCCAAAGGACTGAACGGAAGAAAACACGATATGTACTCAAGACACCAACGAGACTTCGTTATATAAATTCTCAGCACATGACACCCTAATAAGTTTCAAAGCTTTCAGAACCTGCGCAAAAAGGAGAGGCATGGAATCCAAGTTTCTTTTACCGGTTATGGCGGGAAGCTGTGAGCATTCCATTTTCCACCAAAGAAAGACTCGTCCGTCCCTTGTCTCGTGGGCTAATGAAAGCTAAGATCTTGCAGGAGGGTGAGGCGTGCGTGATGATGGTGATGCCGAGCTTAGAGTACAGGTAGATCCCATCCCCATCACTCTAGTGGGGCTCGGCAGCATGCTGGAGAGCCACTACATAAAAGACTTCGTTTTCCACGGGCTGGCTGCATTTCAGTCTTGAATAATTTCCTGACAGAGTGTGAAAACTCTCGCCAAATGCAAATATGCACGTTGCGCTTCCGTCAGCTGGGGTGTGAGCTGGCGGGCAGCTCTCAGCGTGGTTATTGGCCCTCTTGTGACAGCAGCGGCTCGATGAGTTGCACCAATTTGGGGTTCTGCATTTTTCAATTCAATGAACCACCAACATCGAATCAAATGTATCCCCTGCAAGAGACAACTTTCAAGCCTTGAAACAATGTCGGAAAGAATCTGAGCATACTTCGGAAGCATAGGAGATTGTCAACTTTAATGATTTATCTCAAGAGAAGAGCCTCGGTCCTGCCACGTGCTCTGGCAAATTGTTGTGCGAGGTGGGATTCGCGAACACGGCGTGTCCAAGGCAGAAGCAGCAGCTTACTGAATAATAATACAGGGAGGTTAAAAACTGAACGAACTTGAAAGGCTTGAAGACAGGATGCTGATGAGTTGACAGCTTCGGTACAGTATGCAGTCCAATGTGAAGGCATGTTTCTTGAATATACTTGAGCGACCAGGTCAACTCATGCTGTTCTACCATCTTTATCGAGACACCCGGCTGGAGGCACCATTCTGAAACGTTGCTATCATCACCGGCTTGTCATACAGGACGGGGAATTTTGGCTTTTTACACAAAGTCCTAGACACTGAAACATGCGTCAGGCCTCCTTATCCGTACCTACATACCCAGTGTCACAATTCCAGATATCAGCGCAAGGATTAAAGGAGCAGATATGGAAATCTCGGAAATCCGGTCTTGCCGATTTTCTGCATCACTATGCTGTGCTGTCCGGATCATTGTTTGAAGTTTCGTACCTTGCATCCTGTTCCCGCGTTACACTACATTTCCTGTATCTGGGAATTCAAAGCGCTCCCATTCTCGATAGGCAAAGCAGCTCTATGACATGTTCCAAGCCGTGCGGGACTTTAAGAATCTACCCAGGAGGAAGGGTGCTGCTTTTCGTGTACACCGATGCTCATAGCACCGTGGGAATTTATAGTAAGCTCTTGCTTCTGCAAAGCCGTGTCAGCATTATTAATACTTGCTTGCTTCCCTCTGAATTCAATGCGTGCTTTCAAGGCATCTTTTCCGGTATCTCATTATATTCTTTGTGATTCTAGGAATCGCCTTCATTTATTTAAGTGCAGGACTAATTTAAACTATTGGTGTGATTTGAACCACTTACAAGCCATATCGAACTCACACAAACTGAGAGATTGAATCTGTCTTCATCCCTGAACAGTCTGTGAATTCTGCATTCTTTTGCCCATCTGTTGGCGGTCACCCTTTTAGCTCGCTTACGGATTATATTGCTATATATTGCTGAGGAACACTTCCAAATTCAAACACAACACCATTTTGGAATCCAAGATCGACAATATCCATCACCTTGAAAACCTTCCTTGGAAACACGTCTCCCATCAAGACACAATTTGATAGGCCTCGACAATGCGTCAACCAACAATTACCCAGCTGATCATGGCCTTCACACTCGCTACTACCGCATCGGCATTCTTTCGCCTTCCTTGCAAATCTCCCTTGGTTGTTGAGCGCGCTGATCCCGTTATCAGCCCTGGTAAGATCTCGGGGCATGTTCATTCTATCATGGGAGGCAATGGCTTTGGGTACGTCGACCTTCCAATGAGATGCGAGCTCTTGGCTTGTCTCGATCGAGGGCTCAGAGAAAGTTCCAGCAAATGACCCTACTAATTCACTGGACAGATTTGAGATGGACTATGCCTCTACCCAGTTGTCGACGTAGGTTTACCACTTTCTAGCATGTCCCAAAAGCCTACGCGCAGTTAGTTTTTAGAATGCCTCGTGGCATCTGGATCATTACTAGACATTTGAAGCTGACACCCTTTCTCCGCAGCTGTTCTTCTTGCACTGTCACTCAGGACATGTCAAACTATTGGGTTCCGGTGAATAAGCTCCTTCTCGATCTTGAAATCATGCTATAGTGGTGAATACTAACATCAACTTTAGACTCTTTACTACAAGGCGGAAAATGGCAGTTTCATCTCCGTAGGCCAAAATGGTGGTGCTACAATCTATTATCTGTAAGCTGCACTCATCCTGAGACCCCACAAACATTTTCTGATTGCCTGCAGGCAACGCTCGGATCCGACAGATGCAAACTACCCCCACATCGAGGCATTCCCTGAGGGATTTCGCATGGTGGCAGGCGATCCAATGCTTCGAAGCTACAGTGACACCAACGAGCAAAACGCCATCACTTTCGCCTGCCTCGGTACCAATACCCCTGAGACCAATGGATTTCCTAATATCAAATGCCCAGATGGCCTTCGTGTACAGGTTTTCTTCCCATCCTGCTGGAACGGGGTGGACCTCGATTCTGCCAATCACAAATCCCACATGGCTTATCCTTCTGGTAGTGATGTAAGTTGTCAATGGGTGGTTCATTGCCGACTAAGGCAGGCTGAGGGTATTTCGACTTGTTGACTACGGTTTACTCTTGAGTGTCCCGAGCCTCTCAGGTGTTCACCATCATCAGCCATGTCATCTAGGCAGTCTTAATGTTCTTAGCTATCTGAATGACTGTTGCTCCTTGACCTATTTCGAAACACTGCTAACAGTGGGACTTACAGCACGGTTCTTGCCCGGGTAACTTCACGCGTTTAGTCTCGATCTTCTACGAGGTAAGTCAACTTATTCGAGCAATACTTTTTATTCGGATGTCTTGAGAGCGGTTCGCTCATGACCTGAGAGTCGACGACTCCTAAAATATTGTCCCGACACGGAACCTTCTATAAACCCTCAGAATCTATCATGTTAAGCATTACTGACCACAAGCTCTTGTTCAGGTTATATGGAACACGCCGGACTTTGACGGTCTGTGGTACGGTGATTCGCAACCTTTCTTGCTTTCCAGCGGCGACCAAACTGGTTATGGGTACCATGGAGATTTTGTCAATGGGTAAGAATATAGCCCATGTTAGATGGATCATTTTAATAACTCTTTCAGATGGAACGTCTCGACTCTTCAAGCCGCAGTTGACAATTGCACCAATCTTAGTGGTGTTATCGAAGAATGCCCATACTTTGACTTCATCACGGACACCGCAGCTCAAGCTTGTGTTATTCCACCCTCGATTAATGAACAAGTATTTGGTGTTATGCCAAATCTACCGGGCTGTAATGTCGTTCAAAACGGCCCTGCTATATCTGAGGCCCAATCTAAATGCGAAGCACCTACCCAGATTGGACCCTTTCAGCTCCCATACGTAGACCTTACAAGTTCCAAGGGATTCGCCTATGTGGGATGTGGCAGCGATCCCGGGGGGCAGCCTCGTACCCTTCTGGGAGTCCAAGCCAATAATGCGACTGGAATGACAGTTGAATACTGCGTTGATTATTGCGTCAGTCGGGGTTTTAGCGTTGCCGGTAAGCATGTCACGAACCTCCACCTCGACAATGTAGAAAGTATATTACAGTTGGGAACCTTGACTAACTTTTGATCAGGTCTTGAATTCTCATCTCAGTGCTTCTGCGACAATTCGATCCCTGCCGATCGAGCACCAATTCCATCCCTTGTAAGCTGAATTCCTATATAAAAGGCCACATTTTCCATGTAAGCTTCGGAGCTGAGAGCTGTGCCAGGAGCCAATGTGTTCTGCAGTATGTGGGATCCTGGCTCCTGCGACAGCTACCGAACTCTTTAGCTATCTAGACTGATCCAATTGTTTATCATACTAATGCGCTAAATAGGTGGGAAATTGTGCTATGCCATGCTCCGGGGATAGTAAAGAGGTTTGCGGTGGTGCTTCCTTGATCTCTCTTTACCAGAAGTGCAAAGGCAATGGCTCTCCCTGTGAAAATATTCACTTGCCAATAATCAACGGCTCTATGTCTACAGGTTCGACTAGCAAATCGCCAGTACATCTTCAGGGGTTATCATCTTCAGCGGAACCATCTTCTTCAGCACTCACAAGTGCCACATCCTCGTCTAGCGTCTTACCAACTGAAGAATCGACACCGGCTACCTCTTCACCCTTCTCGACGACCTCGGCTGAGACGACTCCTTTGGTGGCTACTAGTACTCTACTGACCACGACTTCGATCTCGAGTGCCGGTTATGATGTTGATACTAATGGCCAGAGCCCCAGTTCCACATACCATAATCACCATCACACCCATAGCCACCGTGCTCGTGTTGGTATTCAAGGTTATCCCACAGCTGTAACGGCTTAGAAAACCGCCACAGTTTCTGCATTCCTGGTATGACATACTCCACCGACTTTCTACAAATTTGCATTCTCAAAACAACTGCTGCATTTGGTATAATTTGGAATATTCAGTATCCTGGCCTTGGTGGAACGACAATGATGTGGCCCGATAGACGAAAGAGTTCCCTTCTTGTATTTTTATTTGGAAAGAGGTTGATTTTGGGACAGATTTTCTGATCCTTGTGGTGGTCGCCTCATCTTGGTGTCATCTTTCTAGCTGGTGCATCTTATATGCCAGTTTTTACATACTGATCCCTAGATTAAAGACTCGAGAGACGCAAGACGCAAAACAATGCATTACTGACCCTAAACTTGACTGTGCACTGCTTGTGATACCGATGATATTGTAGGAGATGACGATATACTGTGAAAGAAATCTCGCAACTAACCCCAGGTCTATTCACAGAGATTTATGTTGCGTGAAAGCTTAGAGACAAACGGAATTATGACTTTTTGTGAGAAACTATCTCAATTTCATGAGAACTTGAACTTGAACTTGAACTAGATATGTCTCCTCTGTGTTGAAAGGAGTCTTTGAATTGCATGAAGCTCAAGGTTTCATGTGTTTCAAAAAGCGACATGTCAAGAGAAGACAAGACATGTCACGTAATAGAAGGTGGAAGAATATTCCACAAGACCAAAAGCACAGAGATTACTTCGTAGGGTTAAAGAAATATAGGGATTAAGTTCAGATCCTCTAGCAGTATAGTACAAAAGTTTAACGTGATGAAGTGAAGTGAAGTGAGGTGATGGTGATGAAGTCCAAGGCCCCGGCCCCACACGACCACGACTCGCAGCCGGCAAATTCGTCAGCCTTGTCAAGCAAGCGACAAGCTGTCCTCTTCTGCCCAAAAAGTAAATCCCACCAGCTGGACTCGAGTCACGACAACAAGCCTTCTCGGGCACAGCACATATCTTTTCTCCTTCGGCGCGTTCGCTCTTGTTGCCCTTGGGATTCATGTAAAAAGAAGACCGGGAAAGCGAAGGATACGCGATGAACGGCTTCGCCGACCATGGCCTGGACGAGGATGCCTTTGGGGAGAAAGGCGGCAGCAGTATCGTCAAGGCTTTCGATGCATTCCGTAAGTCATGTCCTGCTCTGCTCTGCTCTAATATACCAATCCATCAATCAATTGCTCTATTATCTTACTAACGGGGTTTCCTCTCCAGCAAAGGCGAAACCGCAGTACATAACGAAAACCTCTGGCGGTGGGAAATGGACCGTCGCCATGCTCGCCATCTCCTTTTTCCTCATTACCAGCGAGTTCACGCGCTGGTGGCGCGGGTACGAGAACCACACAGTCGCGGTGGAAAAGGGAGTCGGGCACAACCTGCAGATTAATCTAGATATCGTGCTCAAGATGGCGTGCAAGGATATCCACATCAACGTGCAGGATGCGGCCGGGGACCGGATTCTGGCCGGGGATATGCTGAAGCGGGATGCGACGAACTGGGCGCAGTGGGTGGACTCGAAGGGCATGCATAGTCTGGGGAAGGATGCGCAAGGCAGGGTGATTACTGGGGAGGGGTATCATGAGCGCGAGGAGGGGTTTGGGGAGGAGCACGTGCATGATATCGTTGCTGCTGCTTCGGGGGGGCGGCGGGCCAAGTTTGGCAAGACGCCTAGGTTGAGGAATGGCCCGGCTGGAGGGGATAGCTGCCGCATGTTTGGGAGTTTGGATGTGAACAAGGTGCAGGGTGATTTCCATATTACTGCTAGAGGACACGGCTACCAGGAATGGGGAGCGGAGCATTTGGATCATAATGGTATGTTGACCCCCCTTTTGGCGGGTTGCGGGTGGTGATTTACTGTACTGATGCTGGGATAGTGTTCAATTTCTCTCATATTGTCTCGGAGCTCTCTTTCGGAGCTTTCTACCCATCCCTCCTTAACCCCCTCGACCGCACCATCTCAGCGACTCCCAACCATTTCCACAAGTTCCAATACTTCCTCTCCGTCGTACCAACTGTCTATACCGTCGACGGTGCAACGCCCTATTCCGGGCATACTATCTTCACCAACCAGTATGCTGTCACTGAGCAATCGCATATGGTTGGGGAACGTCAAGTGCCAGGCATTTTCTTCAAGTACGATATTGAGCCTATGCTTCTTACGGTGGAGGAGAGCAGGGATTCATTCTTGCGGTTTATGGTGAAGGTGATAAATGTGTTTAGTGGGGTCATCGTAGCTGGCCATTGGGGTTTTACCTTGACCGATTGGGCGATACAGGTTCTTGGAAAACGGAGGAGGCAGATGAGTGAGGGCGTCCTAACTGGGAAAGCACATGAAAATTACGACTGATTTGTATATATCGAAATATCCTTTTTTTTTTTTTTGCACAACTTCATATCCATGTAAACATATGTTCTGCTATTGATTCCACTGAAAAGAAAAAGACTAAAAGACAGCAAGTGAGAGATCTACTAATAATTTTGGCTTCCATGATTAAAAGCAACCGGTTGTGTTGCAAGTATTACGTATTACTACCCAACTCCATGCACAAATATACAGTTTGCACTCATTTGCTCTAGTTCTTCTTGGTGAGCCCAATACCCAACCCGACACCGAGAGCGATAGCAAGAATAATAAGAACCACAATCAATAAGCAGTACCACTTGTTACGGCGTCTGCGTCTAGCATGCTCGTTTGCCTTGTCAATTTGGGTGTTGGCTTGGTTGACATGGTCAGCAGTCTTGATGGCATTCTCCTCGGTGTGCTCGATCACTGGCTCCTGAGCTTCCACGATCTGAGCCATATCCGCGAACATGGCCGCAAGATCAGTGAGAGTAGCCTCAATCCGTTGGAGCTCATTGTGACGGGCGCGAACTGCACCGAGCACCGATGAAGCTTGGCCTGATCGGTTGCTCTTAAGCTGTGCATTTGTCAGGTCATCGTCGAATCTTACTCATGATTTTGAAAACTTACAGCAGTCTGGAAAACACCTTCCGAGCCCCAATCCAACTGTGAAGCCTCGGCGACCTCAGATTCCGTTGCCTCGGGATTCACAATACGGTACTGTCTGGCGATTTGGTCCCTGTAGCGCTGTCTGTAGGTCACCTCCTCATTCTGGTACTCCTTCAGGGCGTTCTCAAACTCCGTCTTCAGAGACCTCGCCTGTCTCGACTTCACACTCTTACTTCCATCCTGCGTCTTCAGCAAATCGCCCTCCAAGAACTTGATCTGGTCGCGGATTTGCGTGTTCTTCAACTGGGTCTGCGTGACGAGGTTCTCGAGCTGGGAAGATGAGCTGCTGTCGGGCGACGAGAGCGCTCGCTGATGCAGCGTTGTGATTTCCGAGATATTGGAGGTGAGGTTCCGGATCTCGGCTTTGGCATTGTCGACGCGCGCGAGGAAGTCCTGCTGCGATAAAACGTAGGATGTAGACGCTGGCGTCGCGGGTGTGGCACTGGAGTAATTCGATGTAGTGGTCAACTCGTGCTGGAGACCGCCTTGCCCTTGACCTTGACTGAGATATCCCTACGCAGAAAAATCGTATGTTAGTGACATTTTCGTTCAATTTCCATCCTTCATTTGCGGGAGAGGGGAAGCTTACAGGGTTACCTTGGGCAGCTTCTGCATCAGGTCCATTATTATATGGATTCCCGCCGTATTGGGAGTACTGTGTGTAGGACATGTTGTCAGTTTGGATTGACGTGCGATTGAATCCGAAGGATTGTTGTGGTCGTGATTATATGGGCGTTCGGATGACGTTCCAGCGGCGCAAAGCTGACTAGAAAAAGGGCTAAATGGGATTGCCGGAACAAAGAAAGAAATACTAAGCCGTTCGATAGATGGCTATGTGATCAAGGAGTACTTGGCATACAGTTGTCGCATAAACAACCATGAATGGGAATAGAATGCTCTTTGCGACGTAAAGACAGATCGGTAGGGTAGAGTAGAGTAGGTAGGAGTAGGTCGTCGATGGAGCTCAACGGTTGGACCACTTATTTAGGATTACCACCTACCTCTAGGTTGCTTAGCCTGGTGCCTTAATCTTAATCAGCGCACGCGTGCTACAGTATGTGAATCGCCGCAGCCCTACCCCGACTTTCCGAGCTGTCGCAAACCTCAACATCCATCTGCATTCTATTCCAGTACGAGTAAATCATTGGAAAACAGTTGGAGGGTGGCAATGCCACTATTCGCAATTGCCGTGTCATTGCGGCTCAAGAGATCTCCCGTGGTGACGCGGAAACAGAGGCTTGTGGTGTCGCAGCTTCAATCCCTGACCGTGATCGTCCCGATCACATGATGTCTAGTTCATTTCCGAGGGTTTGTTCCTCATTCCTCATCCTCGTTCCTTGAGAAGTCGGGACTCTGTTGATTGGATTCGTTGTCTTTTAGATACAGACATATCAATGCAAGGCTTCATGACACAAGCAAGGTAAGAGCTGTGATGACAACAATCTTATAGTCACGTGGTCTTGCTATTTCGAGTTCAAATTGACTACAAATTATATTAGAAAGCGCACATATATGTAACGCTGATGCTAATGCTAATTCTCATCTCTCATCAAGTAAAACAATATGAAATGGGTTGTGAGTGTTGCGTCCCCTAAATCGTCTCCATGCAAAAACAATAACAAGAACTGAAGGCATCAAACATTAGTACAAAAAAAAGCACCAATCATCACATCATCAAAAGAAAGGCCGTCCTCCAGGTTCCCGGGTCGAAGAGTTGAGGCTGTTGCGAAACCTTCTACACTCCAGAATCTTCCTGGGGAAAGGCCTCATTAGGTGTATACGTGTTCCAGGCGCTGCAAGTGTCATCAAACGTGTTCGTATCCGTCATCGTGACGGCAATCTCGGATTGCCTCTCCACAAACTGCATGGCAAAGCCTTCAGATGCGTGCCATGCGATGTGGCAATGCATAAGCCAAGAGCCTGGATTATCCTTCTTGAATGCAATAGCGAGGTAACCATTACCTGGCAGAGACGCGACTGCGAAGAGCGGGAAGTCAGCAAACGATATGGGGGATGTGGGACATTCTTCCGAAAGATGGAAGCTTGGGATCTCGTGTAAACTTACCATCACGGCGCGGTGGATTGTCAAGGTTCCAGCTGACGGTATTAATATCGAAAGTAGCAGTCTCTTGCGCAATAATCCAGAAATCGTGTCCGTGCAAGTGGATTGGATGGGTAATTCTGCACAGTTGGTTAGATTGCTGCTAGAAAGAGAGGGAGACGTGGGCTACTTACCCGAATCCGGTATCATCTTCGATCACCCAAACTGTCCACACATCACTGGTAGAGGTCGCCTAGGATCATGTCAGTTTAAAATACATCATCAAAGTGGCTGGGACATTTACATTGAGAGCCTCGACATTATAGTCCGAGGGCCAGATGGTCTCATTATTGAAGATTTTGAGAGTCGTTGGATCTGTCCAGTTGAGCTCCAGAGAGCTGCTGTTTAGTGTCCAGCGGAAGTAGTCGGGGACTGCGAAACTGAGTTCTTCCTGGTTTACACTAGAGAAGTTTCCAACGTCCATAGAGAGATGAGGAACGAGGCTGGCTGCAGGCACATCTCCACAGCTGGTGCTCGCGGTTACGGTGCTGTTGGTTGTTGGGTCTGCGGTGCTGGTGGAATCGTATCTGATGATTCCCGTCATGTTATCTGGATCGTCATTGGTTGAGCATGTCGATACCCACCCTGCTCGAAGCCAGTAATCTCCGGAGGCAGCTGCAAGTTTACTGGGTCAGCAATGCTTGGTCAAGAAGGATCCGAGGTCTAGAGATGTTGCATCTGAGGATTACTAGGATATCAAAAGGAGAAACTTACCACTGGCTTCTACCACGATATCATATCTTTGTCCAATACTGACGAGTAAACTATCAGTTACAAACGGAACAATTGGGACTAGGTCATTTCCCATGACTGTGAAGTTATGGCCGTCAATTGAGAATTGGAAATGACCATCCACAGCACTGTTGATAACTCTGAAGCGATACTTTTTTCCAGCTTCGAATGTTGCCTGTGAATAGTGAGTTAGTTTTCTTCTTCCCAAAGTCGATTATTTGCAAATGACTCGAGACTCGTGGGACGTTCTGCAAAAACGGCCCCCACTACTCTATAGCCAGGGCGCAATAAATTATAAACAGAATGCCGGTTATCTTACCTCGAACTTCTTGCCTCCACCGACACAATTGGCGTCCGTGGAACTAGTGCAGTCGAAAGTGTTGGTACCGTTGATGAGACCAGTATCCAAAGATGGAGGTGCTCCCAACTTTGCGGAGTCCCACAACTTAGAAACTGGGGTATGGGACCAGTCTGAAAGGAACAATGCACCAAGGTCCTCGTCATAATCTGCAGTGGAAGGTCCATTGATGATGATGGGTCCAAGTAGACCATCTCCATATTGGAGACTGAAGTGAGAGTGGTACCACGTGCCTGTAAGTTCTCAGAATCAGCATGCATGGTTTATTGAGAAGTGTTTTGGATAGTAGGGGTTTTTGAACCCCGAATAAACTCACTTCCATATTGAGTAGCTTGAAATTTGTACGTCAAGGTGTCTCCAGGGGCAATGGGACATTGCGTTACACCTGGAACACCATCGTATTCAACTGATTTCAGCTGACGAATACCATGCCAATGAATGGCAGTGCCGTTGTATTCCAGATTGTTTGTTACGTGGATAACAAGGTTGTCTCCCCACTGTGTTGAAGTGTTAGCATTTGTTTCTCATACATATTTTTGGGATCAGAGGTGGGATTCGTTTTATGCCAGGAGCTACCTTGCACTTTATGTGCAGATCTTAACTTACATCGGCAATGATAGTAGGACCAGGCACAGTGCCGTTGAAAGTCAGAGCGAAACGCGAATACCCATCAGGTGATACAGTGGTATTCTCCACTGATAGGTAGTACTATTTTATAAGTTAGAAGAGCTTTCTCACTGTCCCACATTTTGTGGATTTGTTTTGCAATGTATATGAATTGGAGCTAGCATCAGGGTTTCATACCTCTCTCGTGACTCCAGTGCTAGGTGTCACCGAGTAGTAGTCCGTATCAGTTGAATAGTCTCCCCAGCAGCTTCTCGAGGTAGCTGAGTTCGTGCATGAAGCGCGAGAGACGAGGTCAGAAACGGAAGGAACCACTGCTGCTAAAGAATGGTGAGCAGCAAGTGCCGCAAAAAAGGTAACGAGTGTGGTCTTCATGTTAAAGATAGTCATGGCGATGCCAAGAAGAAGTGTTGATGAATAGAAGAGTTGCTAAGGTGCTTTGAGGATGTGAGAATATGAGGGGTTATTGTCCCTCTATATATAAGAATTTCAACCTCGTCCCACCATCTGATTTTGGAGGTTAGCCATGGTCTTCGTCGGTGCTCATGAAAAAGCCGTGCTTTCTCGCTGTATTTTTTGAGAGCGTTTCGCCGCTTGCAAGCGTCCCGTGTGGGAGCCTTGCAGGTGTATACGCGTTGCCTCGATAGTATTGACGGCCATGTCGCTGCATCTGAATGGGATTTCACGATGCAAAACGGATATCGCTTCCTCATACTACTTAGGCGCATCCTCTGGTGAACTAGACGCACGGTTAGAGCCGCAGCTGAGTTAACACTGTGTGGAGATATATCCTATTTGATCTCATTCGATAGATAAGATCCGTCCTGCATCATGGGGTCCTCAAGATCTTAGTACACGATGTATTTTTGATATAGGGCAGGGGGGTCTTGACACAAGCAGCCTCCTCTACCGAGATTATCATTTCCTAAAGTGGAACGATGCCATGAGGACTGTAAATGTACATACAGTATTATATTGAGTACCTGCATCTGCATGCACCCTCAAGGCTCAAGAGTATTTAGAAACATCACACTTCGGTCAGCGTAACGCTCAAGCACTCGAAAGGTTTTGATGTTTGCCAAATGTCCCAAAGCGCAGAGAAATGGCGTGTAGATGTTTCAAGCTGGGTTTCTTTTATGGATCCGGCAGTGATTCAAGCTTTTTGTCGCCTACCGGTATTCCTAACTGAGTTAAAGATGAACAATCTGTCAACGAAGAGCAGATTGGGGGTTTCTGCTTGGACTCGAACAAGGTATATTCGAGCCGGGATAGAACCTCTTCGTGGATCTCCCGCCGGGTGTAGGGGTTGGCCAGCAGCCCCTAACTCTAGGAATCGTTAGAGCACGGAGAATATGTAGATATCGATCATGAGTTCCTCCCACTACACTAATGATGTGCCAGGTTAGCAAAACTACGGAGATACAAGCCGCGTCCGAACCAATACGAAGGACCAAGGAAGAACGAGTACGCTGGTAAACAGCAGTACTCGTCGCCTACAAGTCTGACCTTGCATGGGTGCCCTAGCTGTTTTAGAAAAAGACCCCTTGAAGGCACGTGTTATCCTTGTAAGATATGGCCCTCGAAAGGATCGCAACACGAGGTGCATGCAAACTCCGAGTGGGCAGAAGAGATAAGGTTAAAGTTGTACTTTGTTGCTACGGAGGTAAAGTTTAGTACTGTACTTGATTCCTACCACTTTGACTAGATGATTGGTCTATCATGCTGCATTGGCTATTTGAACTTGGGAAGAACGTACAGTACTACTCGTATAAGCTCTGAGATGTTTTCCAGAGCGGCGGCCTGATATAACGAAGACTTCACGAAAAGCTTCACAACATTGAAGTTGTCGATGAGGATTACACGGACCACCAAATCAGGGGTAAGGATGTTATGCAGACCGCTTGAACGGATCGGATGTGTGCCTCAATCATGGGACAAGGATGGGTAGCGAAGCGAAGAAGCTGACGACGACAATCCACAAAGGTACGGGACGAAATGAAGGGAACAGTCTTGGCAGCGGACGAGCAAGGTCAAAGAGTGCATACCGAAGTAGGTTAGGCTCAGCTCTAATTATAGGATAGGAAGGAATCAAATAGGTAGTGCGAGCTTACTGTACTCCGATGGAGGACTGGACTCGGTGTCGGTGTCGGTGAATTGCATGCAGTATCTTGCAGTATCATGTAGTATGTCTGACAGGTGACAGGTGAGGATACCCATACTGGTACAGTAGTACAGAGGTGGTAGAGGCTCTTAGCAAGGATGGCATTGGTCTCATCCACTGCACACCACCCCACTCCTCCCCATCCCACGCCGCTCCCGCGGCTCGGATGCCGGAACGGGAGCTTGGTAGCTTAGGGCTTAGGCTGCGTGGATGGGCGGACCGTGAGATAGATGAGTGGACGGATTAATTCGAACCGGACCAGGGGGCGGAGTGGAATGGGACGGAACGGAACGAACAATATCGATAACAATATAGATATAGATATAGACATAATGAAAATAATAACAATATACGCTTCCGATACTCCGTATTGGAATGTACAAGCGCTGAAGTCTCCCTGCGATGTACTTCGTAAGCAAAGTGTGGGTGTTGCGTACCTCCATAGCCAATCCAATTAAGGGGCCTTGGCGGGGCCCAGCTCCTTATTGTAACCCACAACATGGGTCTTTGACACTTCAATGATATTTGACAGTAGCAGCACAACGACAAGTGGAAAGAGTTCTTTAATTTGAGACGAAGAATGATTTCCGGTCGGTCCCGAACCCCAGAGAGTGAGAGCTTGCTTGAAACTTGCGCCTTTCTTGACGTCGGGAGCAGTGCAGCGTGCCATTTGTCCGCTTTCTCTATTGCTGGCTTGGAGATAAAGCAAGGCAAGGGGATGCTCATGTGGTTATAAACACAAATCCGGAAGGAGGTTTCGACAAGTACGTACTTGCGAGGTTATTCTTATTCTTTTCGTTTGGTGATAGAGGGTGGGATGGTACGAAACTAAGAAGCGACAATAGAAGCAGCGGCGCCAACGCAAACGCCCTTGCGATCGATGATGGAATGTCGACCCCGCTCTTTAGACGTCGGCCATGATTCGGTCCTCATACCTATCTACCTTCTTCAATCAACAAACCCTCCAAAACCAAATCACGTAGAACGGATTTTGACCGTTATCACACACCGCCAAACACTCACATCCGATCCAAGCAGAGCCAGCCCAGAATGCCTCTTCTTGCGCAGAACCCGAAGCGTCGAGTAATCCTAGGTATAATCAGCCCCCACCAAAAACATCGCCCAAGCCTTCGAATTAGATTGGCCTAAGACCTCACACCGATTTCCAAGCACGTATTATCATGCTAACTCATCTTGGAAAGGTCTCATGACATTCGGAGAGGATGAAGCAGCCGGCGCGAGAATTACCTCTTTGGACGAATACAATAAAGCTCTCGACCATCTACAAGGGGCCGGGTACAATGAAGTTGACACTGCACGGGCTTATATTGGTGGAAAACAGGAAGCCTTCACTCGTAAAGCCCATTGGAAGGAGAGAGGTCTTACTTTGGCGGTATGTTTTGATCTCTGCGCCAAACGCCAAAAGAAGTATGTTAAATCAAGATTGCCTAGACCAAAGTCTATCCAAGCCAGCCTGGCACTCACAAACCAGATGTCCTCACTGCTGAGTTTGAGACAAGCTTGAAAGAGTTGGGCACAGATTGTGTCGATATCTTTTATCTTCATGCTCCTGTGGGTCCTCAAAATCTACCTTTGTGGCATCGCTCTAATGTATCCTTAGGATCGCTCGGTCCCCTTTACAGAAACCCTCGAGGCAGTCAACAAGCTTCATAAACAGCGAGTATTCCGCGCTTCATGAGAGATTCATAGCTAACTATATCTGTAGAGGGAAATTTGTTAAGCTTGGTCTTAGTAATTTCACTGCATTCGAGGTCGCAGAGGTTGTAATGCATTGCAAATACAACAACTGGGTTCGACCTACTATCTATCAGGGGATGTACAATGCGATCACTCGCAATATTGAACAAGAACTCATTCCAGCTTGCAAACGTTATGGATTGGATGTTGTGATCTACAACCCCATCGCAGGGGGTCTGTTCTCAGGCAAATACAAGACCAAGGACATTCCAGAAGAGGGTCGTTTCAGTGAGACTTCGAAGTCTGGTCAAAATTACCGCCAGAGATATTTCAGAGATGGCATGTTTGACGCTTTGGCTATCATTGAGCCAGTCGTTGAGAAGCATGGATTGAGAATGCCTGAGGTGGCGTTAAGATGGGTGGTGAATCACTCGGCATTGAATATCAAGGACGGCAATGATGGTGTAATTGTCGGGGTCAGGTAAGCAATTTGCGTTGCAGTTTCGATTTCTCCTGTCTCGGTGTCGGTGTCGAAAATTTCTACACTTCCCAAACTTTCCTATAGCGAGGAAGTTGTCACAACTTGAATTGCTCATGGATCTTGAGTACTTGTGTAACTCTGACTGCCTTTTTAATACATTTGACCCGAGATACCACATCAGCTAGCTAACGAGTCCTCTAGCTCGGTAGATCAACTTGACCAGAATTTGAAGGATCTTGAAAGCGGTCCTCTTCCCGAGGAAGTTGTAGAAGCATTAGACAAAGCTTGGAGCGTCAGCAAGGGCGATCAACCAAACTACTGGCATTTGGCATTGAAATATACTTATGATACACGAAAGGCTCTTTTCGGAGTATAAAGCTCTCAGATAAATGGGTCAGCTAGCCGCGGAGCAAGTAGCTTAAAACCTCAAATAACAAATAATTTATCAATGCTTTCTTTTATTTGAACAATGGAACTGAGTTTACCGTAACATCTCCAAGAGGTGCGACCCCGCTGTTGCCCCTTTAGTGGGGCTGTGATGAGTAAGCGAGTACTTTTTGAGAACTTGGCGTTGGATGGTTGTACAATTCCGACTTCATCTTCGACGCTTTAACATGATTCTGCAAAGTTAACCCTTTGACATAAGAAGATCATGAACACATATTCACTAAAGTCTTACTGTGTAGGTCAATTGTATCAACGCGCGCAGAGAAGTTGAGGTTAACCCTCGATTAGAGAATATCTTTACGGTTTGATACCGCCTCGAGTAGCTTTGTCAGAGCACTGCGAAGAAAAGTCGACCCTTCCTGGATACAAAGCGATAGCCCATTTCGAATAAACATCTTCAAAGTACCCCTCAGCATCGCGTACGATGCGAGCAATGCGTCCACGATGCAACTTATACCCAGCCACCTCTCGAAGTACAATTGGGAGTTCCTTATATGACCTCTATACCGAGCATGAGGACCTGTGTCCTGATCCCTTTCGCTCGCGGAGCAGTTCATAAGCTCCAGGAAGACATTGCTTTATCTATTCAGGGCGAGGAATCTTTGTGGGATACCCATTGGCGGCGGGATTGGGACATGGAACCGATCATCTGGATGGGATCCAAACTGACCGATGTCGCTGCCAGTAAGAGACTGGAGGATTTGAAGAGCTTCTACAACCCAAGCGAGCCTGTGAAGCTTACTTTGTCGGGGCTGACGACGTCCAAGCTCTCTTCTGAGCCACACAATCTTCTGAAGGAATTTCCATTCCTTGGATGGCACGGTTCCGGAGACCCCAGAGACCTCGACCTAAGCGCGGCATTCGAAAACGGTTCTCGGGGCGCTGTTTCGTAGATATGAGTGGATACAAAAACCCTTGAATTACTCACCGACTGTTAGAGGCCTAAGCGTTGCTTCACAACAGGAAGGTGGGACTTTTGTTTTTGGATTGCAGCATGTGTACATTTAACGGTCCTTCTACTAAACATCTTCGCATTCGTGATTATGAGCCGTCGTATCCCCAAAACTGAAATACGGAGTGGTTGCCAAGGATATACGTAGACCCCGCATACTGTATCGGTAGATGTTGCGACACGGTGAAATCACCAGATTCTCACCAGATGCTCACCCGATGCTTTACTAGGTTCTTAAGATCACTGTCTGAATTGAGCAGCAATTTCGCATATCAAAAAGCCCTGGTCTCAGTTGTGCAAGCGACAAAACTCTGAAACTGGTGAAAGAATGGAAAAGTAGGGACCCTTGTCGAATGCATTCGTCACCACGCCCATTCACGGACGTACTGCGTGCTCGGTACGGAGCTAGTCAACAAATCGACAATTCTCCGAAAGAGATCTTGTTGCCCGCAGGGAAAAGCCAAGGATTTATTACACTTTGTTAAAAACAAGCATATAGATACCTGCTCCTGGCCGCGGACTGGAGTGAAAATAGGTATAGCCTCGAACTAGAGGCTGGAGCTGGAGCTCGAGATAGCATGTGGTTATTGTACTGTACTGTATATTACCGAATACGCCTCCTCTGACGTGACAAGACGACTCGTACACTCTATGGCATTATGCATATTGATGAAATGTTCAAGTTGAAAGCTTCGCACACGAATGGTATATCCCAACTTTCGATCAACCTAGTCAGTATTTGAGAGTATCGGCTTCGACTCACCTAGGGTATATTGATTAGGCTGAGAGTTGATATGAACAACGTAAGTCTCACTTTAGGTAGATTGAGCAGAATCCCAGCTGTAAAAAAGAACACTCAAAGGACAAATACCATGCATGATAGTATCTTCAAAGACGATTCATAACAAATTTGCTTACCCTCAATCCCTTGTCACATTTCACCTAGCTAGCCCTCGTCGTTCCTCTGTGACTTACTTGCTCACGGCTGACTTGGCCAAATTTCATCAGCCAACGCTCTCACAAGCTTCAACTTCTTAATCATATCATCCTTCACGACAGCATTTCCATCACTGTGACTAGCAAACCCACACTGCGGGCTAACGCCCAGTCTAGCCAACGCCTCTTCCTTGCTCTCCCCCGTCCCCTCCGCAATCAACTCTGCCGCCTGATAAACCTTCTTCTTCAACTCCTCCCTCTCCTCCATCTCCGGAAACTTGCTCGAGACCAGTCCCAGAATAACATTCTTGCCCCTCGGCAAGTGCTTCAGCGGCCCGAACCCCCCGGCGCGAGGCGTGTCGTATTCCAGGTAGTAGGTATCTACGTTCAGGTCCCGGAAGAGCTTGCTGGCGATCCTGTCATAGCCGCCTTCGGAGAAGTGTCTACTGCCGACGAAGTTCCCGCGGCAGAGATGCACGCCTACATGGAGATCGGCTGGTCGGTCGCGCAGGCAGCCGTTGTAGAGCTTGATGTACGAGTCGAGCAGTGCGTCGGCGTCTTGGTTGTCTTTTTGGAAGCCGGAAAGCATTTTCTCGGAGCAGAAATCTAATGTGCTTTAGTTGGCAACACGCTACAGTACAAGTAGAGAGTGGTGATCAGACATACATGCCAAGTTGGGATCGTCAAATTGGACGTTTCTTAGCCCGTTATCATATAGAATCTTGAGTTCGGCGCGGTACGCTGCAGCGATATCTTCGAAGTATTCTTCGTCATTCGCGTAGACGCTCTTAGGGTAGGCTTGTCCCTGCTTATAGCGCAGGTGATACCAGTTTGGTGCCGCGAGAGTGAGTTTTGCTTCCCCCTGCCGCTCTTTTGGGAGTTGGTTTTTCAGAAAGTTCCACTTGCAATCGCATAATCAGCTTCTCCCCCAACACAATAAGTCTACCAGAAGTTTCATACCTCGTCAACATAAGTGCTCCCCACATGCTTGATCTTTCCTGTACAGATCACAGACTCTCCTGGTTTATGTCCCTCTTCTAAAAAGGCATCGATATCCGGGACGTAAAGTCGGAAAATGTCAATGTCCGGGTTCTGGATCTCTTCAAATCCATCGAGTCCTGGAAAGAACGAACCCCTGGTACTTGATCAATGCATGTTCAAAGCTTTCAAGTGGATTGCAAACCAAAACATATGGCGTCTGTATTCGCCATCAGAAATGGGGTGAAAGCCCAGATCCAGCTGTGTTTTGACGATGTCTTTGACTGCTGTATCCTCAACTGCTGCAAGCTCTTTCTCGAGGCCCGATGGCTTTCCTTGGGACTCGTCTATCTTATGGCGAATTTTGAGTAATTCGGCAGGGCGGAGAAGCGAGCCAAGGTGCTCAGCCCTGAATGGGGGTCGTTGATGGAGCTTCACAGACATGTTGGCACGGTTACTGGACTATTCAACTCGATGTATGGTGCCTTATCTAACGCATAAAGAGACCTAGGCAGTTGTATGTGAGTTTTGAGGAGTATAAAATCACATAGCAAAGATTTGCTTTTCAAGTGGGGTACTTTACTTTGTATACTAAGTGCTTTTCAAGTGGGGTATTTTACTTTGTATACTAAGTTATGGAGGGGCAAACTGCCATGGATTCTCCGCTTTCTCTATCACGGACCCCTCTTTCTCTACCTATCACGCACACACGCTAGATTTTCCATGCGTTGCCTCAAAACATTTTAGGATAACTTCCCCACTCACTCCCTCCCTCCTAGAACTGCCGAAGGTAGGTATAGAGTATACCGCAAGGTTGAAGCCGGTTCAACCCCTTGGGCGATCTCACTAGAGCCTCGCGCGTCGTAGTGGCTTGACTGCCGATGACGCAGATTCATCTTCGATACTGATATACTGTGGGAATCGAAGAATCGCGATATGGGTTGAGGTGTGGAAGGAGCCGACTATATACTAGAGGAATGCCTCAGGCGCCGCTGGCCAAGAAGGATTTCGTGTCACTTTGTACTTTCATTTCCAAGAATCTCCTGAATGTGCGGTTTGCAAGGCGAGTTGAATAATGTTTTCTAGCCCTGGGTCGTGTTTCGTGCCGGTGTAGAGAACAGTTTCTTGAGATAAGGTGTTCCCCACAATGCCCCACGAGCCCCCCTGTTGTGGATCTACGTCGTAGCTAAGGCTGTCAGCGACGCCTGCCAGCCGCCGGTAGAAATCCGTCCTAGAAGCTCTGACATCTACGACGACATTCATCAGTGAGGCTCCATCTCAAGACCCAATCAACTGAAAGAGGTACGTACTAGAAGCGCAGATGCCATAGAAACATGCTGAGGTATCTGTGGTTGCTTTAGTGTTTCGCAATTGCTAGGACTTTGCCGGTACCTCCTATTCGCACTTTCTGTTACCGTCCCGTCCTCTGCGGCTGAGTGCACAAGACCAACGCCCACATACAGCCCAAATGTCATCAGACACGGCAGCGGTACAAGTGTCGGGTGAAAGTCAATCCTTGGCACTGGAAACAGAGGCTGGCTTAGATACAATGGCGCATATAGTCCCCGAGGATCCTACCAACCTTGAACCTTCCGTCGCTTCAACAGACAGAACGCCAAGCGTCACGAATATCGAAAGCCTTCCAAATGAGCTCCTCACCAATATCTTTGGTTACTTGGATACCCCAAAACCCTCAGGGTTTGTTCTTCAGGATGAGCCTGTTTTCGAACTTACTCATTCCGAAAGTACCGACTTGAAATCTATGTCTCGCGTCTCGAAACGATGGCGTCGAGCAACGTTGCCGGTGCTTTTCAAATTCGCTCAATTTATTATCGCCGAGTCAAAAACTCAGACACCAATCATAAGTGAGCTTATGGCGCCTTTCTTTGCTTTTGTAAAGAGTAACTCGTTGGGAAAGGTTATTGCGAGTTTCACATTTTTGATACACGATAAGAACATTACACATACTTCAGATGGAGGGGATCGACTGGACAGCTTCTCCGAATTCTGGTACTCACTTTTTAAGATCATCGATCCCATTGATCTACTTATCGTTGCTCCCGCGGAATCTCTTGGAGCTCTTACTGCTTGTCGTATTTATATGGAGGATGCATGGTGTTTCTCTGATTGTCATTGCCACTATCTTCATCTCCGAAGGTCTCCCACTTCTGTCCTTGAATCTCCCAGCATTGAAGGGGTGGCTTTGGAAGAGCATTCGACGGCTGGTCACACCAGTGAAATTCTTGAGTCTGTCGCGGAGACCCTCTCAATCAACAACACCCCGGACGTTTTGCCTCAACCCGCAGAAGTAGTTCTCAGCACAGGATCTTTTTACCGAGATGAACAAAGCACGCCTGATAGCAATCAACAAGAGCTCCCACAAGTCGAAGCATCCTCTTCGGCATCCCTAGTATCGAAGCCACGATTATCTGCCCGCGCCTTGTCATCCGCTTTGTTTGATGTCCGTCCCTGGACAACTCTCCTGCTCAACGAAGGATCTTCTATTCGGGCTTACTGCACCGATGAATTCTGGCTAAAGAAACAACCTTCGGTGAGCAAGCTTCTAGCTTTCAATTTCCTCCGTGTAGCTAATAGCGACGTCAGATTCTGCCTGACCTCTGTGGCTCAGACGAAGCAGGAACTAAATCTTTCATCAGCCCAACGATTAAAACAATGAATTACATTGCTATCTTTCCAATGCAAACCCACTTTGCTGCGTTAGTAGATAATCTTCCAAGCCTAGAACGGGTATACGTGCAATTGGTTCCACGCAACAATGTCCTGGATGATCCGGAAAGGATGGCCAACGTGGAGCATACTGACTTGTGGATGGAGAGAAATAATTGTTACGCACATATGGTGCGAGAATTGTTTGGCGCTCCTCCGACTCGAAATTACAAGTATCTTCAGGAATTTGAATCTGGCGATGCGGCGGATAGAGACGCCTGGCTGATGGCTGGTAAGTGATGCATCTTTCAAGCGGTATCAACCCTGTATGAACAAAACAGCCTGTCCTAAAGTTTGATGGGCCGTTGAAATACCACCGTGCTTACTTTTGCCACAGTTGAGTACGTTAAACGCGCCGGAAACTGGAACATTGCGGGAGAGGGTATTTTCTCAAGAAACTCTGAAGATATGGTACCTGAAAATCCCGAAGGTGGTATCGAAGGAAACTCGACATTGTCAGTCAATCAAGAAAACCAAGCCTGATAAATAAACTAACAGCGACGACTATAGCGAAGGATCTTTGATTCTCTGGAAGTGGAATGGAGTCACGAAACTGCCTATCTCGGCTCTACCACTTTACGACCGACCCTTCGGACTTGGTTTCTAAGAACATCTTGTGAATACGAAATGGTCAAATTTTGATACAAGTGATGGTACATAAATTTAGGACAACAAAAAGAATTACAAATGCTATTGCAGCTGCGGCTTCAACACCATGAGTCAATAGCTTTTGGTTTTGAGTTATAGAGGGACTGTTGTTGATGGAATTCATTATGGCACCCGCAGAAAAGAATGCTCATGAGCGGGATTTAGAATATTAGAGATATTTCTGGGAATTTCTTTCGTATATAAAAGTCGACATATAAATCAAATGAACACTTCTCAACAAGTCATCTGAATCTTACTCAGAAAAGGGGGAGACTACATAGAACAGATGCGGGCCATTACCATCAAATTCTTATAGACCCTCGATCAATTCGAAGTCAAATCAATTCTCCAAACTCACAACTTTGTCCTTACAAACATCACAACTGAAATGGAGGCTGATCACGTGCCGTTTCCTTGACCGCCTTTCGGATTCTGCCGACTTTATGTGAGGGGAGCTTCAACGCGACTTCAACTCTCCATGCCACAACCATGACGTCCAAAAGGGCCGCCAAGGGCGAGTACATCGAGACTGTAATCTCCACCCCTCATACTTCACACCCCATAGACTTCGCCTGCTAATAGATAAACAAATAGGACACAGGCAACAAAGTCTCGCGGCGCTCGCAAATAATCGGCACAACCAACATAATCCTCGGTGGCAAAACCGTTATCCAAGCCGAAGTCATAATCCGCGGCGACTTGCTGCGCGCGCACCAGAACAGTGCGGAGAAGCAAGGGTCTCCTGTTGCGGTTGCGATTGGGAGGTATTGCTTCTTTAGCAAGGGGTGTGAATTGCGGCCGCCGGGGAAGGTTTATAAGGGGTATGTCTGTCTATCTGTTTATTTGTTTATCTGCTTTGTCTCTGCTTTACACCTTTCACAGGAAGCGCGCACGCAAGCAAGCATATACTAACAAAGCGTAGGTGGTTCTCGCACTACCCCCTAAAAATCGCAGACCACGTCTTCATCGGCCCGTCGTCCGTCATCGAAGCAGCGCTCATCGGCTCGCACGTCTCGATTGGCGCCAACTGCACGATTGGCAAGTTTGCCATCATTAAGGACTACGTCAAGGTTCTCGATGGGACCGTGGTGCCGCCTAACATGGTCGTGCCGAGTTTCTCCATCGTGGCTGGGAGGCCGGGACGCGTTGTGGGCGAGATTGCTGAGGGCGAGGTGGAGGGTATGGATCTGAGGGAGGTTTATAGGGGGATTGGAAATGGTTGACTTGACCTGGGGGTTGGATGAGAGAGATTTGAGCATTTCATTTGGCAATGTGGGTGGGAACAAAGAAAGTGTTACGGAGTTTAGGATGAATGATACCCATTTCTTGCATTTCATCCAGGCATTCAAAGTTCGATATATCACATGAGGAGAATCGGGGGAAATGGTGCTACAGTATACGAGTAGAGTCAAAAATCAATCCATCAATCAATCAATCTATCTAGCTAGCTATTAAATAAGAATAACATAGTTAGCATTCCATTACCCGTAGCAGAAAATGCGAAAGGGGTAGGTACAGTACCAAGCCATACCATATCCATCAAACGCGCCATCAGCTGATCTCTGTCCCTGTCATGTTCCTTGTGTGACATAACGGCAGAACGAATAAGTTCGCTTTCCTTTGCTTAGTGAAGGCTGAGTGAGACATGACCATGCCATGGCATGCAGCCACATCTCAAAGCGTCAAGCCGAGACCCGGGAAGACGATGACGATGTCACATTTAGTAGTGATGCTTGCGTATTTAGTGCGTATTGTGACAATCAAGAGATCGTTTTGTTGCAAGTCGCAGTCTCTGGTGTAACGGTATTTGGTGGCGTGGTGTGGGACAATTCGAACCAACGTAGTTGCTTACCGTAAACTCAGAATTGTGGACTCTGTAGAGATAAAATGGACTTTGGAAACCTCTTGATTATCGCTTATTGCTCGCGCTCTCTTTCTATTACTATATCAAACGCCATATCCAAACGCCCCCCCTACTCAGGTTCAATAATTATCCAAACGCTAAACCAGTACGCCCGCTCGCTTGCTAATTCCCATAATCAAAATAACTCCAGCTTTTCCCATTAATTATAAACCCATGCCTATACAGCCTGGTCCTGCTTGTAAACCCATATTTACAGCTGTCGATGTGCCTAGAAACTGAACAGGCCGCTCCTCTTCTTTCCAAATGGATAAACGATCAAGGCGCTGAGGAACAAGCCAACCGTGATGCCGATTGCGACTTGAATCATACTGTATCCAACGTTAAAAACAACGTCGCTAAAATCGCTCACTCCTGCAGTAGTGGAGACCTAGAGAAGATTGTATCAGCGCTTATTCTGAGCAGTTTCTGCAAATGTCTAAGTAGTCCTTCGAACAAAATAGCCTCAAGATGCGTGATATAGAGACAATACATAGCAGTAAATCCCCTTACAAAGGAAATGCAGGAGAACAAACAATGAAAGGAAAACTGTAGCCATTCCTCCTTCCAGGCATCTACAAGTAGTCAAGTTTGTTACTCACAGAACTAGTCCCATTTGCCCTGGCTGTTCCATTCGTATACGTTGTTGTGTTGGTGATTTGATCAGCGTTGTTAATTCCAGCTAACAGGGAACCAGAAGCGGCGAGCCCTGAAGGGACTTGCACAAAGATGGCGGGGAGAAGGGCCGCGGCAGCGACTCCATGTCGTATTCGTGAATACAAGTTTCCGACCACACCCACTGCTAGAGCTCCTAGTGTATTCGAGATCTGCGCGGAAGATGGAAACTTTTTGGCACTGAAGAAGTTCACCACGTAACCGATGAAAGCGATTATGAGCATCATTGGTATCTGCTTCCACTTTGCTTGGTTGATGATACACAGGGAGAGTGCAAATAAGGGTACGAATATCCTATAAGGTGAAGTTAGCAACCATTGATTCAAGGTGATGAGTGTGCGCTACCATTTGTAGTATTGGCCGATTGGATTGGTGCATGTCGTCGCACTGGAAGCGTTTGGATCCATCAAACCATAGAATGCGGTTCCGATGGTGATACCGAAGCCAAGAAATAGCGAATATATGATGGCATAGACCATCCGAACAGACCCGGCAACCATAGAGCGCGATTGAAGCTCGAGAGAACCGCATAACACCATGTAACCCGGGAGAATGAGAGCAATCGAAGATTGAGCGAGGCCAGAGAAACAAAATATACTGCCTCCACGAATAGACCCAAAGGCTCGGGCAAGGAAAGAAGTCAATACAGCAGCAGAGATTTCGAACACGTTGCTGTACAGTTCGGATCTGGGCGCTACGATCAACTGAAGGAAGCCAAGAATACAACCAAGAAGGAAGGCTATTGGCAAATCAATTAGCCGTCCCTCAAATGCTATTACAATATTAGCTACCGGGAGTATAAATGTTGAGATCCTTTTAAACTTACCAAAGGGTGCGACAGTAGCGCTAGCAAAGCCGTAGACTAGAACGAGTAGCCAAGGATTGTGCTTCGGTCTCGCTTCAATGATATCGATCAGTCTTTGGGTGGCTTCTTCGACACCAATCACGTCGTGGACGACTTCCTTGTATATGTCCCAAACATCTTTCAGCTTGCCGAGGTTAACACCTTGAACTGACTTCACGAGTTTGACTTCAGTCGTGTGCGTCGCAGCATCGTCAAAGGAGATAATCATGCAACCTGGAAAGTAGAGAAATTGGCCATCGATTTCCAGGACTCTAGCGCTCATCTTCATGTACTCTTCGAGTCGATGGGTGGGAGCACCATAGCTCATTAAAGCCTTGCATAACTTGAATAGATACTTTTGACGACTCAAAGTCTCGGCAATGTGTACGGTGATTCGAATTTCGTCTTCAAGTCTTGGTTTATTACTGATCTTAGTCTTTGCTGTCTCAATGAGACCAGTATGCGTCCTCTTGCCAAGCCCAGGTCTGGACAGCTTTCCACGCTGCGGAGTGGTAGCACCTCCTGGTGCGCCTAGAATGGCAGAAGCTTCGATGAGCCCAGCTAACGTATCCTGGGAGCTGTTCTTATGATTGTACCATTTAGCCTGCTTCGTCCTGGGCGTTGTGGCTCCGGAATTGGTGACTGTCCCCGAACGTGAAGGGCTATTTGTAGACGTAAAACTACCTCTTCGAGAAACACTGCCTTGTGGTGCATTGTAGAGTTTCAGAAGTGAAGACAGGACTCCACCTCTGTAGTGAGCCGGGCGTGGTACATACTCTTCCGTGTAAGCTTGTTCCTCAACTGGGGTGACCTGTCCAGAACGTAGTCCAACTTGCTCCGGCTGTATGGCCAGACTTTCTGACCGTATCTTCCTGGTATGCTGCCTAACCAACTGGTGAGCCTCGGAAGTATTTGACGCCTTTGAGTGACGCTTCGATGTCTCCTTGAGGTCATCTTCATCACTATCAATAGCTGCTCCATCATAGGTTCTGCGCACATTCATATCCACCAAGGGTATGTCGTCAAGCCTGACTGGATATCTGCCTGGTTTGGAGGGTAACCCGGCCACAAACGCATCTTCGTCATCTTCATCCAGACTATTTCGCCTAGAAGCTGGAGCAGAATGACTTCCTACTAAATTTGACAGCCTTTGTGCTCGCTCTTGAGCTGCCAGTGCTGAAAAAGACTTCTCGTTAGAATCATCCTCATCCTCCAGTCCTTGGTTGTAGCTGGGGTGCCGTAAAACGCTTGCTTTGGGCCTAAAGATAAGATTGTCCACAGGATCGGCAAACGGGTTTTCTTTCTCATGCTCTGGCGTGGTTCTCAGCAGATTCGTGCCGCTATTGTTCCTCGAATGTGGGGGGCTCCATTCAGTATTCTGCTGCCGCGTGGGTGAATGTGGGATGGGTTGCAGTGATATGGCTTTGTCTCGCAAGGGGAACTTTGACTTCTGGTTCGCAAGATCGTTGGCCTCGCTTGTGCTGTTGAAACGGACCCTGCTACGATGCTTCTGCGGTGCACCACCGCTTCCTACACCACCGCCTCCTGAACTGGTTGGCCTGCTGGGGTTTGCATTGGACTCGGCGTTGGGTTCATCAGATGAAAGCTCCTTGTATCCGTGATTGCGGTTGTCTGCTGCTCCTTCTTCTGATGCCGCGAGGTATTCGCTGGACATTATATTGATTAAAGTGAACCGCGGTCCTTTCGATGGTCCCAACCCCCCTTTGTAGATATATATATACTGTACCAGACCTCGAAGGCGTTGGGATTTGTTGGAGGGGAAGACTTTAGCGTTCCGGAGGCGGCGGGGTACTAAGCTACCCTGGCCTGGGCAGACGCCACTGATAAGAAAGGGCCGGAAAAAATTCTTCTTATTAAAAACTGCTGACGAATGAAGATGAAAAGAATAGAATGTAATGCAATGTAATGTAATCGAACTGAATTGGGAAGAATATTAACCAAGAGAAGGGTTGATGGCAAAGAGAGGATAAAAAGCTAGCGAGCGATGCGATGCGAGTGGGGTGACGTGGGTGATTAAACTAGAATTTGAATGGAATGGCAATGACTCGTCCGTCGTCGAGAAGACGAGACGCGTTATTCGGAAACGATGGGAAGTATATAAAGAAAGGTAAGGGCGAGTTCAGTTCATTAGAGTAAGCGTGGTGGTGGGTGGGAAGGGAAGGAGCTACGAAGTAAGGCATTGTACTCGGACTCGGATTGGGTACTTAGCTTAGGTAGGTACTTACTTAGGTACGTACGCAAGGGCCACTTCTTGCCCTTTGGTAAGTATACTACTACTCGCAACAGAGCAAAGGAATAAAAGGTTGCGACACCTACCTTGCCGTATAGCAACACCACATTCGCCTCTCTCAGTCGAAAGTGCCGGCAGCACCGTGAAGTAGCATCGTGGTCTAGAGCCTGCGATTCCTGTTTGTACAGCCGCCCGCTGAGACGAACCAATGTGATACCCACCGCTTAGTTACTAAAACACGATTGACAGCAGAATCCACAGTTCTTGGGACAGCGGGGGCCACAAGCCGTGAGCCATTCAGCATGGTAAAGACAATCTCACGATGCGAAAGTAGGCTTTGGAGGAGTGGAGATAGATCCGAGGCTAGGTCAACTCCATTAGTTCAACGAGTCGGACGCGGAGCCGCTATTTGCTAGGACACGGTGTGTGCTTTGCATTGGGCTTTGAAAATTGGACCAGGCACTTGAGAGTTTGAACTTTGAATCCACCAGGTCCCACATTGCGGGAAGGACGGTGATGGTGTTGGTGTTGGTGTATGATTTAGGTGCGGCTTCGTATCTCTCTAGCTTGCTCTCTTCACATGTGCTTCACACATGTGACAGGCGCTGACGACTGAATTCCGTACGTACTGTACGGTAACGTTTTCTTCAAGTGGATTTAGGTGTTGTTGAAGACTCTTCTCCCTGCGTTATTAGCGAGTCAAAGCTTTTTCAACAAGGATCGTTTTGCTACTGTGAACCAAGTCCTCCGGGTTACTTGATCAGGAAAGGCCGAGCCTTCTATCAAAAAAAAAAAAAAACAAAGGCCCAACGCAAATAAACCTCTCGAAATTTCAAATCCAAAGATACGAACCCTCAGGTCAGCAAGGTTCCTAGGCTCCTCAGTGATATTCACGCAATATCCACAGTTCCCACAGCTATGTTGTTCCAGAAGCCAGGCTGAGCCTATTCCCTGCATCCATCTGATCTGGGCTCTTCTGATTCGGTCACTTCTCGGTGTCTCCCAACTGTTGAACTGACGCGGCAGGGGATGCAGACAAGCTTTATTTTTCACACATGACGGGTGTGGCGTGCAATTCTTTGGGTTCCTCTTGGAGGACCTACGGAGTACTACTCTTCTTCCTTTTTAGCCAGGTTGATATGCGCTAGCTTATCTATGTATTCTCCCCGTTACCCACTGCACAAAAATAGGTACTGTCTGGCCAAATAGGACGAGAAGAAGATCAGTCCTAAGGCTTGGGGAAAGCCATCTAAGGTTTTTGTTTTTATAATTCTGTTCTATTTCTAAGATCTTATGGTGACGCTTTTCTGCTGCATCTGGATTCTGGAGACTATTTTTAGCCTCTTGATTTGGCGAACAGGGTGTGCACTGTTCAAGGCATATCATTTAAACCTTAGCCCGCCTAGATATTTAGAAAAGAAATCCAAATACAGGTACGTACATTTCAGCCGCATGGAAATTGACTTTTGTAGTGGTATTTGCATATTTATATGACTTGCATTAAGTTGATTACCGGATCTAGTTAGCGTGCGCCGCCTTACCTGTTGCTTTTTATTATTCCAGCCGATTTAACAGAACCCAATTATCTTTCCTGGCTCCGAGCTTTCTGAGACCTTTCGAGACACGCCCAAGTCTCCGGCAGACCTTCCCACGAGTCCTCCAAACTGCTTTCCACCCTTGCGTCGATCTAGAGAGTCATTATTACGGCTTCCCTCTGCACCGCTGTCCCGCTAGCTTCTTCACTCGTTCTCGTTCTCTTTCTCTCGAATAATATTTTATCTCAAGAGCCTAAGTAAGTAACCCCCACGCCCCTAGCGGAATACCACACTCAAATCCTGTGAGGACGCGGACGCGGGAGCGGGTAGCATTTACACCGGGTCCCAAATGCCCATCATTTATTTGTACGAAGGTACGTCGACACTACTTTTTTGAGGATCCTCATCACCGACGATTTTCTGTTGCGATGATAGCCGCATAATATTAGGGGCGATCCCCCTGAGACCTGAACCCCAAGAAGATCAAGTTCATGTTTCCTGAAACATGACCCTACTCGTACTTTCTGAAATGATGTTTTGCTTATCCTCTACTTATTCATCCGCATCTGGTTTGTCATGATAGCTCAAGTACCGCTCAAGTACCGAATCCGTATTCCTAACATCCCTCCTCATACAGCAACGCTACTCGTAGGTTGACATGCGATCAATCATACAAGTGCTGGTGATCCAAACTAAATCTCTCGAGGGTATAAAGAGCACGCTTTCCTGCACTTTATCTTCTATATCGAGCTTTTACAATTCCAAACTGAATCTCCACGTCTCACTCACAGCATGGAAGATATATATGGCTTATCAGAATTTTAATTAATCGTCTCTACTCCGTAAACCTTCCACAATTTACAAGAAATACTTCACATATACACATATAGAGGAAGGAGACAAGACCCAATCTCCGCGAGGTCTCTGCTATGCTCATGTCTAACATTGGAATGTTTAATACGGTAGCAAGTGCTTTTCCGTGCGAAAACGTCTGCTCACAATTGACGCAGTTTCCCAATAAGTTGAGACATGACTAGTACGCATGATATAATTGTCTGTTCTTTTCACACCTACCTGGTAATACAAGCGTTTAGCTCAAACTTGCATGCAACAAATATCACAAATTTTGTACTCCATTCACGTCTTGCCATCAACATGTACAAGTCTACTCCCCATAATACAGGTAGGTGCGTCAACAGAAGAAGTCAACGGAGATCTCTGGTTTCCAGACATCGCCTCGCCACTGGTCTCCCTAAGTATTATTTCTTTCCCCGACTTGCGAAATGCCGAATTTGAGACAACACGAACATCATCCTATGTCTACCTAGTAACATAAACTAATTCCACCATACCCACCAGCGCAACAAGTAAACCTCATCTAGCCAATATCCACTGAGATGCTATCCATTCCCCTCATCTCCCCTCATCTCCCCGCAACATTCCCCCCATCTTCCAAGATAACCAACCAGTCCCAAGCAAAGTGGCTCCTAGAAAGAATCTTCCGTCCCGGTGACCCCCCCTCCCAAGATAAATACATCACTCCAAATAAACAAACAGCACTATTAAAAACTCTAATCCAACATGACCACTCCACTCCATTCCAATCAACAAACTCAAACTCAAAGTCAGAATCAACCACAACAAAATCATACATACTACTTCCCCTATACTCCACCCTACAATTCTACCTGTATGGGGATAATGGGAGCCTTTCTAGTCATGTGACCCAAGCTAGCTGACTCAGCATGGGGATAACCTCTTCGTGTTGCAACCACCACTTTTAGCTAGCCAACCAACAACCAATGAAACCACCAGTACCATCAGATACGGACCTACATGTGTAGTGAAGTGATCACCTTGTGATACCAACACTACCATTCTATAATAAAAGCAGACCTTTCTTTCAAGCAAAACATCCATCCAAACGATCTTTCATTCCGTTTGAAATGTTTCGTCTAGAGACAGAAGTAAGTTGTAAATAGATGGATAGACAGTTTGTTCTAATTGTCCGCTATAAATCGACCGAGCACTGGCATCAACTACATTTAACAGCAAAACTTCTATTCACAACAAATGTGTGAATAATCGATTTGCAACAGTGAGTTCATAGCCAATGGTGAAGGGACACATTCCTAGAATTTGAAGACGGAGGAAGTATGTCATTGTGAATAGCTGACTTGCGTCAAAACTTTCAGGGCCAATGATACAACCGTTTTATGACATACAACGGCATGATCTGGACACTTGCCCCAAAGCTGATATACTCCAAACACAAATGTTGCTATTTGCAAAGACCCCGCTCGGTTCCACACCCGCAGAGACATGGTTACTTTTGATACAGTATATCTTATTCATCTATCTCTCAATTACCTAGCTAAGCTGCTCTTCATCTCCTCACAGCATAATCCAAGCCAAATCGTTCGCTCGTACCTCGCATTCCAGGCTGGTTGTAATCATATATCTTAAACAATTTCCATCGTCCCAGTCCCCAAATCCACGGAATGCAAGTGTTCGGGGGCCGACTCCTAAGCAGACATAACAGCAAGGCGCCAATATAACGCGTACCCCAAGCCACGTTGCGTAAAGCCAAAAAGCAGATCTTGAATACAATCCAAAGTTCATGCTCTATCTCCTTTGTCTCCTCCACTGTTCCGTGAGATCCGTCGTTCGAATAAAATGAATGAATGGGAAGTGTTGTACTTGTATTTCGAAAATCGATATTAAGGAATCGGTAATTTCATCGTCATGGTCGTAAAAGGATAGGCAGGACAATATGCACAGTTGAATGCAATTTCAAATTGGCAAAATAACAATGAAAGATTGGATATCAACCTCTAGGGATCTACCCTTGTTGACAATTTTGGTGTGGTGTTTTTTTTAGCTCTTTAGAAGACAGAGCTTTTGCGCTTCTCAGCCGAGGTGAGAACGAGCATTGGGGCTTTTCGTTGACCATCGGCAGTTTCTAGTTTCTTGCCTGCATTTTTGAATACAGCTGCAAAGCTGCCTCCAACCGAAGAACCTTCATCACTGCTGACGCTCGCAGTGGTGAAGTTGCTGTCTATAGATGCTATCGATTTTCGCTCAAGAGAGTGCTCCTTTTGACGAGAGGATGGACGATCTGATCCAATAGCGCCATGTGCCGACGTTCGAGAACTACCAAGACTTGGGCGACCGGAAAGGCTTCCACTTCCACTGCGACCACTGTCCGAATCGTTGTCCGAAGAAACGGAAAATGTGATTTCTCCAGTCTCAGATACGGGAGACATGCTACCAGAGCTGCTTCCTGGTGCTCGACGGCGCTCCATTCCTGCACGTACAAGGTTGTGAACAGCACTTCGGCGAGTGCGAGTAGCGAAGTTCTTGCTGCCTTCGAACTTGGTGGTGGGTTTGGCCTTCAATTCATCCAACGGAGGTGGGCCGCGGGGTTGGCGAATGGGGTGTTCACCAGCACGGGCTTGACCGGGTCCAAAGCCAGCCGTTAAGGGTGTCGATGGGAAGCCTTGGCTCTTTGGCAGAATTGCAGATTTGGGGCCGTCAAGTGGAGATGTGGTATCAACTCCAACAGCCATCGAGGTTGCCTTGCGGTGTCCACGGCGGAATGCACCAGCTGATGGTGGTGGCAATGGAGCGTGATCCTGAGGAGGCGATTGGGACTTCTTAGGAGGGCTAATGCTTCGGGTGAACGTGGGTGTATCCGCAGGAGGAGGTGGTGAGACTTGGAATCTTGGCGTACCAGGTTGCTGAGGAGGCGAGTAATTGGCCGATTGTTGAACTTGTTGGTTCGCATATTGAACTTGGTCGTCCATGAAGTAGCTCTGCTGGCCAGTGACTGGGTTGTAGTACGAGTAGACACCTGGTTGAGCACCCACAACTGGTGTTATAACTGGCTGCATGCTGCTCTTGACTTGCTGCTGCTGATACATTCCCATGTTTTGCGGCGTGATCGGAGGAGTTGCAAATTGCTGCTGATTTCCCATACCCAAATTCAAACCCTGGAATTGCTGAGCAGCAGCCTGCACGCTGTACAGTTGCTGTTGAAGACGTTGTTGTTGATCCGCAAGGTACATGTTTGTAGCAACTAGCTGGGCGTACAAGTTTGGATCCATCTGTTCTTGGATGTGCTCATCAATCAGGATCTCAGGTGGGGCCAGAATCTGCTCGGGAACGTGGTACATTTGGCTGTTGTTGTTCATTTGGTTATAGTTGTTCTGATGATTCGAAAAGTTAGAAGTCTTTGGGCCACCATATGTTCCTTTGTCTGCGTAGATGCTACCAGCAAGTCCAGTGTTGTGTTGCATCTGTGTGGGAGGTGCAGTCGAAGGGAAGGTGCTCGAAGTGGCCGACTTTGGAGCCGTTCTCAACCCAGCGAGCAAATGAGACCGGGAAGTTCTTGGCGTAGGGGCCCCATTGTCTTGAGGGCTGGCTGGCTTGGAGGTGTCAAAGGAGAGACGCTTGAGGTTGGCACCATTTGCCCGTCTGGAAGCAAAGCCAGAACCGGGTATTCCCAATCCATTGCTGGAAGGGAAGTTGTTGTAGGACATCTGAGCAAGACCGCCTGCGTCCATACTCAAGTTTGTGATGTTGTACAGGTGGGTGGTTTTGATGAAGGTATTGTCGGAAGAGTCGAATTTCGCAAACTCGAGGTCGAGAGAATGACGGGTATCGAAATAGGCGAAGAACTCAACGGGTGGGTGAGGTTGAAGTATATTAGAGGAATTAAGGATCGAAGAGTCGATCGATTTGTACTGATGAAAAGTCGTGCAAGATTATGTAGGTTGTAAAAGAGCTTGAGGCCTTTGAGCAGGCAGCGGAGAAGGTGGATGGAAATGGAAAAGTGTTTGTTTGTAATAGCTTTGCTGCTCGTGAATCCAAGATGTGTGCGTAGTGTGCACAAAAGCCGGGTGACCCGAGGGAAACGAAACGCGTCGTGGACTATGTAGTCGTTGAAATTACAGGACAGAGTTGAAGTGTCTGTCGAAGGGATGGATGAACGCAGGCAGACAAGCAGTTGGGAAACCAAGAAGTGGCGATGGCTCCGGCGTAGAAAGGACGATGGATGTGGTGCTCTGCAATCAACAAAGAGCGACCGAGAGCCGATGAAAGGCAGTTGCGATGATGGGCTTGTTGGTTGATGAAAGACGGGAGCTGCAGACGAATAAAGACCCTGACTGAATGGTAGGGGAAAATATCGACGCGGGTTTGAATTATGGCGAGCAACTCGGGATAAATGAATTAATCAATCAATCAATTAATGGATCAATCTGGCAACTTGAACGGTCATAAACACGCTCCTTTCTTCGATGGATCGCTCGGGAGGGGGAGGCTGAGGCTGAGGATGAGGATGAAGGAGGACGACAACGACAACAAGAGGAAAAGAGAGAGAGAAGGGCGGTGTACGAGGCGAGACGCGAGAGAGTAGTAAGTAGTGTGCAAAGAAGAACAAGCGCGAGAGAGTGATGGGAGGAAGAAGTTTGGTGCGGAAGGATTGGGCGAGAGCAAGAGGAGGATTTGCAAGGGATATACGGTAGTCGGATACAGTATTTGCTTACTACGGGATAGACCTGGGAGAGCAGCAGGGGAGCTAGGCCTGATGGGGTAAGGGAGCAAGAGAATTCGGGGATTGTGCTTCTGGGGCATCGCCTTCGTTTTTCATCTGGGATCTCTCCTCTGCAGCTCTGACAACAGTGTCCGTAGGCTGATCCCTAACAATTAGGCCGGCCTTAGATCATGATGTAAATCAACAGCCTCATAAATACGAAGAAGTAATATTCATCGCCTTGACGTAGACTTTGTCGTCGACAACTGTTTCAGCCTCGGGCGATGGCATTGATCTCCAAATAAAGGGTATCTTATTTAATCATTTAACCCTCACCACTGGAAATTATCTCCCGACTCTTGGTGTCAGCATACAGTACAGTACCTACACCTACAGTATGGTAGGGAGCTACTCTATCAATTCAGCCACCTGCAATCAGCACTTTAATCCGAACGCCTTTGATGTGCTTCCTGCCCTATAGGCACGCCGAAACACTGTATTGATCCTTTACGGTCCTTGGGTCCATGGGATCACAGGCACAGCACTCCGTATGCCGTCGGTGCAACAGCTACCACTGCAGAGCATGCAGTCAAAGATTCCATTCTATTCATGGCAACAGGCCTGGGCATGGCATGGCATGGCATGGCATGGTATCGTGAGGTCTTCGCCGGCAGCCTGTCTTTGTGGCTTGGCCCCTCAATCATGCGCTGCCAATCAAGACCCTTCCAGATCACTGTTCATTACTCTCCCTCCTGCCTTACCCCTCTTTCTCTCATCCAATAGAACTTCACAATCCTATTTTTACACAAGTCATCATCACCTCGTGTGTTATGAAGTAAAAGCATCATTTGAACACGAAGAGTACTCCGTACTTCATCCTCATCCTCCCCGTAGTCGTGACTCTTCTCTTCCTCTGTTGCATCAATTCAGGGGCGGCCCACTGTGGCGATCCGCCCCCTTTCCGTCATTTCCTTCCCCACCCCACTGACGATCTGATGCGGAAAGCTGGGCGCTTCCATGCGCGCCCGTATGCATGCCACCCCTCACTTCACCTTGTCCTCCAAACCAGCATCAAATCAGAATTCCACCTGCTCGGTCAAGACTCAAAAGCGCACAATCACCCGCTAACATGCACTCTTTTTCTAAATACATCGCTTAACCCGCTGGTCGCAGGAGACGCATAGTGTCGTGGAACTTTGCTGGCCAATTGAAGCTTTCATAGTTGATCGCGCTTGAGGCGCGTCGCCCCCTTTTCTCTGCTTCTTTCTCTGCGCGTTTAACCCACCCCAAAAGTAATTTATATTCCGGTCCAGTACTATTAGTAGTACGGTGCTGCTTAGAACTTGTAAGCAGGAATAGATTTGCTACCGGAACTCCACAAAATGGACGTGGCACCTTTTGAATATCAAGCTCTCTCTCTTAGGCATAATAGGCCCACGAGTCACGCCGAAATCTTTAAAACTCACATGTAGTTTTTCTGTAACTGTTTTAGTATAGCCAAGATTATCGCCATCTCGCTCGTTCCGTCCTCCAAACTTCCAAAGGCAAGAATGTGGAGGTATGAAACCCAGCTCCTGAAACCCCAACCCCAATTAGGTATTTATTCATCAAACAGATGTCAGGTACGAAAGGGTAGAATAGGTGAAACCACCGCCTGTTCGCCGTCGCTGAATGAAACCCTTCACCTCGTGGCTCGGTTCATCCTTCCTCGCTGATGCACCGAATAATCCCTGCTGAAACAAGGCTATTGTGGACGGATAAGGCTGTGCAATCATCTCCCCTGCGCAGGATCGATAAACGACACATTTGCTCGCGTGGTCTTCAAGGAAGGACGAACCTGCGATGATGGAAACGAGCGTACTGTATAGTCATCTGAGGCGGGGAGCATAATCTGTACACATTTCCTTTGTAGCATTCCATGCTTGAGGAAGCTTGATTTCCCTTTCCATGCAAGCGCGAGATTTATTCTGTTCAAAACCACAAATCTCATGCTTTAACGATCTTCTCAGGACATTTAGACATGCTATTATAAGTCTACTACATAGTTCTAGAGTCATACCTTGCGAGTATAAGAAGCTTCAATCCAAACCCCTCAGAAGTCATACCTGCGCATCTCTGGCTTTACTCTTATTGTTCTCTTTCACTAGCACGGCCGCTGCAAAGGGGTTAAAATTCCCTCAAAACTTACTTCGTACTCTCGAGATTAGTTCTCAGCCCTGTCGTAAGATCTTACTGTACAGTCAAGATACTCATCCGTACACGCGTATTCAATGCACCACGTGTCTTTGTACGAGATATATGTATATCACAGAACCCTTCGGCATATCTCACACTCTTTTCAACAGACACAAAGCTAGTGCTATTGCTCTATTCTAGACGCTCGATTCATCTAGGTATTTGCGATCTAACTTAACAAAAAAGTGGGTGGAGCTCCTTTCTCATAGAAAGCTTGCGCGGCTCTTGCGTGTTCGAGTGTTTAGGTTCAAGTGCACTGCTACAGTCTTCGCAATACGGGCGACAACGACTACTTAATCCTCAGTCTCTTTATAATTCTCAGTCATCTTAAATAAAGCCTAAGCAGGAGATATAGTACGTACCGAAAATCAAGTATGACGACTATGAAGATACCGATTCTTATAAGGGATTCTCTAAGATTTGCCAAAAGTCATAAGCTGGAAGCAACATCTTCCAAAAGGAAATGTGCGGGTCGTTTCGATGACTATTTAAACATGTCCGAGAAAGAAGGACATAGAATGACAACCTTTAGAAGCCTTTACATTGTAGATCATGTGTATTAGTGGACTAATAATCCGTGAAGTTGATTTCACAACGTTTGGGTTCTCATGAAAATGTGTTATTGTATGGACCGCTTTTCTCTCCGCTTCCTGTACAGTCCCCCAGAATAAGAAGTCTACCGACATATTGAAATTAGTGAAAGTTCTTAAAACAGTCACAAACGTCTAAACTTGTCTGCTTCTTGCAAAGCTACTAGCGTCACGGTATAATTTCACAATCACGTGTCCCAAACGCGCTCGCCAACTCCGTCGCGTCAACCTCTCAAACCCTCCCCGCATCTTCAACTTCACAATCATCACCCAATTACAACCACAACCATGACATCCAACACGCCCACAATAATTGATCTCAAAACCTCCTTCCTCCGCACCCAAATCCAAACGCTCTCTCAACCCCTCCGCCCCTCATCCTCCCCTCTTCCCGAAACCGAGGAGGACGCTCCGCTGCGACAACGCGCCATCGATGACGCGCTCCTGAAACTCAACGCCCAGCTCAAGAAACATAATAAATTGGCGTATGGACCGCAGGCGATGAGACATGTGGCGGAGCAGATCGATAGGTTGTATTGGAATGCAGGGGAGAGGACTGTGGTGGGTGATGTTGGGGAGGAGTGGGCGGAGAGAGGCTGTGATTTTCGTATGTACTTATTTTTCCTCTTCCAATCATCCAATCAATCAATCAACCAATCAACCAACCAACTCTGTACATATAATATTAAGCAGAGTAGAGTGAAAGCTAATTCATATAACGTAAACCAGGCAAAGAAAACATAATCGACCAACTCCCCTCGACCTGGAGCGAAGAAGCAGAAGTCGAAGCCCCTGCCAAAGCAGCGCGGTACACGGAGCTGCAAACACGGCTGGAGGAGTTGAATGAGCGGAGAAGGGAGAAGACAGAGGTTGTCGAGAGGTATAGGGCGTTGAGGGGCTTGTTGGGACCGTTTGCGGAAGGGGGTGGGGTGCAGGGGAATCTGGTGACGAGGGAGGGGAATGTGGAGGCGGAGTTGGAGAGGATGAAGTTATTGATGGTTAGGGTGCAGCGGGGGGTGCAAGGGTTAGGGGAAATAGAGCATGAGGAGATGAATGTTGATGTTGATGTTGAGGGGGATGAGCAGAGGAAGGTGTTGGCGCTGTTGGGTGGGCAGTAGAGGGAAAATGTTCGAGGTGTTTTGAATTGGGTGTAACGGTATAATGAGAAATGATGGCGACGTTTTGGAGGACTCTGGGGCTGTACAAGTAACATGGAAAGGAATAGAGGTGGACGAGGACGTTCTCCAACGAACAGCTCACTAAGTTGAGTAAGAATTGCCAATACCCAAGACTCAGGTTTGCTTTCTTTTGCGTGCCTCATCATCTTACCAACGAGTGACCAATGTTTAGAACCTCGGGCAGAATTTAGACTATTCTAAGGCTGACAGTAGTCTTTTTCGACGTGTCTGAGCTTTTCTTTTTATAGTCTCTTAAATCTTGGTCTCTCTATCACCTAGCTCTTCCCGTGCAAAACTCACGTTTAGAGAGGAGAGGTTATTTTGTCATATGAAGCGGCTAAACCTGGCACATCATAATTAAATAGGTACCTTAGTATCCATTCACTTCTCCTACCTTCCTTTCCACTACAAAACCGCTAGATCTTCGGCATACCGGCAGATTCACATATACCAAGTATATATCGAAATAAGACTAACCACATCGTCAAACACAGAAAGGCGCCCACTTGGCCAAGTGGGTCAGGACAAATTGTGTATTGGCAAGTAGGAATGTAAAATCCCCTTTAATGTTTAACCGCTAGGGGGTTATCCTGAGGTCAGCGGCTGCTGACCTGAGGTTTTTGCATCTTTTTTATTACTTTTTTAATGCGAAAAAGGAATGTGTGGTCTTCAGATTGGGGTTTCTGAGTATCAGCGGTGGGTCGTATGACACAAATTCTCGCTAGAAATGAATATTTTCTTATGGTACCTGGGTTGTGTTCGCAGTCGTGAGACAGTGATATTTCTTTTGCCCAGGAGAGCGGATGAGTGGCTATAGAGATGTTTTCTTTTGGAGGCAATTGGCAAGACTTGGTTTTGGTCAGCCACACTGAATAAAGGAGAATCGCGTGGAGTTGGCATGCTTCTCCTGTATCTATATTACTATTTCTGTTTTCATTTGCTCAGTTGTATTACGAGAGTGATGTAAGATTACTGAGGTAGCGACTACGAGGTTATATTTTTGGAATAAAGACGTGTGAGTGACTTGTAGGAAGACTGTGCTACTTCTTGCTGTAATTTTTTTTTAGAAATGATAGACGCGGTCTTACATCAATAACCAGATCAAGATATATTCCAAATTGTATGATCTTTGAAGTGTCGTCTATGAAAGCCATTGCACGTTGTCCAAAACGTCCCCTTTCTTAGCCGAACACTCTAGCATTGACTTCAATGAAAAGGTCGCTGAACGCAAGAAAAAATCCTCATAGATGGAATAGGGGAAACTGTTCAGAAGGTAAGTTACGATAATCACTTTGCAACAGTGATAACTACCTGACATGATTTTTGAATACCTATCAAGTGTGAAAGCAATGCAAGGAAGAAAAACACGCTAAGTTGTAAGCGGTTAGCTTTCCTACCGGCACCCGGACGTTCCGATCTATAAGGTACAGTATGTGTCCTATTGTGATTGACAAGGCATTGTAGATTTTCAGCCTCGTCGACATCTCTCATCGTGCCGTTATTGTCTTAGGTTGTTCTCACACCGTGAACAGCATCCTCCAGTCCCCACCACCACACATCCATTCGCTAAACAAAGGGGGTTTCAGGGGAACTCGTGGGGGTCAAACTGTGGGGGTCAAAACACCAGAAGCAAGTTCCGTAAAGATGAGATGGCGGACCGGAACCGGATAAAAGATGATCCATACAAGTTCAACCAACGCAGATCAACAGCTACAGCTACAGCTCCTACACGTCGGTCCGTAGATCCACACCCAGACCCAGATCCCGATTCTGATTCTGGTTCCGACTCCTCTGCGAAGACGGTCATTTACGCACCTCTTGGACAGTCGATTTCTGCAAACCATCAATCCAATCCGCAACCTATAGTTGCAGCTGCAAAGAACGCTCCTCAGGCTTCTTCAAGCTCCTACGAAGTTCGCCCACCACACAGTACTGCCCCTCCTGCACTGACAGCTCGTCGAGAAATAAGCCCACGCGTTCCCTCGAACTTTGGTTCTCGCCTCACTGAAGCCGAGTTGGAGTCTCACCCAGTCATATACTCTACCGCTTTCGCCAGAGGTGGGTTCGTGGAGCCGCCGCCGACAGAACTTTCCTCGGACGCCTTAGCCAACCTGGGACTCCCAGTCAATCGATCCAGAAGAACTTCGGCCCATTCACCAGCTTCTCCATATCAATCATTTCCACCACTAGCCCCAGCAGATACTCAACGCTTCGCCGTTCTTGAACCTATCTTAACCCAGCCTTCCACTGGTCAAGATTCCCCAGCACTTCGCCGTCGGACTGGTCAAGTTACTCTTACTCGTACGAATCTCCTCATTGGAAATAACCCTCCATACCCTACTCAAAATCGAGCATCTGACAATCGCTCTTTTCCAGCTTCATCTGGCGCGTTCAGTCCTCAATCTAGCACGACCAACCAAAACGTAAACTTTGGTTATCCTCGTTCCCCCTCTGGACCTGGAGAAACACTCGAAGCATTTCCCGTTTTTTCGCCCCCTTCTACTTCGAGCCCTGCAAGTCAAAATACAGCTTCCCTCCCGCGTACTCGAAATAGAACACGTTCGAACTCGATCTCTCGAGAAAACCCTTTAGAATATCCAATTACAGGAGAGGAGGAACGGCTAGCGGGCCTTGTTCGAAGCATTAATCAAGATAGGGAGCGAGATACTGCGAGGAATCTTGCTAGACAAGCCGCTGTACGTAGAAACGATCTACAACGCTCTGGTGGATATAGAGGAACGACGTCGAGCAGATCCCCATTGCCTACCCCATTGGAACCCCCCATTCTTCGAACGTTTGATTATCGAGGAGCAACGTCCAGCAGTGGACAATACCTACTCCCGGTCGCAGATCCATACGATCGATCAACTACACCCACTCCCAGGAGTTACGCATCAGGCCGCGCTCGTGCACAAACCACTCAAGCTACCTTTGCCAACATAAACAACTCAAATACGGCACAATTCACTCGTACATCAGCACTTCAATCTGACTTTCGCCAACCCAATATCCGTCGCGTAGGTGAGCTAGAAACCCTTGGCTCTTCAAGCCGTTCTATCTCTCTGGGTCAGCAGTCTTTCTCTGCACCGGCCGAACCCCCTTCAAGCCGGCAGTCACAGTCCGGAGAGTCAACACCCACGACAACTCCAAAATCTATTGCCGATTCGTCTAATATTGGCGACTTCTATAGCTGGCGAGTAGAAGTTCCTCACTTTTCTCTTGAATCCGCTCGAGCCATTCTTCAAAAGGGCTACCTCCACGACACAGGAACCGCGCTTGATCGTGTCAAGGTCGCAAGCATGAATTTTCAGAGCTATGGAGAGAACCCACAAGGTGGACCTTCCAACCCCCGACAAGCCCCTCCATCACCATCTCAAGGTATGAATCACCAGAATGGAGTCAATGGTGGTATGGGCCCTGGCGCCGCCATGATTGGTTATCCTACCCCAGTCGGCCACCAATCCGACCTAAATTATGTCATGTCAATGGTCGACGAGCTTTCGGGTGTCCTTAGAATGAACCAACAGTTGACTGCTAACGTCGTTGACAAGATGGGAAGAGTCCGTGAAAAGGCTAAGAACCTCAACCTCAATAACGATGAATTGATTGGAGCAGCGGCGGGAGAATTGAGTGGTTAGTAGCCTTCTTTCATTTCACTTGAGATCACACCTAACATATCTACAGAAGAAAGTCAGAATCTCGACAGGGACATTTCTGAGCTTCGCAAGGCATTGGAGGACTCCGAATACGACAAGCGCGAGAATTTCAAGCTTGCTGTTCACGGCGCAGAAATCCTTGCTGATATCGCCGAAAAGGTTCACAAGTTCAAAGCAAGCCATGAAGCTGACACTTTGGCATGGCACAAAAACTACCGAAAGCAATTGGCGGATGAGCGTGAGGAGAACTTACGGCTACGCAACGAGATGAATGACCAGAAAGCTGCTGCCAGCCGTGCAAATGAGCACTTGCGTGCCATGCGTCGATATATTACTGACAACGACGAGCGCCACAACCTGAGGGTTGAGAACCATAGGCTTCGAACTGAGAAGCGCTTCTGGAAGAGACTTGCCTTGCCGCTGATCCCGGACGATGACTCGGAATGGTCCGATGACGACGATCTCATTGATCCCGAAGAGAAGAAGCGCCTGGAGGCTGCTCTGAAGGAGAAGGAGAGAATTGCAAGGGAAGAAGTGGAAGGAGAGGTTGAGGGAGACGCTGGCGCGGGTGCTGCTTAAATGGCTTTTATGCCCCTAAGGTTTGTTGAATATTGCCTTGGTGATCAGATCAGGTTACGGCTTACGATAGTTGCATGGTGGCGTTATATACCCAGGGATGTATTTTGTGTAAATGGCTAGGAAGAAATTATGGTAGCAATCCTGCATGCATCAGTGCGCTAAGCGCTATACATATCGTACAACAGCATCTAGAATATGGAATGAAAATTCAAAAACTCATGCCCGCTCTACTGTCGCGATTTCTGATACTATGTTTGTAGAATAGAGGGGTAATACTCTCACCCTTTGCATGATGACAATAGGTAAATCACAGTCAACGTCGGTCTCAAGGAAGAAATTCTTTTTCCTTCAGGCCTACAACATAATAGAGGTTGGGGGAAAGGGTGGCATAGGTCAAGGAATCCGGCCTCACACATGGAATTGGCACTTGTTATCATCACTCATGTATTGCTGTACGAGTAAATGTGCAACTCATCTACACAAGTCCGTCTCTCCACCCATCATATCTCATTGGCTCCAATTCGCTCATTCATCGCTCATGCCTCATGCGTCATCCACTGACTGGTATTTCCCCAAAGAGAAGAGGTATCAAGCTCCATCGCAAATGCAATCAACGTGTATCGGCTTGGGACACGATAGGAGAAGTAAATCTAAAACAGAGGAAAAACAGGGCTTTTAGACAGACAAATCAATATAATCCAGCGACCAACTTCACTCAGGAACACCCCTGAGCATGGTATAATATCCGAGAGGAAGATTGATGGAGTAGCATGAAACTTTGAATATCCAGAGAAGTTGAGACTGGTGCTACCGGGAAGTTGAGGCAACAGCTCACAAATCGTACATGTCCCAGCCATCCAACGGTTTGATGATAATGTTATCGGCATGAGAGTATGGTTTCTTAAGATCGTCGGGTTTTGCCGCTGCTTCGGCGTATTCGTACCTCAGCTCTTCCTCGAGTCATAGCTCGTCATCGTCCTCTGCCAGCTCGGCTGGCTTTAGTAAACCACCAACCTTTGACAAGCGTTCGCGCTCTGCTGCTTTGGTTTCACGGTCGAGTTGCTCCTTCTCTTCGGCAAAGAGCTCGGCATTGTCGCCGGCAAATTCCTTCAGTTGAATCAGGAAGTCACGAAGGTTGAGCTTGAATCTATCGTATTGATGGTTTTGAGAGAACAAACCCTCAACAAAAATTCCGATTTGAGTCCTGGAATCAGTTAGCACATGAAATTTGGCGGGGATAACTGCAAACGTACGGCTGCAAATTAGGGAAAGCATTTTGCAACAAATTAGCTACAAAACCACCCAAGAACTCCTTATTGCTCGTGCCAGCTGGCGCCTGATCAGAGGTATAAATAGGGCCTTGGACCTTTGGTGGTGTTCCATCAGCGGGATGAATCAGATAGAACATCTTTGCCAAGAGCATAGACTGAGCCTTGAATCCAGCCTTGTGGTCCGTATCGGTAAGCACAAAGAAAACGTCCTGTAGGATAGGAACGAAGAACTGCTGGAAGAAGGCGTTCGATGTCGCTGGGTCAGTCTCTGCAATATTGCTAATCAACTCGAGACACATGTTGAGACCAGCATGTTCGACCTCGCGGTTATCATGCTTGCTTGCCCACATGCAGGAGTCAATAACAAACTTGAACTGTCTATTATCAAGCTTGAGGAGGGCTATACATCTGTTAGCTATTATGAAGTCCGCAATATACAATTTAACCTACCAGGAAAGCAGTGGATATTGATAGCCCGAAGGAGGGAGAAGAACTCGACTCTGTGTTCCGGAAATTCAGAGAAGTCCTTGTTGATCATCTCCAGAGTGCACTCGAAAACGTTCTCCATGATCGTTGGCACTTGATCTTCCATAAGAGACTAAAACCCAGGTTAGTCATTTAATTCGGAAGTAATCGACACTTTATATGATTCCAAATATGAAAGAGGGGATGCACCACCGAGTATTTCGAGCGATGTGGGGTCCAACGTACCGAAAGCTTGGTAATGATTGCCGAAATAACTTTCAGAACCTCTGCGTCTCGTGCGTTGGGCACGTTTCGATTATAGTCGACAAGGACTGCGTCAAGGAGAGCAGGTACGATATTTGTCCGAACCATCTCGAGATCATCAGCCTTCTCAACATAGGTCTCGATGAGCTTCAATATCTCTTTCTTGATAGTCCGTAATCCGCGAACTTTGGGCATCTTGGTTGCGATCTCACCTGTAAACCGTTAGCAAAACATTCGGCAACCCGGATATTTTCAACTTACCATCTCGAGCAACAGCTTCAGAAATCATCTGACTGGTCGCACGATACATGGACAACATGTCCAAATATATTCTGCCGATTTGAGGATAGAAGTAACCTCCGATCGAAGTGCAGGCAGAGACATTTGTCTTCATGACGTTGCCAATAACTTTGATAGTGTCCGCATCTTGCAAGATTTGAGGGTTTGCCGTAGCTTGTTGGATAATAGCATCCCAAGCAGCATTTGGGTAGGACATCAACTCGGCAATGAGTCTCTCTTGTGTGTTTTTCTGAGGCTGCGCAGCAATCATGTAACCACAAGCCTCGTAGAAAGTGTGAACTTGTTGTGGTGAGAGATCGCAGGTGATTTTGCGCATGCCTCGGACAATCTCTTCGATAAAAGGCTCATTCTCTCCGGGTTGTAAGGCAACAAAATGCCTCTTGCACTGCCTCGCAATCTTGATGAAGGTATCGCAAGCCATATCCTGAACACCCTCGTGTGATTCATGCATGAACTCGAACAGCTTGTTGACGACCGTCTTCAGGAATTTCCAGTGCGCTTTCAAGAATCGAGGGTACTGTCCCACAATGTACATGATGTTACTTGCCACCACAGCTTTGTTGTCCTTGCCACGTTTCATCTCGGTCAGGCCAAGAAGATCCTTAATCACAGTGACCAAAAAGCGCTTCTCGGTCTCCTCGTTCATCGCCAGCGAAATGGATCCGATAGCCCAGCACAAGGTGTTGCAATTGGCCCATGACCATTCAGAACCATCGACTTGGCGAGCAAGCTTATCCGTCATGATATTCTCGGTATCAATAACGTCCAAGTGAGTGAGATAGACGAGGCACTCGCGTGTGGTCTTGTATAACTGAATAGTATCACTCTCCTTTACAAATTCTCTAACGATCTCTCCTTCATCATTTTCGACAATCAAGACTTCTTCGGGCCGTACCATCTTCTCAATCATGACCACTCTTAGGTTCGAAAGCACCTCGTTGTATTTGTGCTTACGGAGAGGGTAGTTGGCTAGTAATTGCGGATTTGGTGCTCCTGAATTTGTGATACCGCCGACGCCCATGCTCAAGAGCGGGTTTGCATCAGTGATAGGTAATGACTGCATTTCCTCGAATAATTCGCAAACAAGCTTGGTCCAGTATTCGAGACAAATTTTGAAGATTTCTCGGTCGTCGATTTGCGAAATACGAACGAGGTAGAAATGGGCGTGGGTAAGGAAATCGCGGTTCGGGAGGTTCTCGATGAGCTGATACATAAGTCAGCCTACAAATCGTAACTATTGCTAGAAGACTTACATTTAGATGTACACTGAAAAAGTTTGTTAGGAAAAGCGCAAGATTTTGGATGAATTCCTGGTCCTTAGAGTTACTTGAACTATAAGTCGCCTTGAGATCTAGAGAAAGAGGGATGATCTTGGATATGGTTGTCAAAACCTCCGTGAACATCTGTACAAGCTTCTCATCATACGCATTTTGGGATCCAGTCTGCAGGCCTCCAATTTCGGTCAAGCACTTCAATGTGACGTTACGGAAGTCGGGCATTTCCAAGAATCGTGTGCGGAGGGTGTCAATAATAGGAGTTTCGAAGATATACCCAAGGGGAATCCAGTTGAAGAAGCGAAGAAGAGTCTCCAAAGTAGCCTTGATCAAGCTGGGCTGGGTGGCACTGTTCAGAACTTCGCTGCAAAGCTGGAAGATCGACGAGAACTCTGCGCACATGGTGGTCTTCAAGTTCTTTGTCTTTGCAGAAGTCATCTGGTCCGCCGAGTAGTCGAAGACCTCCTCGGACAGCAGCCGCAGGATGGCCATGTTGTTTTCGCATATCGAGAGATTCGTGTGACATGATGAAATTATTTCGTTGATGAAGGTGGGCCAGTTGTGAGGCCATTCCTGCTTGAGTATGGAGACGAGAACGAGGTTGAGTTTATTGATGAGGGTTCGTTGGGTTCTCAAGGACTCTTCAGAGCTGGAGGACTGGATGATAAAGTTGACCACGAAGTTTCGAATACCTAGGAATGAGTTAATACAAAGAGTATTATCATAGGAATGAAATCCTTGCCTTGACACTGCTCCTTTGGTAACACCTTCCATCTTGTCATGACAACGTTATCGAGTACTTGCAAGCCCAGGTCTATACATTTGTCAGCATGGTTGATACCAATGGTAAATCCGGCAAGGAGACAAACACTTGGTCTGTGGGTATGTTGCATCTTGCAATATCTTGTCAACTAATAGCCAGGCATCCGGATCCTCCTTGAACTGTTTCGATGAATTAGCCGTTGTTTTTGAAGTACGATCGCAGGCGCAGGAGATCATACCTGATTCAGAGAAGCCTGAGCAGCTTTTTGCTATACACACAACGCGTCAGCAGACATCCTCAGTACATAGGTAAAGAGCTCCCAAGCCCATGGATACTGACTGAGTCCCCTCGTCCTTCGTAGAAACCGCGGACAGTCGCGTCAAGCTCTTCAATGGTGGGAGCCATCTTAGCCGCCTGATCTTAAAAATTGTCACCTTCTCCCGCAGCGATAGATAATTCCACGTTCCAAGTTGTGTCTGTGCAGCTTACGCTGAAGAAGGTGGTCTTCTTGAGAGGTTGAGTTGGTTGTGGAAGATGCAGTTGAAGTCGAGGTTGGTTTATGGTGGGGTCAATAATGAGGCTGGCTGGGAGGCGGAAGGATTTCGGTGCCAAGCAATTCAGGCCAGCACATTCACTGCCTTCCACGTGACTGTCAAATTCCGGCAAATTCTCCGCCTTGTTGACCGCAAGATTTACTTTTACAGCACACCTTCGGTGTTTTTCTTTCAATCGCGTTGATTTCTAATCTCAAAATGAAAAGACTATCGCTTGTTCTGATTTGGGTTCTATACAGAATATCCTCGAAGCTGGGCTAGTGCCATTTCTACCGCTATCCTCAGGACGTGTCTTGCATGTTTCCAAAACTTCTGTAGAAGCTTCTACGAGCCATTCTTCATCTTCCCTATCAATGAATACCCAGAGAAACATATATTTTCTAGAACAGGTAGTATACTTGCAGTTTCCGGAAATTTCCCCTCATATAATCGAGGATGGGCTTATGATCAATGGCCACAAATTCACCACCCTTCTCTCGGTCCATCATTTTTCAAACCAAACACTACAGTCATACTGAAGCACTAATTAAACCATTTTCTAATTGCACAAGTCTCTGATTATTATGCGCAATCATCTATTACTCAAAATAATCAACATTTATCTCATCTCCTCGCAACATTACCACCAAAGCTTTATGCTAATGTGCGTACAAACTCTCTTCTAAATTAAGATATTGCCCACCGAGCTCAATCAACAAAGGCCCATCTTACAATAGTGCAGCAAATATCCCCGGCAACCCTGCAAACCCAACCACATACTTCGTCATATGCATAGCGCTCAGATCATCAGCACCTGAAGCTTGCTTGACAGTCGTGGAAGCAGAAGTCGAGGCTGAGGCAGAAGCCTTAGAGGAAGTGGCACTCGCTTTACTTGCATTTCCGCTTGCAGAGGAGGATTTTGGGGTGGATGAGAGGACGGATGAGGCTTTGGTAGCTGATGCTGCGGAGCCGGTGCCGCTGGCTGCTTTGGAGGAGGCGACTGAGCCTGCGGAACCGGTGCTTGTGGTTGCTCTGCTGGAGGATGCGGTGGAGGTTACTGGGACGACGGAGCTGGTTGAGGTTGCTCTGCTGGATGAAGAGCCCTGGTGGGAGTTAGGAATTGTAAGGAAATACAGTTGGCATGTTGTGAACTTACGCTCTGGGCTAAAGCACCGGTGGCGAGGGCTGCGACGAGGATAGATGAGAAACGCATATTGAATGAGTGTTGAGGAGAGGTTTTGTTTATGCTTGGACGGTGTTCTTTTGAGTGGTTGGATGTTCTTCTCAATGACTTGCAGGGCGCAGGAACTTTCCCTTTATATACTTATCAGCCATCTCTACTCGGGATCTTTATCTTCCACATCTCATCACGCAAGCTGATCACCAATGTGATCTAGAGTATCATCTAGCCCATCCATTTCCGCCTTCAATATTCCGTGATGATAATCTAGACTGTTCATCACCTCCGCTTTGATCCCCGAGGCTTCAATTCGGCGTAAACATGGTTCTAAGAATATTTACAGAAAGAGGCAAGTAGTATTCCCTAGGTACCTTTCCCGTGGGGTCTCCTTTTTGGCGCGGAGCACGTGCTGGACTTGGAGCGCCGCAGAGATTTAAGGCGTCATGCATAGCGTTCCTACTGGCTGACGAGAAAACAAAATCAAACACCAAGATGTCAAAAGCCACGAAACATTGCACGCAAATGCGCCATTCAATTTCGTGATTTCAGAACGTGGAATATGTCCTTTGCCTTTAGGCGAAAATGTTTTCAGTATTGCTTTTTATGAACCAAAACTAATGACTCCCCATCCTCTTTAGGCTTTTTGGTAACCTGCATCTAACAATCCAGCCTCCAATGATTTGATGGCAAGATCAACATCATCACGTTTAGGGTCAGTCTAAAATGTAAATTAGTCGATAGATCCCATGAATTGAGCAGAATGGAAGACGACCTACCACACTAACACCCATGTGGCCAACTCTGATGTATTTTGCAGCGATTTCTTTATGCAGTCCACCAGCAAAGATCACGCCCTTCTTCATCAAGTTTGGAAGCAGTACTGGAGCCGTAACATTTTCTGGAAGGTAGATGGCAGTCATCCCATTGGCTTGATCGGCAGGGTCAGAGGCCAGCTGTTTCAAGCCAAGAGCAGCAACAGCCTTCTTAATCTTTTGAGATGTCTCTCTATGAGCTGCGAAGCGTTCAGATAACGGCTTAGACAGTATTTGGGTCAATGAGGTATGGAGAGCGTGAATTAATTGCGGTGAAGGGGTAGCAAAGTACGAGGGCTTCTTCGCCTCGTAGTTTTGCATAACTATTGGGGACATGCATTAGCTTGCATCCTAATCTAGTGGTACCTGATTTAACTTACTGGGTAGCCAGTTCTTGAATGATGCAAAGTAAGATCCAGGGGGTGTTTTTCTGCTCTGGAACGACTTGATCGCGCGGCCACTATACATTGAGATGGACAGGCCTGCGGGACATCCAATTGCTTTTTGGCTGGCTGTGATTACACCATCCAGCTGCCATTTGTCGAACTCAATTTCCTCACAACCAACGCTGCATACACCATCGACAATAAGCAAAGTCTCAGGAGAAACTCTGTGCACTAATTCTGAAAGTGCCTTAAGCTCGCTCAACACGCCCGTAGATGTATCGACGTGGGTGACCGTCAAAAGCTTGTACTTCTTCTCCTTCAGCGCCTTCTCGATTTCTGGCAGTTGAGGTCTTGATCCGATGGGTGCCTTCAATTCTACATCACGGGGAAGTTAGTTTATTCCTATTCAAGAGTGTTTTGGGAGCAGAAGAAGAGCAAGTTCCCTTTTTAGAAAGTATGGAAGGAGTAGTTGGAGTACATGAGACGAAACATGATAGAAGGGGGTAGGGTAAAATTAAAGAGCCAGTTATCCTTACGTGTAGCCTTGACACCATATGTTTCGAAGCAGTCCGAGAAGGAGTCTGCGAAATAACCGGTGTGTAAGACTAAGACATCATCACCGGGCTCCGCCAAATTGGCGGCAACGAGATCCCACCCAAGCGTTCCGGAGCCAGAGATAACGAATGGTTGGGAGGTAGGATCAGTCGTTTGGAAAAGCTTTCTTAGCATGGAAAGAGTCTCGCTGAAGGTTGCAACAAAGGGAGCTCCAACATGACTCTCGCTATAGTGGATTGCCGGTCAGTCTAATTCAGATGAGATAGATAGTATGACAGAGGAGATGTATGAGTTATCTACTAACCTGTAGTGGCTCATAGACTGTAACACAGCATCGTCAAATTCGATGGGCCCCGGAATGAGCAATGCGGGGTGGTTTGCCTGACTTGACATCTTGGGCTTTTCGGTAGTTGAAGAAGTCGAATTGAAACGTTTATCTTGGCGGGTATAGGTAGAAGACGCGACGGAGTATGGAGTATTGAGGGGAATGGCTGGACGAGTATCCAAGTGTCTGGAGATCACAGACAGGCGTTCGTGGGGAGCCACTGTGTTGATGGCGGGGTAGAGTCTTCGGAAAGCCACGGTTGTTGACGTACCTGTCGTTGCCGATTGGGCAGCGTAACAGGGGAAAAGGGGCTGGATGAGGAAATTTTAAGTGGAATGAGGACGAGGACTCGATGTACGATTCTGGCGCTGTCTTCCAAGTGTATGTACCTATGTACCTAGGTATATCAGGATCAGGATCAAGATAAGATCAAGCTGCTGGAGTTGTAAATGTCTATCGATTCACTTTCCATTCCACTCTTGCTCCCTTTTCTCGACTCGAAAAACAGCGCCAGCCTCCGAAATCGCAGGGACATCACGTGCTCGGCTGTTTTGGCAGAACAGTCTGTACATGTACGAAGAAAGTGGCGGAATAGACAAGCGAGTTTTAGTCCCTTTCCCTTATTCCGTCAGTTATTTCGTACACGTAGAGACAGCACAGTGCAGTGTTGGATTTAGGTGATAACATAAGCATGACTGACCACAATACTGGTCTTTAGGTATTTGGTTATATTCTCTTCTTGATATATATATTACTATATATGACTTGACCTCTTTATGCTAGCTTTAAACCCTATTCCATTGAATACTCTTATCGTATTATGCTAAATATTCCGCAGATGGAAGCAACGTTGGACGCGCTTTCCAAATCAAATATGCACTATACAGCAGCAGAGACGAAAGCTTGTCTCTTCCATGTTGAACTATTCTCTTCATCTTTTGTCTTTTTGCTCTCTACTCACACTGCCTCATCATTCCTATTGTCATTATACATATGGCATCTGCGCTTTCTGTTCTTCCACGGCAAAGCCACCCCTTTTCGCAATGTCTGAGTCCACGGGCTTGCGGACTGCGTGTGAACCCCTACACCAGATTCTTCAAGAACCGGTCGCTCCCTTGAACTTCTCACAGTATCTCCAGATCATCTTGGCGGACTATACTTCCATTTCTATCCTTGCGCTATTCACTGTCGGTATATGGATAGCCCCAATGTACTATGTTGAATGCCGCGTTATTCCGCTATGGCCATCAGGCAGCTCCATCCACGATCTTCGAGGGCCCATACTGCTGGATTATCCACAAATACCAGAGCCTTTGCCCTCGTGGTCTTGCGGCTTCGTCATTATCTGCGTTCCTCTCTTGATCGTTTCAGCTTTCCAGATTCAAACCCGTCGTCTCTGGGACCTTCATACCGGAGTAATAGGTCTCTTGAAAGCAGTGCTTACGACGTATGACACTCCTCATGCATTGTTTCCCACACTCTAGGATCATAATTAACCCGCATGGAACGGCAGGACTTTCGTCGTTACGATTCTCAAGCAATTCATTGGCGGCTTCCGACCTCATTTCATCGACGTCTGTAAACCGGATATGAGTCGTGCATTCAAGGAAATTGGCAAGGAGTTATATTGGTTAAACGCAACCGCTTGTACTGGAGCGCCATATGACGTCAAGAAGTCGTAAGTCAAGACTTCTAGTGCAGCATTTGAGGATGGAATACTGACTCAGAAAAGAATGCAGAGTTTCCCCAGTGGACATACTGCCAATTCTTTTGCCGCCGCAATATTTATTTCTCTCTTTCTAAACGCGCAACTAAAGGTAATCGCCGACCACGCATCGACTACATGGGCGGTGACTACCACTATTGCACCTTTGATCGGTGCATCCCTTATTGCTGGATCAGTGTATATATCTCATGTTAGTGTCTTGCCATCATATACGTACCTCTAATTGCTGACAAATCATACCTAGCAACACCATGCTGATGATATTGTGTTTGGTATAATCATCGGACTGTCACTTGGTATCCTATCTTTTCGTTCTCGGTACACTACAGTGCTCGACTTCCGATATAACCATATACCTCTTCCACCGCATGCCACGTATACCACCACGTTTTTCACACAAGCCCTTTCTTGGAAGGTTGAAGATAACGCTGCTGAGGGAAGTCCAGCTCAAAGTGTCGATATAGCTGGATGGAGCCGCTGCGAAGAGACGAATCAGAGGACTTCTTGGCTGCGGAGTACCAACCGTTTCGAAGTAAAGTAGTGAATCAGAAGTGAAGAATAGATGACTACAAGTACACAGGTGCCCTATCAATTCAACAAAAGGCTAGGCGGGATCATGTGTGCAGGCATACTAATGGATGGAACAAGTTGTCGGGGCGAAATTAAAATTGGAACTGGAATATTAAGAGAGAAAGAGTTTCACTAGTCCTAGCCAGTATTCATTAACTTTTCTGTGTCTAGCTGCCAAGATGGCCCGGTGCAGTAAGTGGTGAGAATGTTTCATGATCCCCATCAAAAAGTGTAAGTCATACACTATCTTCTGAAGATCTCTGAAGGCCGATTTGGATGTTTGTTAAATTCATTCCTAGCTTGGTATGCACATTGCTTTGTTTCCATATCTATACCACGTCGTGCTGCTACAAAATTCGGATATTTTGCCATTTTCAAGTCACAGACATTTCCACAAGTCTCATGATTTTCCTTGGGTTTTTTATGTTTCAAACCATACCACATATTCACTTTCGCGGGTGCGGCTTGTAAGGCTTTTGGAGAACAATATCAAGCTCTCGGCTAAACTATTTCTCCGGCCAGCCCCTTGCCCCCTTTGAGCTTCATTGTTCTACCTCCTTCGTATTATTCTCCTAGCATGGTGAACGAAATCCATGCTGGTCTGGAACAATATGCTGCTGGTTCATTGTTTCAAAGGCAATCTCAAGTCTTCAATGATGAGCGCCTATCTCGTGTGCTGCCGTCCAAAACTACTTCAGACTCAATATTCCATCAACTTCCCACAAAACTTTCCTTCAAGAACATACAGAACATCACCTGCTCCTTTCCGTTCTTTCCCACTCAAGTACATCTCAAATCACCAAGAGAAACCCTACTCATACACACACTAAGAACGTTCTATTTTGCGGAGCATTTCTCCCTTTACCGCGGTCACTTCAGTCGATCTTCTTCCCTGTCCTTGGAGACACCTGCTAGTCCATTTGCAAGCAAATTCGAATAGCAGGCGTTGCCATTTACTACGAGTTGCTACCTGTAAGAATAGCCACCATCTTTTCATCTTGCAAACAATCTAACAGTATCAGTGAACCGATTTTTCTATCGCATTTCTCGACACTTCATTCATGAAAATGACTTCCACTGATACAATCATGGACTTCAACCCTTACACACAAAATGTTACCTTTCTACTCGCAGATGGGGTTACTCCTTATTCGGTCAGCATGGCAACACTTGATTACGACCGGTCTCTCGACTTCGCTATGGCCATCAGCTACGGCGCACAGATTGGTGCTTGCTTGTTGATGCTCTTCTGCGTCCTTCTGCTCACCACCGACGCCAAGAGATGGGGATTGCTCTTCAATCTCAACTGTGCATGCCTCTTCACCGGCTTCCTCTCCCGCATCTTTTTGTCGCTGTTTTATACTTCGTCATATGAGAGACTCTACACATACTACTCGCCTGAAACGCCTCAGGTTCCGCAATCTGATACGACAGTCAGCATCATCAGTGCAATCTTGCCGATCTTTCTGACAATCTTGGTTAACCTGTCTCTGCTCTTACAAGCTTATACCGTCCTCCAAACCGTTCAAAAACGCATCATCCGCTTCGCAGCATTGTTCTTTTCTGGTCTCGTTTTCCTCCATGCTATGACTTGGAGATTCGCAGAGGCTGTGGTTAATGTACAGGCGATTGCGACAGGTTCGGTATTCTATGGGTACAACTGGTTGATCAACGGAGCGTTGGCCGCCGAAACCATTGCCATATGGTACTTCACCATCGTCTTCACTACCAAGTTGTTCATGAACCTCAGGGCCCGCAGACTCTTGAATCAGCCTTCATGGTCGAAGATGGAAGTCATCACAGTCATGGGATTGGGTACGATGATTATTCCATGTAGGTCTTCCCTCCGCAACGTTTCAAGAATCAATCTAACATCGATTAGCAATTTTTGCTATTATCGAATGGACTCACCCGGAGAAATTCCCAGAGGCAGGCTCTTTGACTGAGATTCTTGTTATCCTCCTGCTCCCACTCTCAAGTCTGTGGGCTTCTGTCACCCCCAATTCTCAGACATGCTCGATGCGATCACCGAGTGACGGGAGATCCCAAACCTCAGTGAATATGTCAAGATCTTTCGGTGACAAGTTTGGCTCTTTTTCTACGGGTATATCATCAAAATTTAACTTCATAGGTCGCCGAAAGAGCAATGTTGTTCCCCTCAACCAGGCAAACAGCTCCTTCGAACCAATTCCAACAACAGTAGAAAGCATTCCTCCGTCGCTGAGACACGGTGCTGAGGTGGATATGGAGCCCATGGGAGTTCGAGTTGAACGATCTTACAGCGTTCGTACCGGACGAGAGTAGAATAGGATGTAGCGAAGGGCAGAGTAGGAGGCTTTCAAGTAGATATTTTCTCTATTTCATTGAGAAGCTGTGCATAGTTCTGCAGACTTGGAAGTCGGGAAGTTATATCCAATTGGAGGCAGGCACATAATTTCCTTTCATTGTAATTAAGGAAGCAACTATGAAGCAGCATTTCAGTACCGGGGAGCTGCTCTTTCCTAAATAGAAATTCCTAGTCACAACTACCTTGGTCTCTTTTTTCGGTGACCAAAGCTACGCCTCTGGAAGGGTTCATGAGATATTCCACCCCAGAAGCTTTCCTATTCTTGAACATTCCACTTACACCTTATTTTTCAATTCTAAAATAGCCTCGATATACCATTGGTTAAGAATCAGAGCATTCGGGAGCTCAGCACCACATAAGGATCTTATATACCACGTCAATGCTTCTCCTGCACCACATCTGTCCATTTCTGGAGGTGGGAGAGTCTCAACCATGCGAGGCTCACAGCAAACAGTATCTTGGCACCATGAGAGCATCCCTAATACCACACCGCAACGATCTCGGGTTTCTGGTAACCTGTTTTCCCTAATCAGCAGATTCGAAGAATTCGATGCAGTCAGTCTGCCTATCAAAAGGAAGTCACTACAGCCCGCTCCGCTCCAATTGTCGCACGCCTCGTCGAAACGGCCTATGGGAGTGAAAGCGACCCAGATCAGGAAACTTTCAAGAATCTTTGGTCCAAAAGACAAGAGCAAGGGCACTCAAGAAATTGTTAACTCCCTAGACGAGGCTGCGCTGGATCGAGGGGACTTTAAAGGTGCACAGGGCAATCTTGACGCAAACTCGTCAGCGAGGAGACACGAAAAGGGCAAACCTCAAAAGGCGCGCTCTTTAAGCAGAGCTATTCCAATCAGACCCCATGAGACATCCCAAGACAAAAGAGTCGTGGATACTGTGGGGCAAGAGAAAGGTGAAGGAGGCTCGAGAAGACGCAGGACAATCAAAGACATTATTAGCTTATACGATGGAAGTATGAATCTCTATTTCTCTATTTCTCTCTCTCTCTCTCTCTCTATCTTGTTGAGGTTCACTAACACCATCTGGTAGCAGTATCTACTGGACGTAATACAAAAGCGAAGCCATCACTGGCACCTCCACCACTTCCGACAACTCCAGCTGGAATTCAGAGAAAGCATACCACTTGTGATTATTGTGATTATTGTGACAAGAAAAGCTACTCTAGCGAGCTAGTGAACACCCATAGTCCCACAAACTCGGCGCACAACACCCCCTCCAAGAGACGTGATCTAGTATTTGAATCCTCGGTGGCTAATCCTTTTCTTACAACAACGAAAGCTGCCACCTCTCCGAAATTGGAAAATGAATGGCACGAGACTGAGAACAAGCCCCAAAACTCGCAAGGCAGAAGCCATGCAACCCCTCTAGACGATAACAATACGAATAGAAGAAACATTGAAGTCAATGACACGACACCAACACGAGAGCCTCGAGGTCGATCAGTTGCGCTAAGTACATCAGCGATAACAGGACGAAGCGTGGGCCGAATTCCAAGGACAGTCAGTGATAAGATTGAGGCGATCTATCATGCAAAGAGTCTGGAGCGTCACGTTGAAAGCGTACAGGCGCCGGAGTACGCAACGACACCCCGGAGCTTGAACAGAATTGGCAATGCTAGAGATGACAGCAAGAAAGACACAACGAGCATTGAAGGTGGAAGGATCTCTGCTGATATAGCATTCAAGGTGGCAGAGATGAAAAGGATCTTGGAGGAACGTCTACAGCCAGAAGCTCGGGTGATACCGGCATCACCAGCGGCAATGTCACCCTCAAAGACGCCTGCTCCTAATTTCTCTAGGAAGATCAAGGTGAACAGCAGTATGGTCGAGCCTAAACCAGCTCCTCCTTCTCCTCCACCTCCATACCTGTCTCCATCTCCACCTCCAATCCCACCACCCATGCCGGAGTTTAAGAGAAAGAAAATACCCCGTGTTTCTCCAAAAACCATCTTAGAGTCAGCGCCGATCGTTCAACAAGAAGATTCCACATTCATGCAAGAAGCACCCGTCCCATCACAGCCTGATCCCGCTGACTTACGGCCGCTGGGGAGGAGCATGGGTGTTGAGGACAGAGTCAAGCTCTTTGAAGACATTGTAGAGAAGTTAAGCCCGGGCAAAACACAGAAGAAAGAAGCAGGCTTTTCGGGCAAGACGATTAGCAGCTCAATGATCAGCAAGCGGAGAACGTTCTTCGAGTTGTCTGAATGGAAGAAGCTTGGTGCCGAGCAAATTAAACGCAGTCTAAGTAGGGAAGATATCCAAAGTATCATAGATGAGTTGCAAAAAGAGTCGCAGGATAGAGCTAACGACAGGGGGAATTCCGATCCTCAGAGGCAAACAGAGAAGGGTACGGATAAAGTTGGCAAGCCTGGTGAGTGTTGCCGCTCGTCTTCAGGCAGCAGCGAGGTAGACATGGTGGTAAAGGAAGCGCAGTGCGGCTTGATACAGCCAAAACCCACCAGAGCAGCTGAGTTGAAAAGAATGAGGCTTCTTTGCAGGGGGAAAGGGGGGCATACCGCGCGCAAAGAGAAAAGGAGCACGGAGAAGTTGTGATATTACTACACTCGAGCATAAACATCTTCCCAATGAAACTACTCATATCAATTGAATGCCTTTGACATTCGTTTTAGCCTTGGAATCATGCATTCGTCACTCAATAAGTAGCCAGTCCCATGCCCCTCCCAACCTTTCTCACCAGCGCCTTCTTCAAATACCACTCCCTCGCCAAACTCCTTGTCAATTTCGCAAACACAGGCGCACTGACCCTACCCCTTTCTACAGCCCGCCCAAGCACAAACAATGCGTCCCCTAGACTCCGCTCCTCGCTCACAAGTTCATAAAGCTGGTTCCCGACAACAGTAGGCGCTACAAGTAGCTCGTCTACATTCGGCGCTGTACGGTGCTGGCTTGACTCGATGACAGAATCGGCATCGTGGAGAGCGGTGTGCAGGACGGAAGTGTTGGTGTTCAAGAGGCTGTTTAAGGATTCGAGGGCTGACATCTCTGCTTGCATGTTGGAGAGGGCTTGGAGCATGGCTTTGTGTTGGGATTCTAGGCCTGGGATGGAGGATGTGGTTTGTGTGCGTGTGTGTTGTCGCTGGGATTGTAGTGCTAGGCCGATGTTGTGGAGCATCATGTCCTTTTCTGGGTTTGGGGGAATAGGGGGTGCAGGGAGGTTGGTGGAGGCTTGGGATGGGATGGGGAGAGTTAAGGGGGCATCTATTAGGTCTGGTGGGGGGGGGAGGCTTTTGGTGTGGCTGCGGTGGTTGGTGTTGGATATACTGTTGTTGCTGTTGCCATTGGGCTTGTTGGTTGGGGTATGGTTGCTGTTGCATATATGATGGCGGCATTTGGGGCCGGTTTTGTGGTGGGCCACCTTGTTGGATGGGATTTGATGTATATTGAGGTTGCTGGGGTGGCTGATATGTTTGAGTATATGAAGGACGCCTATATGGCTCTTCTGGCGGGGTGATTGGACTAACTGGGCTGTGCGACTCTCTCCTGTCTTGTGGTTGAGGTGGTAAAGGAGGCGCTGTCTCATACCTGAGACTACTGCTCCTCTGGGGTGCGTGTGAACGCCCACCTGGTGATGACTGTATTGGCGGGCCATATCTCCCTCCATCATAACTAATCTGCGTAGGCAAAGGTGGCAAGGGTGGTCCGCTGTCTCTTCTTGATGGGCCGGCTGAAGAGTATGGCTGTGAATTGCTCACCGGCTTCGGGGGAGGAGGTGGAGGTTGCTCAATTACACTCGAAGCTCCAGAAGGGGGTCGTGCTACGCCTACGCCTGGGGGAAGTGGGGGTATTGGAGGAGGGGCTTGTGCTGACTGCGGTCGTGGAGGGGCAGTATTCTGCTGTCGTGAGATGACTGGAGGTTCATTGGCAAATACATCGCGTAGTATTGCTAGAAAGTCGACAATATTGGACTTCTATTTTCACACCTACTGTCAGAGTGTCCAACAGAACAATCCCAATTGATGCTACTCACATCCCAGTATTCGGCCCATCCCACCAGATATGGATGATAAATCTTTCCCTGAGGATCAACATGCTGCCCAGGCCTCACTGCCATCCCCTCTGTTGGGGTAACATAAACCAAAGGCGCTTCTTGAGGATATCCGTGTTGTACCCATAATGCGACTGGAAATCGATACGTCGTGCCTCGAAAGTTGACGGGAAGGGTGCCTGAAAGCTGGAGGAGAAGGGCAGAGGCACCATTTTCGTAAGCTACAGTCGCATGATTAGCATCACGCTGAAGGCAGAAGATGCAAAGAAGTACTGTAGACCTCTGTTCTCGGTGAGAGGGAGGAGTAATGTGATAGTGTCTGCGCTACATCGTTGTATGTGCGGTTCACATCTTTGTATTCCTACTGTAAATTAGTAAAAGAAATAGGACAGGATTTTAGTAGCGGGATCTTACACTTGTTAAAACACTGTACAGCCAGTTCAAAACCTGCTGCCGAACAGCAGCCATAACTACACTGGCTCTGGCATTGTGATGCACATGCCATGCTGAAGCTGTATCCATGACTCGGCTTTCTTGGCATAACCCGAGTCAGGTGACCCTTGTCGGCAATATATTTCTCCGCTTCCGATGCTCTAAGCCGACACTTATCTTATCCGGAGGTAAAAGTACCGTGACCCATCTAAACTGACAAAATGCCCAATCAGAGCCTACATGGTACCGGGCTTTTGTTCTTTTTCCTCTTCCTTCCCGCAAAGCCGAGACCGCACCACACCACCCCGCGGAGGGGTGGAAGAGAAAGGCACTAGATGATTAATTAATTAATATGCCCGTTTACAAAGCATCATTCAGGTATAAGTATCACGCAACCCTCTTGTCTCGCCGTCAACTTTACAAATCTACACTTCCTTCCACCCTTCATCTCCCACCACCGTTTTATGCAAGCGCACTCTACAGAATACCATACGGCTGAGGAGTATCGGACAAGATCTGTATACTCCTTGCGTCTGGACGAAAACTAGTTCTTCTAGTGATCCTTCCACTAAGCATGCTTCCTCCTCTACCGGTCCTTAGCGACTACGGAATTTCACCAGATTATGGTTTCCTTCCGCCAGAATTGCCTCTTGAAAGGCTTCCGGATCCTTACTACAACAAATGGGAAGCCGTTGTAGCAAACCTACAAGGCTTGATTCTTAGCAAACGCTTGCGCGGAGTCATTGAAGGTCTCCCTGTCCTCTCCACTGCCGGTCTGGAACACGATTCCGAATGGAGACGGGCATACTCCTTATTATGCTTCATGGCACATGGCTACATCTGGGGCGGTGATAGTCCTTCAGAGGTCGGTTCTCACTCTCCAAGCAGCTTCACGTAAGTACTGACCCTCTAGCGCCTGCCATCCGCAATTTCAGTCCCGCTGCTCCATATTTCGGACTACCTCGAAGTACTTCCAGTCGCTACGTATGCTGCCGTATGCCTCTGGAACTTCAAGCCTTTGTTCGAAGATGAGCACGTTGACAACCTCGAAAATCTTGCCACCCTCACTACGTTCACAGGGTCCATTGACGAGTCGTGGTTCTATTTGGTATCTGTCGCTATTGAAGCCAGAGGAGCGCCCATGCTTCCCCTCATGCTCACTGCTATCGAAGCCGCTAGGATCAACGACAGCGCTATCGTGACTGTTTGTCTTCGAAGATTTGCCGAAAGGCTTGATGATCTCGGCAGCCTCTTGCAACGTATTCATGAAGGTTGTGACCCCCAAGTGTTTTACCATCGCATCCGACCGTTCCTTGCTGGAAGCAAGAACATGGCCGAAGCCGGGTTGCCCAATGGTATGCTCTATGAGGATGGTACTGGAACTGAGCAGTTCAGGCAGTACAGTGGTGGAAGCAACGCGCAAAGTTCCATCATTCAGTTCTTCGACATCGCTCTTGGCATTGAACATCGTCCGACTGGTGAAAAGAAGGACATTTCTTCTGAGAGCGAGCTCGAGGGAACGGCACCCCCATCCAAGCACAATTTCCTGCTTGAAATGCGAAAATACATGCCTGGTCCCCACCGACGATTTTTGGAAGATTTCACTATGGTGGCAAATATTCGTGATTATGTTCAGGCCAACCAGGGCAACTTTGAATTGACAGCAGCCTACGACGCTTGTCTTGCCATGTTGCGTGCCTTTCGCGACAAGCATATCACCGTCGTCACTCGATACATTGTGATGAAGACACGAGAGTCGAGATCTCACTCGCGCTCCAAGAGCCCCGAGGTTACACTTCGCAAGGTAAACATCGCTACTGCCTCGCGCCAGGATACAGATGATTACTCTGGCAAGAAGAAGCTCAAGGGAACAGGTGGTACAGCGCTACTTCCCTTCTTGAAGCAGGCACGTGACGAGACCGGCGAGCCTATTTTGAATCAGTGGGCGAAGCGTGTGGCTAGTCGCGAGTTTAGAACCAAAGGTCGGGGTGATTTTTTCTTAGGAAAACTCGATGAACATCCAGAGGAGGAAATTGACTGTGGATTGGCAGGCACATGGACCATTGATGATAGTGCTGGTGGGATTTGCCACTACTGAACAGTGATTAGCACAGCTGATCTTCAATACAATATCATGTCAATCTTCCCACTGATGCTTTGTTTTAAAATATCTGGTGATCTGTTTGTACTAGATAATGCAAGTACTGTACGTCGAAGCACACTACTAATCATAAACCTACGGAAGTAATCATTACAGCAATAGTAATCACGGCACAACTCTAAATCATAGCAAATAGAAGATATACTGTCCTCAAAAAAAAAAATCTTTATGGGACATGCTGCATTCATGCGTGAGGTTTCAGAGAATACTTGGCGCAAGGAAGTTGTTTGGCAGAAGTTCTAGTCACGTGTGGGGACTTCTTAGCGTGATATGGGAATACTAACTAGTTTCTGGACGCGTTCGCGACGACGTTCACGAACAAGCAATCAACGATATGGCACCACCAGTAGCTGACGAAGAAGGAATGGGTCCTTTGGAGCGCGGTCGTCGTCGATACCAACAAAAAGACTATTCCGGGTCTCTCTCAGCCTTCACCGAGGTATGTGGTTCTTGTATATCTTTCAGCCACGTGATTGGCATGTTCTCAGCCTCTTCTTGCAACTAATCCTATGTTCCCATATGACGATTCAAATCATCTAGTTGAAATGCTGACTTAATCTAGGCTGTAAACATGAGCTCTGGTTATATGAAGCTCATGGCTCTGGACCATCGCGCAGCAGCGCAGGAGAAGCTACAGAAATTCCAGCCGGCCCTCTCAGATGCGAAGAAGATGATAGATTTGAAGCCAGAGCTTTCGAAGGTAGTACATGCGTGTTGTTCTTTGGCTACAAGTCTGATCAATATTAGGGATATCTCCGATGCGGCAAAGTCTTGCAATTGAAGGGAAACCCCGAGCTTGCATTAAAGATATATGAAAGAGGCCTGGGTAAGGTCAAAATTGGGACCGATGATGAGCGAACTGTGAGTTCTTCAGCAGCCTTGCAACTCAAGCGAAATTCATATTTCTAGATGTTACAAATGATGCACAACAAGACGAAGAGAGCCTTGGCCCCAAAGAAAGTTCTGGACCCTCTTGTCTTTCTGCCTCTGGAATTAGCGGAGATGGTCTGTCAGCATCTTACAATGAGAGATAGAGTGTACGTGTTCTAGCCTGGCATCCAAAAGACCCTCTACTGAACTAAAGCCCCAGAATATGTCTTGCAGTTTCAAAGCCATGGAAGCGTCTACTTGAATCGTCACATAAATTATGGACCACTCTGGACACGACATTTGCTAAGAAGTCGATGAATCACAAATCACTGAAAGCGCATTTGAAGCGATCGAATTATACCCTTGATCACGCAATTATCACCTTGCGAGCAGGCTTGGATCTCCAAAAAATGACCTACATCACTAGCAGTTGCAAGAATTTACGTACACTCGAAATTCGTGGAAGTGGTGTTATTGGGGAATCTCTTACTAAATCAGTACCCTACTCACGCAGTTTAAACTCTGTGTCTGTGTCGAGTAGTTGCGCGATTACACCCTCCGCTGTTCACGAAACGCTTACATCTTTGCGGAAGACAATAACCGAAGCTTATTTCCTGTGTGTCAAAGGGTCTTTGCATTCTCATTCTCGAGATTTTCCTCAACTTGATTGTCTAAAGATACTACAATATAAAGCTGCCGAGACGGGAACCAACTTCGACATAGTGAGTTCAATTCCAATGTTCATCGTGATTCAGTCACTGCCTCTACTTCGAGCATTATTTATGTAATCATCAGTCAACCCGGAATAATTACATGTAGGACGCGACATGCAGATAGAGTTTTTAATTCCAAGATCGTTCTCTCTCTTCATTGCGTGTTTTCATATATTTAGCTGATACGAGGATAGCACCGGCTTATAAACGTCACTCCAAACCTTGAGTCCGTGGCTATAAACAATTGGGTTATTGGGTCAACTTTCGACGCATGTCTATGGCCCAAACTACAACAGCTAGACCTTACCGACTCGCATATCACATTGCTACCCGATCTTCCACCTACACTGAAACACTTAATCCTGAACAACAATAGGAATCTCCGCGTCGACATTGGTGACCGACAATTTCCTTCTCCTCCGCTGCTCGAGACCTTTGCCTGTGCAGGAACTACTCTCAATAATTCCGCCATCAAAGATATCACCCGAGAATCTATAAAACGTGGAAACCTCAAAACGCTATTGATTGGCCGCCGTCTGGCTGACTCCAGAGGACGAGCCGAAGATGATTATCCTGCCTCCGAGACGGTTGAAGAACTGTCCCTGGCTTCTTTGTGGGAGCAAGAACACCAGCTGATCCAAATCGTCAGCTTGTACCCCAACGTTCGAAAGCTGGATGTCTCCAGCACCAAAGCAACAGGTGTTGCAGTGAAAGCTTTCGTTCAGATGGGCGTTCAGTATCTTAAGATGAACGAATGCAGTGAAGTCGGCATTGATGCGGTTGACTGGGCTCGCGGACAAGGGGTTGCGGTTGAGTTCAACTTTCCCAGCCGCAGTGGGAATGCACGAGGATATCGAGACTCAGCTCTTGCTACGGGGTATTGAACAGGGTATATTTATACTATGGGTCTTTGAGCCCGATAATGAAGACGAGTTTCAAGGGATACGCATTTGTGCCTGATATTCGGATCTCCCACAGGGATTGACAAAGCTGTCACCAGGGTGGCAAAGTCATTGCCCTTTCCGCTCACCTGGGTCGGTCGGTTTACCCAGCCCTAAGTCGGCGGACGAGATGATTACATTCCGCGCATCTGAAGTCGGCAGCTCTTTCAACTTCCAACAAGAGCTTTTATAATCTTACGCTTCGAAGCCGCACTTTCCGGACTACCAAAGGCACGTTTCCCATCCTAGTTATTCCCTTGTATCGTACCACTTCCAACCTCCATGTCAGCTGAAACTCAAACTCAAATACGCCCACCTAATGACGTTCCTGCTTGAATCTCACGTATGCTGTTCAGTACCCTAGACTCGAAACACGCACTTTGATTTTCAGCCCCCAATACATGGTGTGTTCTTACCACACCATGCTACATGATCGGAAAATAACCCCTCTCTCTTAGCCCAACCCCGATCCTTGCATACAGTATTACCCCTCCCTATATCCCGACCTTCTGACTACCCCTCCATGCATGCCGCAGTATAGCATAGCATAGTATAGCATAGCACCAGCCACACTCACTTGTTCCTTCTGCACTCCGTATACGGTTCATTCTAGTGGAGGCATTCCGATATACGAGCTTGAGTTTGTGATTTGCGCATGCAGTACCGTAGTCTAGAACAATATCATTTATTCCACGGACGTATAGTACTAGGAGCTATACAGTACGTTCAGATAGGAATATTTATCACATTACATAACATGACATTATAGCACCCATCCTAAACAAAATATCTATTTATAAACAAAGCTCCAACTAACAACCCAAATACCCCTCCGATCCAACCTCAAATCCATAACGTATTTTCTCATACTCGAGTACCACACACTTACTTGTACGACTAGACTAGTCTGGCCATGTGCTTCTAGTAAGATACGGAGTGCAGCGGCCATGTGTAGTACCTATCCCCCCACGCGGGATGTAGGTACCGACTCCGTATATTCGCTCGTATAAGCAATGACGTTGCTTCCCATGGCCGGCCGGTATACCCGCCTTACTGGTACAAAAGTAGTACGCATCGCGTGCAGTACATGTACCAAAATAATCACTCACTTACTTTCTTAGCTTACTCCGCTAACTAGAATGCTTTCTTGGTCTTGGTCTTGGCCGTTGTGGTTGCGGTTGCGGTTGCCTGATAAAAAGACAAAAAGTTAAAGGAGATAGAAAAGTAATACCTACAGAGATATAAATACGAATACGAATGATTGGAGAATGATGTATATATATACGAGAGATCAGCATCTATGTATAGAAGAGCTAGTACTCAGATGTTGATTAAGGCAAGGCACCCGCGACGATGGATGGATGGCTAGAACGTTAACACTTACAGCCTTGTTGGTTGCAGGGAGGGAGGATCCGGGGTTCTCGGGAGCAGCTTCATTGTACAAGGGGTGGGGGGGGTGGGGGAGTTAGGAGAGTTCGCGACTTTCTCTACGAGATTTACGAGTGTGAGAGGGCCGAGGTTCACAGCTAGTGTTTCTTTAAACTGTCACACAGAAATCAACGGGTATGCGCCTGGCGCCATGCTTCTCAGACTGTGATTTTTGGGAATTTGTTTTTGGTTGGCTAGGCTTCTATTAGATCGTACGCCAGGTGCGATGCAAGCTATTTTGTGTGTTTGTTCGCTCGTTCGTTGTAGAATAATACATGAGGTGGCTGCCTGAGCCTCAGCCTCGTTACTGTAATGAGTCGTCTCCCGTCACATGAAGCCTGCATGCTTGAACCTCCAGCGGCGCAATGAAATCCAACACCAGACATCGCATGATCAACATGTAAATGAACTGTGTAGGCTGGAAGACAGACGCGGTGACAATGACTCAGAAGAAAGAGTTGGTTGTACATAATGTTTTTCCCCTGCAGGCTCTGCCTGATCCTGATCCCTCCGAGTCCAAGCTCGTCCTGTGAAAACCATTTTGCTGCCTGAGCTGGAGACTTGCTCCTGTAAAGTTCTAGTGTGGACATAAGGAAAAAATGTTGCACTAGGCAAGCTGAAATGATGAATCTCAGATCGCATCATCCATAGAAAAGAATGAGTCAATGCCATGCCAGACAGAGAAGGTCCCTCAAATCAAATCCTCCCAAACTCCAAGGTATCATTATCCGTCCTATGCAGTTAGAATAAGGAGATTGTAAAAATAGGAGCAAGACAAAAAGCAGTCGCGCTGAAGAAGAAACACCATGCCCAATGCCAATATTATGCCGAAACCCGCTATACAATGCTGCAAACTTGAAAAACTGCGTCGATAGTTGTGTTCGTGTGTGTATGGGGGCTCGCGCCTAGTGGGTATCTCTTCTTCGCGCCTTCGATAACTTCGTGGGGATCATGGCATCGCGCGTATCTTTCGTTCGCTCGTATCCGTCGTAACATTATGTGATGTATATTGTATGAGAGGTGGAGTGGCCCGTGGAATGGGGTATATGGACTTCAAGGCGCAGAGCGAGGCATCAATCGATCGTGACCGACGAGCAGCAATGTAAGTTGAGAGGGTGGCGCCGAGGAAGTCCTTGCACGGAATGAGAAGAGATATTGAATCCAACACTCAAACTCAAAGACCACGAGGGGTCGCGATTGCCATGAATAACCAGTTACCGAAGACAATACATTTCATCTCCTGTGCCGCCGAGATGAGTCTCTATGTGATCCGTGACTTGCTGTGCCATAGCCTGAATCTGAATACGGGTTGTGGGATGACGAGGACTGTTCTTGTTCGTAGTTCGAATGTTTCTCGCAGGCATATCCGACCAGCAATGTCCTCTCGACAACACTATGTCCATGTTGCCCGTATGCAGGGCACATGTCGATACTATGTTTGTAGTAGAGGCAGCGGCACACTGAGTACCTCTCGACCACTAGATAACACATGTTGAAGGCGTTGATATAAAGTCGACGATGAGTTGTAGCGGGGTAATCAAGTAACGATCGAGGGGTAAGTATGATGAGGACAGCAAATAAAATAGCGAGAGAGATGACCAGCAGTGAAGCTATGAAATATATTAAGTAGCAGACTGCAAAAAGCCCGAGCAAAACAAAACTCTAAAGGAATATAATAGAACAGGGCAGAGGTGACGCAAAAGAGTCATCAGGGCAGTGGGATGGTGACTGCCTTATAGCTTCCAGCTGGACGACATACTCTTGCTAGGAAAGGATAAGGCAACCATGACAGGTGGGGAGAGCCATGTGGGAACTACCTTTGGCGTATGCAGGTGTACATGCAGGAGGTTATACTAGGGAGGGATATCGGATGAGTCGAGTCCGGCCAGATGTAGTCAGGACTGGGGATAGAACAGAAGTCCTCGTTCGCGGACCTGCAAGAAAGGCTGGAGTGCATTCCCAGGCCAAAAACAAACCGATGGTCTGTCCGCAAGATGGCTTACACAAGGGAGGAAAGGCTGAACACTCTCAGCCTCTCGCGATGCAGGTACCTAGGAGGATTCCCGGTGACATGGTCAATGAATGTCCACACATGGGGTTTATGTTAGTAGTTAAGGTTACTAATAAGTAGCGAGAGATACTAAAGAAAGAATATGGCAGTGCACAGCGAGCATGCCGACCCAGGTAGGCTCCAACACGGGCCTTGGGGGGAGCGATATACGATAGTAGCGTGATATGAAAGCGCTCACGAAGTATGAGGTGAGAGAGCGCCATGAGAAAGAGAAAGAGAAAGATACTCGCAGAGCAAGGGTATGCATAGCTGCATAGCTGCATACAGTAGGTAATAACGTCTGGACTAATGCGGTAGCATACGGTGAGGTGGATAAGGTGGATGAGGAGGAATGAATTGGCATGTAAAGTAGGTAGGTAAGGTAAGGTAAGGTAAGAAAGAGTAAGGTACTCTGCCTTAGATGACAAGAAGACGTCGAGTTTGAATTGGCGAACAAGCGCAGGCTGGTCAGTCAGCACCGTGTACGAGTAGTACGGTAGAACTACTCTACTCTAGCGCAAATCAGACGCCAGATTTAGAAGCTCCTTCCTCCCTACAGGCTACAAAACGAAAACCCCTACAGACTCGTCGTCATCCTACCAGGAATAGGGTCTTTGGCGTCTCTCTGGCTTCTGTATCTGGCACCTGGCGCAACGTTTTTGGGGTTTTTGCTGGGTTGCTGTTGCTCTAACCCAACATCACCACAGGGCTGTGTAGTTCGCTGAGCAGCCCCACCTCACCCCACCCCACTCACTCCTCTGTTTCTAGCTAGCCGATTACTCTACAAGTGTACTCGTACTCGACAACTGGCGGTAACTACGGACAGTACTGGCCCCGTTCAAAGCTTCCAAGTGCCGGTCAAATGAGACTTCTTGACAGCCTCGATATAGTAACGTGTTCCCTACTCTAAGTCCTATTCTCATTCCTGCCTATCCATATCCCCATCCCCATCCCTATTCTACTAGCTTCGGCTCTGCATGCCCTGCGTATTCAGGCCAATCGCTCGTCGCTTTTCCTGCCTAAGGCCACGCTTCAGCCTGGGACTCCTCTTTCCTTTGAATTATCGTGAGAATATATGGCATTCTGATTCCGAGTTCTCTTTCCATGCTTCTTAGCTAAACCAAGTGATAATGATACACTTATCCAGATCCTCTCTCTGCCCAAGTTAGCGACCGTTGTCTTGACGATATTATTCATGAATGCCACTAGTGTATTATAATCCACAACTTCTTGAGTGATGTACCCCGTAGTGAGGTAAAGTATAGTGCATAGCTTCTACTACTCGTAAAGACCCTCATATGGTGGAAGCCATTAGAACCCACAATCCAGTGGATTCATAGGCTCGAATACGGTCCCGGTGCGAAAATAAGTCAAGTTAGACTACTTTACTGTCTAGCTTTAATTGAGGTTCGCGATACCCTCATCTTGATTCTATGCTCAAACAGGCGCCATATGCAGGAATCAGTGACTTGGAGAAAATCTGCCTTGCGCTAGAGCCTTTGCGCGAGCCACAGCCTTGCGCTAAAACCCACCATCGGGTGTTTTCGTAAGGCGTCCAATGGCAGCCCTGTCGGACAACGTGATCTACTCAGCCCCTCTGTGGCTTTTGACTAGGGATCTACTTTTGAACACTTCTGCTTACGGTGTCGGGGAATGGACACCGAGCAACAAAGAATCCGGGCACGCCGTCAATCGAAGGCAGCAGTGACATAGAAGACGATACATATGCGGTGTCGACGCCCGTCTACTTTCTTTGAATTGTCTTTCAGTTACAGAGTTCATGCCCAGCAAACAAGGGAACTATTGCGAGAATCTCTGGACCGAGTACCGGCAGTAGAACCTAGGTAGGCACCGGTCAGGACAGAAGCGCTCTTGGTCCAACGGCTAACAGGTACACCCATAAGAAGAAGTTGCAACTTATGCAGAAAGAGTCAAAAGATATCCCTGTCATCATGAAACGTTTCAAAGATATGAACCTTGATATCTTATCATTGTATGCAGTATTCCCAGGAATCTGATTGCTAGGAACATTCAGCTTTAACATCCAAGTGGGCTTGAGCTGAATCCCCCTCCCCGCTTTGGTACGATATACAATAAGCAGCAGAGTGCCGAAGCATGAAAAGTGATTAGAGGTCGGCGATAGTGACGCGCTTGTACAACCAGCTTCGACGTAATATTCCTGGGATATATGGCTGGCTAGTCAGCTTTTCCGCTCTTCAACTCTCCAGGAATGCTAGTTCTGGCGCTCATTATAATTGCTGTGTAGCTTCTAGGCTGTCTAACTTCTGCGGTGCTGTCTCGGCCGTCATCGTCACAATCGGGGACGAAGTGTCGCCCGGTATGAGTGAGCTATTCACGACGCCCGCATGAACCGAAAACCATACACATTACCTGTTGTCGTTGCCAGAAGATTCTGTTCGGGCTGGTCTCGAACTTCAGGTCTGATTCTTGAACCAATCCGAGTTGGCGTCAACCATAAAGTTAGTGATGTTGAACTCGTTCGCTCCATTGCTCAATTCTTGTGACACCATCTCACCCACACCATTTCCACTTCCGTTTCCAGTGCCATAACCATTGCCATCGCCGTTGCTTGTAATGTGGTTCATATCGCTATTACCCGAAACTACCGGGAGTCTCGGTAGATTGAAAAAATCGAAGACATCTAGATACTCGAGTTCGTTCGGCGCTGGTGTCCTAGCTGGAGTTACACTTGGCATTCGAGGCACCATTCCAACATGCTTTGGCTGTCTAGACATCAAGAAGTCTAAATCGAACGCACAACGTCTCATGTCTGCAAGAATCTTTACAGAAGATGGCGTGACCCTTTCTCCGTTGGCGCCAGCAGAGCGTTCGGAATCTCGGTGTTCATCAAGAACTCTTTGAAGGATCGATGTATAATTTTCCGCGACTAGCCAATAACGACCCATCTCTCGAAGGGAGTCCACAAAGAACTGAATCTGTGGGCTGAGCTTATGATCGATCGTTGAACCATGGACCAACAGAAGTCTTGCTGCTACCCACAAAGTAAATGCAAATGGAGGGCCAAGCTTTTGTAGCATGCCATTTTGGACGACAAATTCGCCAAGTGCCGCAACATTCTCCACAGCACCATGACAGCGCTGGCTAGCACTATACGATGGCGTAAAAATCGGAGAACGGGTTGTAGGATATGCAGCTGATGAATGAAGTCGGATGACCGCGGTATGATATGTTGCTATTTTGTAGTAAGTAAATGTAGCCCATGGCCCATAGATATTGGACCGGCTTACCGTGCAGCATTACCCACCCACAATTAATCGATTTGCTACCTCCAGGCTGGAAGAGCTTTGCCATATTGCCATAGTCACCAGGAAGATTGAACTTCCAAGATGTAAGCATGTTATCAAGCTCCCGATACTCTCCTTGCCATTGCTCTACGTCCGATAATGCGCTGATATCAACGGGCTTCTTGTGAAATTTATGAATTCTAGATAGGATACCCAAAATCTCAATATAGTAGGAGAAAGCACCCAAGTTTTCCGGTTTGTCTATATCATATTCCGTACGTTCACTTGTTCGAAACCACCTGGTTTGCACTGCCTGGTTCTTGCTCCAGAGATCGTCCCGGCACGGTAACGTTCGATCAATCTCTTTCTCGTCCAGGGCAAACTCGAAAGCCGTGGCAAGTGTCGCATATCGGTCAAGAAGATACACCATCCAAAACAGCCGTCGCCGAGATTCTTCTTCGATGAAGTTGTCTGATTCTGGTAGAACCATGGCTCGAAGCGTGTAAATAGAAGGGTATAATGGTGATACAGAGAATGATGTCGTCTCGACTGCAAGTCCCAACTGGACAACGGAGCGAGTAAGAAGTGCCAAGAGGTTCCATCCTGGAGGACCATTGCTGCTTCCTACAAGGTCCAGGGCTAATATGACCATGGCCTGGAGAGCCTTGACCGAGGAGTTCTCAAGTCCATAAAGTAAAACTTTCTGCTTGGAAATATCATGATAATGCCGCCGTCTGTCTTCTGTCAACCTTTGATCCACTGAGAATCTGATAGTCGTGGCAACAATTGCGTGCAACAATATTCTGTCGGCTTCATCTAATGTAGATGGGCCAAAGAGGGAGTCGAGAGTAGATCGCCGATGTAAAATTGGGCACCAAGTATTGACGTGTTTAAAGTAAAGATCCACCAGAGCGTAAAGAAGGTCGTATGGAGGTAGGGCATGGTCTGAAGAAATTTCGGTTTGATTTTGGGATATGTTTAGACTAGGCGACGCAAGGGGTGGTTGATTCGTACTGTAGAAATCTTGTGCCTGGGTGGTCTGTATCGGATGGGGTGGTGGGTGTGATTGATTGTGTTGTTGGTTAGGTTGCTGCATTCCTTGTTGGAAGACATCGCTGTGTAGGGACGACATGGACGGGGTCTGGGGCATTGCGTTTGCAAAGTCCATAGATTGGGATCCAGGGTAAGTGGAAGGTCTTTGGAGGAAGAGAGCGGTTTCCGCATGAGGCACATGACCTCTGGATCCATCATTTGATGTAAAGCCTGGCGCACTTTGAGGTGTGTCATGGTCGCTGGGAAGGCTATTACTGTGGTTGGTGAAGGAAGACTCCAGTATCTGAGCGTGGGAACGTAGAACTTGTTCGAGCCTATCTAGTCTTTGCTCCAATTCGCGACCGTACCCGGCGCGTAAGCCAGGCTTCTTTCGTTCTTTGTACTCGCAAATAGCGCCGTTGCGAGTACACCAACCGCAGGATGGTTGACCGCGATCACATTTTACCTGCAGAGGTACCAACGTTAGAGAAGGGGAGATCAAAGGTGTCAGACTTAATGAATAAGGAACAGCGGATTGCTGATGATTTCCCAGTACCACTGCGGGCTCTCAATGAACAATAAGGGGGAATAGAGGTGGAATCTTCTCGCCGGAATTTTCCTTCCCGCTTAGCACCAGTTTATGCCCGAACTCTTTGCAAGTTCGCAGGTATGTCTTTGATAGATCACTTGAGAAGTAGGAGGCAATCTTCATAGAGCTCTTGCTCGAATGGTATTGCTTCTGATTGCCGAAACACGTACCTTTCGTTGCTTGCATAGCTCGCACCTTCGACGGATAGTTAGCCAATTTTGCTCTTGGTTTTCATTGGGAGGTTGGTCCTCCAAATCAGAGTCGTGATGTTGCAACCCAGATGTTGAATATTCAACACCGGCATCGGCATCGACATCGACATCCGCATTGATAACTGATTGAAGAGACATGATTCCTTACGAGACTGACATGGGCCTCCGCTGTCTCTTGCGGGGCCTGTCGCCGTTTTCTCCGCCGCTATCATCTTCACTGTACGCGTTTTCCTCGTCGGTTTCGGGTTGATCTGAGCCTTGCCGCTGGGAGTGATGCGGCGAAAGTTTGATATCCATCTGAGATAGGCAATGGGCGGTCCAAAAATGTTGCTTTTTTCGGCCCAGTGCTAGACGAAAGTCGGGGAGCTTTATAGCGAGCGAGAGAAAGGTTTGTATGAGTAGTGGGGAAGAACGCTACCCCTCGGCAAGGAAGATCAGCCTACCTGGGTAGGAACCTGATCACTCACAGGGCTGCTTGGCAGAGCTCGGGGGAAAAGCTCCAATAATAATAAGCTGGGGAAATTGACGAAGGGCTGTACCGTGAATGCAATGCAGTGCAGGGTTTTGACAGAGACCTTTTTCTACTCTGCTTTACTCTACTTTATTCTACCCCAGCCCAGGCAGGTGCAGGTGACTGATGGAATCTGGGGAATTAATCGAGTCGCAAGGTCCGGGGGTGTGGAGAATGGAGAATGGAGAATGCTGGCGATGCCCTCCATCCGGCAGGTCCTTTAGGCACGAGCCTCCTGCCCTGCCCTACTCGGCTGCATGTTGAGAAAATGCCGACATGGGGGATCACCATGATTGGCTGTGGCAGCAGTACTCCGTACGCACGGAGTAGTGGAGTGGTATGGTCTACGGAGTAGTAACTGCTTGTCATTGTGTACCAGCCCAGCCCAGCCCTCGAGCAGCCTACCGTGTTTTTCTCCGCAGAGGTGTGGTGTTTACTCGGTAGAGGGTGTTTACTCGGCAGAGGTGACACTGCAGTTCTCCTCTCCACCATCCGTCGCATCACCAGCATCCTCTCTCTATCTCTGTACCTTCTCTAGAGTGCATCTATCTAGCCAATCCGAGAATACCATCATGAGTCTCCGCTCTACTATCCTACAGTACTTGGACTCGAGGGGATGGCTGATACGGTAGTGATCCACATCCACCTGAACCTCGGTCGCTTGGGGCATCTTGCACCGATGATACCCCACCAGGAGAAAGCTGCCGTTGCCAACCGTCCGTCCATTGCGCTTGCTTTGTTCAAATTTACTTTCAAACTGGTAGCTTGATTGCTTGCTTGCTTGCTTAATTGATTTAAAGTTGAGTGGATTACCCGGAAAACGATCTCCTTTACTTCTTTTCTTGAACATCAGTCAAAATGGCAACATCATCACCAGCAGCGCGGGGTTTCCCTTCCATCAAAGCCATCCGCACCTATGTAGTTGACGGTGTTGGATCAGGAGGAGACTACCACAATGTCAAGGGAGGTCATTGGTAAGTTCCACGGGCATCTAGTTCTCAAGTCTTCTGCTGACCTTAACCCAGGTTGATCGATACGTCTATCTCAACCCCAATGTCGAGGTGGGAGAACTACCGAGCATCGAGAACAAGTTGGGGCATCAACGTATTGGGTTCTTTCTGCGTGGAGATTGAGGGTTCAGATGGCACAGTCGGCTTTGCAACTGGCTTTGGAGGTACTGCTCACTCTCCAGAAGCTAGATATCTTGGTCTGTATACTAACAGACACTACCAGGTCCTCCAGCATGCTGGCTCGTTCACCAACACTTCGAACGATTCCTCATTGGCGCCGACCCTCGTGATACAAACCATTTATTTGAGCAGATGTACAGAGGTTCCATGTTCTATGGTCGCAAGGGACTTCCAGTTGCTGTCATCTCAGTGATTGACCTTGCTCTTTGGGATTTATTGGGAAAGATCAGGAACGAGCCTGTGTACAAGCTTATCGGAGGTGCCACAAGAGACAAGCTGGACTTCTACTGCACTGGCCCAGAGCCAACGGCCGCAAAAGCTATGGGCTTTTGGGGTGCCAAAGTTCCATTGCCATACTGCCCGGAAGAAGGACACAAAGGCCTCAGGAAGAATGTCGAGTTCCTACGCAAGCATAGAGAAAGTGTCGGTCCCGACTTTCCAATTATGGTCGACTGCTACATGAGTCTCAACGTCTCATATACCATCGAGCTTGCTACGGCTTGTCTGGATCTCAACATCAACTGGTGGGAGGAGTGCTTGTCTCCTGATGACACAGATGGATTTGCGCAGATCAAGCAAGCTCATCCTCAACTGAAATTCACTACTGGGGAGCACGAATATTCGAGATACGGATTCCGAAAGCTCATCGAGGGACGGAACCTTGACATCATCCAACCCGATGTTATGTGGCTTGGTGGCATGACTGAACTGTTGAAAGTAGCAGCCATGGCATCTGCTTACGACATTCCAGTTGTTCCCCATGCCAGCGGCCCGTACAGCTATCATTTTGTTGTATCCCAAACCAACTGTCCTTTCCAAGAATACCTTGCCAACTCACCTGATGGAAAGAGTGTGTTGCCTGTCTTTGGAGATTTGTTCTTAGACGAGCCCATCCCACTAAAGGGTTATTTGCATGTCTCCCAACTTGACAAGCCGGGCTTTGGCTTGACGCTAAACCCAGCAGCTAAGTTGATTCCAGCGCAATATCTTTTGACTCCGAATCCTGAAAGACCACTGGGTCGACCGCGCGGCGCCGGTGGAACCAAAGAAGACAGAAGAAGATAAAGGCGGTATCCATGGTTTAGTTCAGGGTGTAAAGGATCTGACAGCTTGATAGAGCTTTTCATGTAATCAGGTACACATTGCTACGTTGGCATTGGAATTTGGGGATAGGTTAATAGGTTGGGACATGATTTGTTGACCAGGTACATACAATATCTCAAGACTTGTGATTCATAGACATGTAGCCCTCTGAGAAATTTCCAAAAATCAATTCCCCAGCACATGCCAATTCACACCCCTATCGACCCGCCATTCTGAGCATACCTTCTATGTAACACGAGACTTACTAAATACCCAAGCTTCAACTCCACCAAACTAAAAATTGTCTCGGGCATGATTGACTCGAAAAGCCGAGTCGCGGGGTGGATGGATCCTTGCCCTGAGAAAGTCTCCACAGACAAGCTCCAAACCAGATCAATCAAGATGTGAACCAACATCAAGATGCCTCTGTCTGCAAAATCAAATATTTCTCTCCAATATTATACAGTTGACCTCCCTCGCTGACTACAGCCTAGTTATTAGCACGCGTATCTGCCTAAGACTTAGTCCACAATCCCTTTCTCAAATACAACACTACAACCTCCTCCTAAAGCTACATACCCCACATCAGCCATGCCCCCCCACTACCTCCTCACCTCGAAAATCGCTGCTATTACTGGTGGAACTACAGGTATTGGGCGCGCCATAGCTCTCGAATACATCCGTCAAGGAGCAAACGTGGCAATCAACCACCTCAACCTCCCCTCCGACGCCCACCACAAAGCGTCGCTGCTCGCAGAAGCTACTGATATCAAAAAGAAGGATGACAAGGCAGGCAGACTGGTCGAGGTCGAGGGCGATGTCACGAAGCCAGAGACGGGCAAGAATCTTGTGGAGCGTGCGGTGAAGGAGTTTGGACGCTTGGATATTTTTGTGAACAATGCTGGTGTTTGCCAGTTTGCGGAGTTTTTGGAGTAGGTTGCTTCATCTTTGACTTTCAGGATCCCTTACGAAGGAGAACAATCTGGGGAGGGGGCTTCTAACAAGGAAGATCTGAAACAAGAGCTAACTCGAAATATCCAGCCTCGACCATGATCTCTTCTCCTCCACAGTGCGCATTAATCTCGACGGTGCCTTCTACTCCTGCCAAGCAGCCGCCCGACAAATGGCAGCCCAAGGCGACGGCGGCAGCATCATAGCCGTATCTTCGATATCCGCTCTCGTGGGCGGTGGTATGCAAACACACTACACGCCCACGAAAGCCGGCGTGCTCTCCCTGATGCAGAGCATGGCTGTAGCGTTGGGCAAATACAAGATCAGATGCAACGCACTGCTGCCGGGAACCATCAAGACGCAGCTTAACGACGAAGATCTGAATGATGATAAGAAGAGGGAATACATGGAGTCGCGCATCCCTCTTGGTCGCACTGGTGAGCCGAGTGATATGGCAGGCCCGGCTGTGTTTTTGGCTTGTCAGGAGTTGAGCGGGTATGTCAACGGTGCACAGTTGCTGGTTGATGGCGGTTTGTTTGTCAATTTACAATAAAGAAGTCTAAGTAGGCTGGGTAAGTAGGCTGGGCCAAGCGGTTTTTTTGGGCATATGGGGTCCCAGTTACTATAATATAACTTATAGGGGGGGGGTCTTTGGTAGGCTTGGAATCCAAAACTTTTGGTTACTGGGTCTAGAGTAAAGTGTGTATGCTGTACAACTCCTCACTACCCGCTGTTACATCTCCGAAGGCTCGGGAGCAGCGTTTTCTGTACTCACCAAGAGGTCAATGCAGTCATGTGGCTCAGCAAGGACGGATTTCCTTCATATACGTGGACAGCGAGGAGGCTCTAGACTTGAAAGTTGCCCATTATCGGGAAATATACATGCTATATATGTATGTCGTACTTCGCATAATTGTCGTATTGTCTCGTGTTTCATTCCAAATGCTATGGCCGTGCAAACGTAAAAGTCATCCTTCGAAGCGATTTACATAACCAGCATGACTTTCTTCTGTACACTTTCTGGTTTCCCAGTCCGGTTTCCTTATAAATCTCACCAAGTAGTGAGTGACCCCTGTATCTCTCGGTTCTTTCTAGAATTTAAAATTGGTGGCAATTGTATCAGGTCCGTAAGCATTATAGCCAATTCAGCCCACCGTGGACTGATGTCGCACGAACGAGTAAGCTCTTTGGAAACCGTGGTTTCTTTATTGAGTTAGTACATTTCTGGTCCAGTGATCTCCCTCCTTTCCGACACAGTCATGCTAACAGGCTAGATTTTGTGGAGTATTTCGTGGTCCTGTAATCAGATTCAGCTCTTACGGCCGGTATAGCTGAGTGGACCTCATTGTACAACCCCACACTCTGATCTGCTTATGTAGCGGATGCAACTCAAAGATATCAGTCCCTGGGAGTGGGTTTAAATATAGTGTCCTTCCTCTTAGCCCCATGCATAATCTGCTCTATTTTCCACTCTTAACAATACCCCCCACAGCAATAAAGGGATGTCAAAAAATGGCATCAATTGTCCACTACGGTCCCTTCGACGACATAAGTCGCTCACACCCAACCCTAAACTTCATCGAAAAGTACTGCAAAGCAACAGAAAGTCTGAACCTCGCCTCCATTCCCGCCTCCGCTTTCCTCTCCCCCTTCGCCATATTTCACGACACCAAGGCAACGTCCACCTCACAGCCTCACACATCTGGCAATGGACCGCCCGCCAATCCGCGCCTTTCTCATAGATCCGCTACAATATCATGGAAGTGAGAGTTGTGGGCAATGGCGGTGGGAAGGGCAGGGACGTGGTGTATTGCGAGTGTTTGGCGCATTTCCGACTGCTGGGCGATGAGGATGAGGTTTTGGTTCCGAGCTTCTTTGTTTGGACCGTGGGGGGAGGCGAGCCGGGGGAGGGTACGGATGGGAGGCAAATCCAGGAGGTTAGGGGGTTTTGGGATACGGGGATTATTGGACGGTATGTGACGGAGCTTAAGAAGGGTGGGAGGTCTGTGATGAAGTAGCTGCAGACTCATTGAGTGAAATGGGATTTCTTTGGGCAGCTAGTCGCGGGATCGAGGCTCTGCTTAAAGAGTCGAGGGTTACTGTGGATATTTTCTGCGGGCTACTCGCTAGGATTGCTGAGAGCATTGGGTTGATTCGTTTGTAAGTGTTTACTAACCCCGTTCTCCTTCTTGATGGGTATAGACGCCTAGCTAGACGAAGCTGTGGGATTAATGATGCCAAGTGCTGACTATGATGAAAGCAGTCAGCAATAACTAACCTAATTGACTCCTTTACTTGCTTATTCATTGTTGGGTTTCATGTAAAAGTTAAAGTCCTCGAACTGCTCCTATCAGCCTAACATTTTGTTTTCAATATACTATAATTTTGAAAACTCCTAGCAACCACCTACCAAATCAGAAAGAAAAAAAACGCATCTATCCTCCTTTCCTTGATTCATATATTGTGTCTCTTTATCAAGAGCTGTATTCCAAGACCAGGGGTATAGTTTGTATCCGCGCCCCAAATTCCCACCCAGCCTCACTTCCCCTGCATATTCCCACCCCTGTATCCCCGAACGACATCTCACCACCATCTCCAAACCGTGCGCGCCAAGAACCTGTGCGGCTCACCCCTACGAGTACCTACCTACCGATGCCAAATATCCAATCCAACATCGTTCCCTTCTACTTCGTCCCAGGCATAATAAACCCCCCAACAGGGGGGGTTGTGCCAGGGGTGCATTTCTATGCCAGCTCCTATTAGCAGAACCCCCGCCTTCACACCCCTGTTGGAGGGGTTATTATGCCTGGGACGAAGTAGCTTGGGCCTAAGACGTCCTAAGGTACTCACCTACATCTTCCTGCGAGGTTTTTCTTTTGTTGCACGTCGAGCTTTTTAGCTTGCTGCATGTCCGGGGAATGTGAGACAGGAGCTACTGTATGGCATGGTGACACAGCTTGTTGGCTAGTGTGGGTTTTGTGATAAGACTACTGTAAAGTGCTGTAAATGGATCATGGTTACAAATGGTTGCAGCGAAATTGATGGTATGTTGTCCCCCCTTTGGCCAATAGCAAAACTCCTCCACTTGATATCTTATAACTCCTCTCCTCTCCTCTACTTCAAGTTTCAGTCAATGACGCTATTACAAAAGCAAATAGCAATTCTCCCAAATATTACGTATACCTTCCTTTCTTTTCTTTCTTGCTCTTCTTCCTCAAGCAAAAACCCCCAATACAGCCAACCGTCCTACATTCTCCTCCCACCCAAAACACAGATGCATCCTCATGAACATCACCCTCTGCTCAAAAAGCCTAACCTCTTCCGCGCTCATGACACATACCTCCTTGACCGTCCTCCCGAAGAACTTCTCCCACGCCCTCTCGCTCCAGAGTAGTTTTCCCGGTGCAATAGCGCCGGTCTCGTCGAGGAGAGTGCCAAGGATCTTGGGGTTGATGTGGAGGGTTAGGGACATGTTGCAGTTGCGACAGGGTGTGGAGAGCATATTGGAATAGATAGGTATGCCGCAGCTGCCTGGGTTAGCGTGGCTTTTGTTGTGGGAGGGGAAAGGGGAAGGGAGCGAGCACCATTCAGCGCACATGAGCATGTTGCGGCGGTGGTAGGAGACGAGGGACATATCCATGATGGTCATGCTGAGGAAGCCTGTCAAGACTTGCTGGCCATCTGAACGAACCCTTATTCCAGAACATAAGTAAGTTAGATGATTATTAGGGCAAGGGAATAGGACGTACCAAGTATCCAGCTCAGCAAGTGTATACAATGGCCTAAAGGCTCCATATTCTGCAGCATCTATATCCCACACATCCTCCGGAAACTCCAAACACAAACTCTCCTTCTTCGTCAGCCCCACCGCATACTTCCGCAACCACTCGGCGTCAGGAAACTCAGGCTCAATCTCAATCATCGTCTGGCGAATCACACTTACACTGCCCTTCCCCTGATACTCAACCCTAAATCCCGGGTTCGAGATCAGCAAGATAGTCTGTCCAGACACCCACTCCTTCGCCGACTCAATCATGCCATCCCAAACAGCCATCCTCACCTCCCCTGTATGATCAAATAGCAACACCTCGAGTATCTCGCACTCGCCTCCGTTCTTCTTAGCAATCTTCCGCTTTGCTCCAACACTCTTGACACAAGCCAGGATCTTCGCCCCCTGAACGCCATCATGCCCATCGCGGACCCAGCTATCCAGCGCCATGAGCCCCGGCAGCGGCTGTCCCTTGCGGAACCCAATCGGTGCGTGGCAGAGAGCGTTCGTGCCGAGCGTCGTATGGATCATGATATGATCCGAGGTGACGCGGCCCGGAAACAGATTCGCGCAGACGATAACTCCATCGATAGTAACAGCGTCTCCTTTTGACGTGTCTGAGATGAATCCCGTCCAGATGGAAACCAGGTAGCCCAGCTTAAGCGGGTACGGATTGTGAGCAAAGTAGAGCTTAACCTGCGGAGAAAAGAAGAAAATACAAATCAGCACTAAATATCACCACTTGATTGATAAAAGGAAAAGGTGTGGGGAGAGAGACCGAGATCGCAGCACTGTCATCCTTGACCAGCATATAATGCCAGCCCGTCGCCTTTGGCTGCTTCTGGCTCTGACCGATGATGGTAGTGAAGTTAACGATGCGGCCAACGAACATGACAGCCTTCGGTCCGGGGATAAGCTGGTCGATGGTGCATTCTTCGTACTCGCGCTCTGGGTCCCATTTGCGGTTCAAAGGGTCCACTGCATCAGCTAGTTCTTCTTCTGTGAAGCCATCGCCGTGTCTTGGGGGTTCTTTAGGGGCAGCTTCTCCGTTTCCTGCTGCGGCCTCTCTTTTGTAAAAGGATTGGATGGAAGGGTATGCTTGAGGCATCTTGCATTCGCTTTTGGGGGTATGAATAGACTACAATAGTTCTAACAAGGTGAGTAGTAATGCGCTGTGATCATAAGAGGTTGAATGTTGTCCGAATTGAATCGCGTGGATGTTTCGGACGGATAACTTTCCGCTAGCCAACAACGAAAACACTCACTTGACAACCACACCATTATCCGTTGAAAGCTATTATGTGAAGAGCAATTGAAATTCTATTATATATGTCTAAAGAATGAATGCATAGCACTTATCGCCATGAGATAGACTAGAGGGTACTCCACAAAACTCGACTCATCAAATCCACGCAACTGTAAACTAAGATATCCAGAATTGATGCTACGTCCGAGAAACTCGTGCGTCTAACATGCCATAAATTCCGTTGAAGCAATTCCATACGAAGAGACTACGAACGCAAGATGCAATTAGAACAACTTGTGCTCCAAAGTCATATCATTCTCTGGCTCGAGACCGACACAGGCGCGAAAGATGTTGGTTAGAGCACCTCGCTGCTTAGCAAGAGCATTGACGACTGGGGTTCCAGGAGGGGTCAATGGAGCCTTAAGCATGTAGCTGAGGATGGATAGCACGCTGTGGAAGTTTCCAAACTCCTTAGTAGCAGCGCCATCAGTAGAGCTAGACTTCCATTGGATACGAGTCATCATCTCTGCAATCAAGACAAGGTCAATAATCAATGGGGAAGCAAGCAACGAGTCCTCGCAGACGTTGAAGAGACTGAGATGATTAGCAGGAGCCATGAAATACAACAGTGATTGACTTACGAGATAGTCTGGTGACCACCCATGAAGATCTCGGCATAGTACTCATCCAGAGCACGCTTGTTGTCACCAACAGCAGGCATGTACTTGATAACGACAGTGTGATCAGGGTGCTCACCCTTCTTGTAGAGCACATTGTTTGCCGCAACCATGTCATCGACGACATTGGACTTGGAGATCTCCTTGGAGCGGAACTGCTTCTGGGAGCTCAAGTTCTTGCCATCGTTGTTGCCAAGATGGTTGTAAGATGCAATGGAAGTGAGCTTGATACCAGCGCTGATCAAGAAGTCAACAAGAGCAGACTTCATCTTGGTCTGGCCAGACTTGAAGTCATCTCCGCCAATGAAGGACTTGTGTTTCTCGGCAAGCTCAATGCAACCAGCAACGAAGGTGTTTTGCGGAGAGCCGTTGATGAATGGAGCACCTTCAAGGATAGAAGCAACAGCGAAAATGGTGGAAGGAGCGACTTCCTCATGGCCATTCTCAATTGCCTTCATGAGGTTATCAGCGGTGTCGTTGACGCCTGGAACGAGCTCTGCGAAACGCTCAGTGTTGGCGGTCCACTGAACAATGACCTTGTCCAAACCGTTCTTGGCCTTGAAGTCACTAATTCACTGTCAGCACTTGCTTTTTAAAAGTGGAAAGGTTACCAAGTACTTACCGAATGTCCTTGCGGATCTGCTCAACATGCTCAAGGCTAGCCTTGCTACCAGCGAGGCAGTTGTCAGCACGATCCTCCTGGTTAGCGGCAATGAAGTCAGGATAGTAAACGCTGGGAAGAGGGACCATTGCAGTCATCTGCTTGTTGACTTGGGCCTTGAGGGTTGGCTCCAAAACGGCAGCACGGTCCATGGCAGCGGCCAGGTTCATGCCGCTGATGTCCCATCCGCCGATGGCGAGGTCATTGGGGTGGACCATAGGCAGGACTTTGTGGAAGGGGATGTTGACGTCCTCAGCGGTTTTAGCATTTATACCAAGTTTCATGGTTGAACCCATAACAACAGAGCCATAGTAATTAGCTGCACGAGGGCCCTCACGAGTATCCCAGGAGAGCCCGAGACGGTTGGCAATGATACCTGCGGTGACAGTTGTGCCATTGTTACCACCCCAACCAACGAGCATCATGCCGGTCTTGGGGATCTTGCGGTCAACCTTGAAGTCATAGAGAGTCTCCTTGGGAGTGGCCACGAATTTGCCATCGCCATTCTCAGTGACAGAGGTAGTACGGTAGGCATACTTGGTATTGATCTCGTCGTCAGAGTAGGTGACATTGGGTGAGCTGACCGTGAAGAGGTCCTGAGTGGCAGGAGAACTTGAAGCTGAACTGGTCGAGAAGCCGTTACCGACTTCAGCGTGGGGAGCCATGGTGAAAGAGTCTTGTGGGAAGTTTGTTGGAATGTAAAGGATTTATGTGTATTGAGTGTGTAGCGGATGCAAAACCACGAAGTGCCGGAGGTGTATGAGGTGTTGGTTACAAGGATTTATGTTTGTTTATCTTGTTAAAGGCGAGTCCGAAGCTCCTTCAGGAGAAGAGCAACGGCCTCCGGCAAACGGGTGATGCGATCTAGGAAATAATGGGTCAGCGGTGTTCATGTTCATAATGCTACCCAGTCGTGAAGTTGTAGAGAGAAAAGGCAAGGTATTGTTGCTGCTGGTGGGAAAGTATCGAAACTTCTGCGTCAAGATGGGGGGTATTTGGTGGAAAACTTACGAGTTGAGGAGGTTGGAAAACGTCTTGACGACGGGGTGACCACACTCGTAGTGCGATCGATTGGGGTTGAATTGGGTAAGAGGTTACGAGAACTACTTTGCAATTCTGAAATTGTTTGTGTGTTTGGTGAGAGAAGAAGAAGAAGACGAACAAGAGGGGAGGGGTACGAGATAAAGTAGGTGTAGGACCATGCCATGGGAACTTCGGTTATTTGCCCCACCAAAAAATCAACGGCTGATGGTGGGGCAGACTGCATGCAGCTTGCAGTCGATAAAGACAACAGATCAGGAACAGCTTACTTAACACGTGCATTAGTGGTATGTTATACGTACAGTAGATTGAAATAAGTACCTACTTATCATCGCATTCGTGTTCTTCTCCCAATGGCCCCCAATGGCCCCGATGTCGCACTCGCTTTGACTCCAGAAAAGGGGGTAGCGTTTGTGGAGGAGGGGGAGGGGTAGTAAGTGGATCGCACGACATGGGGAAGGGAAGTGCAGCCCCCAAACAGCACACTAGGGGCGTTCTTGTCAATCGGAAAGTATTAACCCATCACAGAAGCGGAAGAGAACTAAGATATACAGTAAAAACTTTGTTGAGTGAGGCTCTATAGTCCTCTCATAATCCAATCTTAGCCATACCAAAGCCTTCGACCGACTACAGGAGCCCGCCTCTACAACGTGCATATCGCAAGGCCAAGACCTGCTTGATTGTCTTCTGTCGTGAACTCTTGAGATACAGCAAATCTTTCTTTTGTGTCCTATCGTTACGTGGCAGTTTGCGGACAAGAAAGTAGCGGTCTGGTAGCGCATCAACCATGGTTGGCGCGTCAATATGCGAGCAAGCGCCGCCTTTTGGCCTACATCTCGTTGGCTTTTGAGGTGCGGCATTTTGTTGCACGTCTGAGAATCTTTATGGTAAGATAGAAGTGAGTTTGGAGCGTAGTGTAGCATTCATTGGTGGCCACGAATCCCACTTGAATTTGGCACTAAGTCGATCAGGAAGACAATCGAGTCCAATGGTTCCATGCAACGTGATGCCTTTCCAAAGACAGTGTCAAGACAGTACCGTCTTGACGTACATTGTTGAACTTTACATTACTTGGTAGACATCTAGTCCACCGGAACTGCATGGTAGGATGTACGAAGCATTGAGGTTCGGATGAAGCTCCGGTGACATCTCTACGATCCCAGGAACAATTGGAAGTTGCGGAACTTCAGTTTCCCAGATTTCAATCCAGTCCAATACCAGAAACAACTTCCTCTGCTTCAAAGATTAGCATAATGTATCTGGGAGCTGGATGAGAACAATCACCATGCGTTCAATCAGGCTTAAAAGCTTGAGAAATTAGCCAAGCTTGGCAAACCACATTTTACATACATGCGGCTTGGATGAAAAACAAGCCGAGGTGCTAGATATCAGGGGTAAGCGGTATGGATGACATTCGGCATTGAGATTCTGATATCCATGTTTGCAGCGTTCTGGACAATCTGGCTGATATGGACGTAAGGTCATGGAATATTAGGGCATGGAGCTCGGATATCACCTCAATCCGAGCATTCCTGGCATGAGAAACGCATTGGTTTTCATCTCCTACTAGCCCCGAGAACTGTTCAACGACGGGAGTCAAGACTCAAGAGGAAAAAATACATTACTGAAGTTTAGCATGATTGAGAATTGTTTCCGAGACTTTTGGGTTCAAGTGCCGAAAGAGCCTAGAGCGACTTCTGAAATAAGGTAAAAGAAGATGCCGTGAATCGTTGCACAGACGACGCCTGCACGTCATCTAAGCGTATATTTGACATGTTGTTGACTGGGTGGTGACAATACTAGGGAGCAAAACATGGCATGCCTCGTGTGGGAGGTTTTGTAAACAAATATATACCTTCGTACACTTGAACGCCATACACGAAACACGATCTCGATACAAGCCACCCACGCTGATCTGTGAAGGCGAGACTTGGTGATGGAGAGGAGTGACTTTACCGAAGGGACCGATGGCGGTTATCATGCAGATCACCCACCCGATTCAGAGAGTGATTGCTTGATTTGGCTGCGTCGTTGCTGATCAGGGCGGCCAAATTTCCCCTGAGCAAATCATCAATTCATCCCCATTGCGTGCCGGTCCTCTCTCTGGCTACGGAGTAGAATGGATGAACGCGGTTAAAGTTCTCGAGATTGGCCAATGATACCTACCTACCTGCCTACTGTACCAACCACACCACACCACATCACCAATTGGCAATTACTTACTTTAGCTTAGCTTCAGGAGCGAGGTTGAGATTGAGATTGAGATTAAAAAGGCATGGGAAACAGTTCCCCGCCGAGATAAGGACATGATGTTACTGCATTGTTGTCGATTGACGAGTTCTTGTGTACGTTGTACAATATCGAGTTGAACAAATATGCTTTCCTTATTAGCCGTGTGCGACTGCGTCAGACGTGTTGTTAGTACTCCCGCAAAACAACGGCCTGGATCGATATGTGTAGGTTTTGGTGGCTTGCCCGAGTTTGAAATTTCCATTTTGGTCCTCAATCTCGATAAAAATGGGTTCGCTCGGGAGGAGCGATGGCGTGGGCGTGGAAGCCGAATTCTAGAAGGCTAACCTCCCGCCCGTCTACAAGTATATACGTGAAATATCTCCAGATGCTTCATCATTTCCATGATTGTCGTGTTTACTTACCTGTAAAAGGCTTTGTACCGTATCGTATCATTAATCACAAGATCGTAAAACGCAATTCAACATCGCAAATTTAGTCCTTCGTAGGTTCATGCAGCTTGACTGACCCGCCCTATCGCCAACCCTGTCCGAGCTTGGCTTGGCTTGGGTCCACTACTGTACAAGAAGCCCCTGGCTGGTTTTACGCCTTCGTGCATCCCCGAACGTTGGAAGTCTCCCTCGTCCTTCATTTGTAACACATCCGCAACCAGGAATCCCTCTTTCGAGCGTCACCGGTGTCACCACTTTCTTCTCCCACAGTCCTTACAGTCCCAGCCGGCCTAGGAGCATCTGTTATTGCTTCATCACCCAGCTTCACCGCCTAATACGGCCTCTCTTCTCCTAATTTCCACTCGAACACCCACCTGAAAACATCAATAGACGCAGGAGGAATTGCGACCGTACAGCTTCCTCGCCTCTCAATACCACTTGAATTCGGAACATTGCCTATTAGGAAGTCTGCGGGGTATTTGGGAACGGAACAAAACTTTCGATCGACCATCTTTTCATTGCGGAGAACTTTCGACTCACCGCCAAACTGACGCGGTGTATGTCTTGATGAAAACGAGCAGTCTGCGTGAAAGAGTAACTGGAGTGACGAGAATTGGAAAGGATGGCGGACACCGCAAGACCGTCGAGCTTCTTGCCGACAATAAAATGCTCCATGTGTGCTCAAGATATCGAAATCTCGCAACTCGGAGAGCATGTTTGTAATGGCGCCGGTATGTATTTGCCCATTCCGCAACCTTCTAGAGCTGATTGAGATTTTGCAGCTACTCCCCCACCAGATAAATCTTTCTCCGGCAGGGCACACAATCGAAATCCTACAAATGGCTCTGGGTTCTTGAATCCTGCTAGAGCGATACCACCAAAAGTCGATACTTCGGCTGCTAGTAAGTCATTACAAGGAATCAGGTGAAATAACGGTACTGACAGCTTATAGACCGTCCGTATTTTTCCCAGAGCCCTTTGACTCCCAGGAGCGATTCACCCTCAAGAACGATGTCTCCAATTGATCGCTCACGTTCACCATTTGGGAGGCCCCTCCGAAGTGCGACTGCACCTTTAGCCAGAAGGCCACCTTCACCCGAAATTCTCTCTTCGAACCTGGATTGTGCCTTCCCTCCCTTTCCAACAAAAGCAGCTCCGCAAAGCCGACCCAAACAGGATCCAGAATACCTTAGGACCGGAAACGGTAGTCCTGATGTAGACCCGATGTATGCGCCTGTTAGCCCGAGAATGGTTAGTAGTGGTGGATTACTCCAGAGGATGAACACAATAGCGCCAGGGCCGTTTGATGTAAATGGTCGAAGACAGGCGCCAGATTCTGCAGCTGGTCGAGGGCATCAAAGACAAGCAACTTTAGGTAACCTAAGGGATCCCACGATGTCCACAAGTACAGCAGAAGTGGGCGGGTCAATACCTCGACCCTCTACCGCCGGACCTGGACCTGGACATTCTCGTTCGTCAACCATGAGTTCGGTTTCCTCAAAATCCGGCATTGCGGCGCCCAAGGTTCCTAGAAATAATGGGTATGGAGGATTTGGACCACCACCTGAGGACAGTGAGCCGCAACCTTTACGCCCCGAAGACAGGTCGCAAACGTTCCCAGCAAGGATTCCAAGTCAGCCCCCTGCCAGGAGGCCTACAGACCCGGGCCCAGCGAAAAGAAAGCAGTCGATCTCAGGGCAAGCAATCTCAGGACCTGACCTCTCAAGGCCTCTTCCTCCAAGAGGCGCTAGCATAATTAGACCTAGGACTGATGCCAGACTTGGTGATGCACCGCCTGTACCCTTCAACCTCAATCTTGCGGCCGAGTTTGGGATTGGCAACCCATATCACACGCCCACAGATTCGCAGTCTTCAGATGCATCTGGGTACAGCGAGGAGAGCAAGGCGAGCTCGCGATCAAGCCCTCCGCTATCAGTCGGCTCTGGTCGATCACCCCGTCAGCCATCTGAGTCTACCAACTTGGATGCTTTGATGTCTGGCCTTCAATCTTCAATGCTTGGTATAGCACCAACCCAGCCACTTACAAGTTCATCCCCTCCGAAGGTCGAGGAGCAATTTGCGCGTTCCCTCGCACCGCCGCCGCTTCTCAAGAGCAGTATGCTTGGTCCAGAATCTCCTATGGATCCTGCAATCCAAAATGGCGGGCGCATCTCTCCTCTTCAACCAATCAAATCTCCTCGTGCGCAAACTCCAAATGGAAACAACACTCGGGAGAAGCCTGTTCGCCGGACCACGGCCACGAAAGGAAATTGCAAAGGCTGCGGCCAAGCAATCACCGGCAAATCTGTATCTTCAGCTGATGGACGCTTGACCGGACGGTATCACAAGCACTGCTTCGTATGCGCGACATGTTCCGAGCCATTCCAAGCCTCGACTTTCTATGTGATCAACGACCGGCCATATTGTGAGCGACACTATCACAAATTGAACGGAAGCATTTGCACGGCGTGTGACAAAGGAATCGAAGGCCAGTTTCTTGAAAGCGAGAGGAAGCAGAAATTCCACCCCGGTTGTTTGACATGCGCAGATTGCAAGAGAAGCTTAAAGCATGACTATTTTGAGATGAACGGACGAGTATACTGCGAACGAGACGCGTTTAGGAGAGCGCAACAAGGCAGACTTCTCGGCCCTGGATTAGGAGCTGGGACGAACAAGATGGAGCGTCGAACGACGAGACTGATGATGTGACCGTGACCGGACTTATGAGACACTGGAACCTATTAACTTTGATTCTTCACAGGAGATCCGCTTGGATATGACCTTTCGACAAAGCGACTTTTTTTTTACCCTTTCTGCATTTACACGGCATGGCCCGCCCGTCTTATACCCTTCCCCTATTTTCGCATCTGGGATTGCATAATTGGATTCATTAAACTATTTGGGGTTAGTTATACCCTCGTTAAGCATGTTGCCGAGGGGTAGCAGGCATTTAAAATAATGTATATATGTATGTAGATATAAGGGAATCAACGTATCGAACGAGGCCCACGACAATCATGTGTTTATGCTGTGACTGCGACTAACTGTAGGTTTCCGGGACGTCATTACGGGTACCCGAGAATACCATGTACCATTACATACGCAGGAGCGGCGGACTGAACACAAGCGTTGCGACATGGAGAGCCTTTCTACTACGGTGTGACTGCACGGAGTATCTGTTCTATTAAAAGCATATGTCACTGTATATCAATGACCATAATCTGACAATATACACAGGTGGTAAGATTACGATCTGGGATCCGGGCTCATACATGGCTGTCCAACGGGCTGCGCCAGGAATTATCCGCAAAGTTTACGGCTACAATGTACCAATCAAGAAAGACGAACGGCAATGGAGCCGATGTAATCAGCAGTAAGGATAATGGATGACGCTTTTCGATTCTGAGGTATTCGTAAAACATCGGAAGAAATCATGAATGAGGTCAAAGGGACAGACAGACTGCTAGAAAATAGCAGATATTTGAACATGGCCTATTTTCTTTCGTGTGTAATGACTTCTCATTGGGGATATATCAATCCCTGGGAAGTGCACTATCTGATCCGGTCTTTGTAATGTTGCGCGGAGTATGAATGAATCAGGGGTTATGGGATGTTTGAATTACTGCATCCCGGAAAGTTGAGGTCGAATGTCGGAGTGAAGCATTTTAAGCTCTTATCATATAGAATGACTCAAGCACTTCGTATCAGACATATCGTTCAATTTTGAAAGGAAAAGAGTGAGAGTAAGGAAAATCCTCACCCTAATTGAAACATCACATTCAGTAATTCACGAGTAAGGTATAAAGGTAATTAATTATTATTGTTCTGATCGTGTACAACGCTACTAGGTCTCAGACATATACAAAAGCTGCGATCCATTAATTACCACCAAAGCGAAAGACAAGTATTAATAAATTTATGCAAACAGGCCCTGTTCAACAAGGCTCTCGACATCCCCTCCCGCAGCCTTAACAGCCCTCAACGCCGCCTGAGAAAGCCTCCTCCTCTTATCCATAGCCTCCTTCTCTCTCCGCGCCTTAGTTTTCGACGACCCGCTGGGCGCAACACCCGTCAAGATCTTCCTGCTATCACTCGGTGTATAGTTGACAAAGTCGCCCGCGCCTCCAAATCCAGGTGCCATTCGCGGCGTCGAGTGCTTGCTCATTTTAGGCGACTTGCGCTTGCGGACGTGGAAACCCGTCCCCGTCGATGGGGATTTAGGTGAGTCCGAGTCGCTAGAGCCGCTCGAGCGATTTTTGCGCACTGGACTTGTTTGCGATGGCTGCCTGGGTGAGGCTTGGTTGTAGGGTCGGCGGGCGTGGTATCTTGGCTGCGGCTGAGGAGCTGAATGCGTGAAGCCTTGTTGCTTCAGGGGTGGCGAGGTGACGAAGGATTGCTGGGGTGTGAAACCTGGCATTTGGATCATGAGTCCTGATGCCATGATGGATGAGTTGCAAGAGATGTCGTTGTTTTGGTATGCTAGGTCGTTCTGGAGTTGGTGAGCGAGGCTCTTGGTGGCGAGCTGCGGGTTGGTGTGATATCCATTTGGTAAAGGCTGGGCCATGGGTGCAGTGGGGGCATGATTCCACCATATCGGTACTTCTATGTCGGCTGATGGGTATATGCTCGGGCTACCAAAGTTGTTGCGCTCTGAAGATCCAGGTGCCTGTCGCCACCAGAAGGCCGTGGTGTTCTGGTGTTGAGGAGTAATCGGAAAACCAACTTCCTCTCCGTTTGATTTCGGAGAATGATCATTGCTCAATAATGGAGTTGTCTGAGGTGTTTGTAATGCAGTAGCTTGATTTATCTGCGGAGTATTGTATGCGGGTCCGTCAGGCCTTCTAACGTCAAGTTCGAGAATCTCGTCCAGGGTGGTAGGTCTATCGGCAACCCCTGTAGGTGATAGAAAGGAAACCGGGTTTTCTTCAAAGTCGAACTTGAACGTCAATGCATCCGCTTGAAGCTTATTTCCCAAATTCTCGATGCTTGACTGGCTAAGATTGGGAGCACGTCCCATTTTTGGGGAAGAGTTCTTTCGAATCGGGCTCCGAAGAGATCTTTCGATATTGCTAGTCGCTTTTTTGAATGTCTTAGAAAGTGATTCCACGAGACGAGTCTTTCTTCGAGAAGCTACAGTCGCGGCTGATGAGGGTGATGATGGTAAAGAATGCTGAGGGGGGGCGAGTATATGAGGGGAATCCAATGTGATTCCTTCAAGGCTGAGAAGCTCGCCATCTGAAATCGCGGCTCTGCCAGACGAGTATAGGCCATTGCCTTGTATATGACTAGGGCGTGATGAGGCTAAGGCTGGATCGAATGTCGCCCAGGAATCGCCTTGCCAGGACTCGCGAGCATTTGTGTTCTTCGAGTCATCTTCGAGGGAGCTCAGGGTCTCGTGACTATCGCTAAGTGATCGTTGCAGATAATTTGGTTGCGGGAGAGCAGAGTATTCGGACCGTTCGCTATAAGTGGGGCTGAACGTCAGGAATTGTTCGAAGAAATCGTGGTCCAGATCCTCGAATCCTTGCCCGAAGAAGTTTGGGTCGGTCCCCTTGTCGCTGGGGTAAGAAGCGACGGCAGAGGAAGACATGCTAAAGAATGCGGACTCGTTAACAAGGTTGGAATAAGGTTTGGGAATAAGGTTTATGTAGTGCTTCTCAGTGGCTTGCAGTGACGGATCTGTAAAAGGCAGGGGAAGTAATGACGAAGTAAACGTGACAAAAACGGTCTGAGGGGAGATACTTATGCGTAGATCAGGTGCCTGAGGAGAATACCAGCCATCTGCATTATTCTGTACATAACTATAATGAAATATCTGGAATGTGAGACCTTCTCGTGATTGACCTTTGTCTTCCACGTGCCACACGTGATAATTGACAGTTTGCACCGCAATCAAACATGACATGGATTCCTCGAGGGGGCGATCAACATTCTCGTTGCCTGCCATTGCATTTGTGGTGGCGAGCTGCGTGCAAGATCAGTGGTTGGGTGTGGAATGCTTCCATTTCACAAAAAGGCGGGGTGCATATCCGCATTCCTCAATGCTCCATGGCTCCGGAATTCGACTGCTAAGCGAATAATACATGAAGAGGAATGGGTGGCGGGTATGGATTTGCTTTCTCGAGCAGTGCTCCAACCTCACACATTACCTGACGTTTGCAGGGCTTACGTACCGTCGGCATAGTTGGCTATGACATATGAGGTGCCGGGGTGATGGTTATCTTCCGCATTATTGCACAAAGAAGACCTTCTCCCAAGGCTGAATTTGAGTTAGCAAAAACATGAAAAGTTGGTATCTACGTTGAGTTTCCAGAGTGTATAGGCATCTAGAGAACTACTCTCGTAAGTAGAATACGAGTACGTATGCGAATCTGATGGGACATGAAGTTTGGATCAAATGTACATAGCATTGCTGAAAACTATCATGGGCGATCCGTTGAGAATACAGGAGGCATAAACGCCATACCTGCAATGAGATTATTAGCAAGGCTCCTTCTATATCTCTCTCCAGGCATACTTACCACCACCAGTACTCTTAGCATCCAGCGGCTCCTCATGAATACCACCTGCAGACCTCGAGATGACATGTCGTCTCAGCATCGCTAGAATTTCACTATTCTTCCACCTCGTCGGCACCGGTCTATACGCTGGCTTGAATGTCCCAATAGTCTGAGCCCATTCCCCGCTCCTCGGGCTGCCCTGTCGCCACTCATCCGTCTCAAGTTTTGGTTCCTTATCCGTGCCTTGAGCATTAGCCGTAGCGCCTTCTGGTCCACGGCCAGCTCCCTCAGCTGTCTCTTGTGATGTAGGCGTAGGTTCCTGCGTGGCCCAATAATATATATCCCAATCATTTTCGTCCAAGAATAGATCGAATTGTGCCATCTGCGCAGGAGTCATATCTCGAAGGTGTGCTTCTGCGAACGTAGACATGAGAAGATCACTCTCCAGTGTTCCTCTCTTGCGGCTCTGATCTGAATCCAATGATTAGCCTAGGCCATTGTTATGGAAGGGGGATGAGTGCGAACATAACAACCTAGCTCTCGTAGTATTCGCATCCTCACCCGTTCTCCTCAACGGCTCAATTTTAAACTTTGCTCCCTCCATCTGCCCAACACCCATCTCAGCATTTGGTCCATCCTCAGGGGCTTTCTGCGTGCCACCCGTCATACGCTCCGTATTCTCCGGCACAGAGTCTTTCGGCACAAAATCCGCATCAACAGACGTTAGGAGCTCCGGAGGCGCTTTCCGAGCTCCCGCAGATGGCATATCGTTTGCGATTGTCGATGTCGTGTTCGTCATATGGGGATTGAGTGGTTTCTCGGTCTGGATCTTGCGGTGGCCTGCTGCCGTTTCGTGTTCTTTCGAGTTTCCGGGACCAGCCAGGCGGCGCGCGGTCATGGATATTGGGCGCGTGAAGGCCATTGAAGGCCTCACGGAGCGTAGAATCAATCTAGCTGACGACATTATGTGATATTTGAAGTGTTGGGGTTACAGAAGATGGTTGATGTTGAGCTCCCTCAATCGAACTGTTGTTGTCTTGAGAGTATACAAGTATGGGGAAGCTCTCGTCTGCGTCATTATGTTTCTACTGCGGTTTTGTCCACGTGACTGTGCGCAGATTTCACACCCCATTTTTAGTGCTTTAGAGAGCATGTAAGCAAGCAGCAAAGTCATATTCTTTCAGAGGAATACCCCTTGTAGAAATATTGTTGCTGTCCAAGGACATGCTCAATCTTGGATGTCATCCCTCAGGTGGGGCGCGCCCCCTTTTCATTAAGCGAAAGATCCCTGCTATTTGAGACTATAAATAATGGTACAAGCGACCGAACTCAATCGTTATATTAGGAATTTCATGCTCGGGGGTCTTAGAAAGGTAGGCTCCTACCATACACCATAGATATCATCAATTTATTCTGCCTAGTATGTTCTATATCATCCCATATCCATGTTCTGTCAGAAGAAAAATGCCGCAGTATTGAAAAAGCATCTCCCCTTTACCTGCGCATAATACCCAACTACCTAGATAGTCATCGCAACCTCCATGCCTCTCTCATACAGTATCACTTTAACGTCCTGCTCTAGGAAGTCAGCGAATAAGGAACCTTGATGCCAGAACTAACAAGTCCAGCTATCTTGTCGTCTACACTCTCAGCCACGGATGCCTCGTCATCGAAATACAGGCTCCTCCTGATAATCAAATTGAAACTGTAATTGGCCTATGACTTCTACTGCTCTCGGGAACGGAAGTCAGATTCATTGGTTTTTGAAGACCAGATTCTTGCTTTACGGTCGGCTCTTTCAGAAGAGATCGCTGGTTGAGGATTGTTTCGGCGCGTTGAGCGATGTCCTCTTCTGGAGTTAGGGGACTGGAGGTAACGATGGGCTGATGAGTTTGATAGCGGTTGGGCCGTTCTTCGAGGCCATCTTCTGCATTGACCTATTCTCTATAAGATTGGTAGTTTGAAGAGAAGGGCACACTTACTGATCGGATGACTTCTAGAAACAGAGCCGTCTTACCAGGTGCTCGTAAATACATGGCCGCGTTGCGCAAATGGATGTCGTATGTTATCCACACACCAATATTCTCGCCCGCAACACCTGTAATGGTATAGACAAGCATATCCTGCACCTTGAAACTCAATATCTTTCGCCAAAGCGATGAACAACAGCACGCTCTTCAAATCCCACGCCTGCAAATCTGCCACGCCATGATCAGGACGTTTTCCCTCCAATAGAAGATCAATCAGCGGCACGATAGTAGCGCTTCCCGCCTCCGCTCAAACCGTAATCATAAAATGGCAGTGCTTAAGTAACACCAATCCAGAAACCTTCAATTTCTTCTGCGGTGGACCCTCTGCGCGGCCCTTGGACCGTCTGTTAGACTCGTCTCGTCTGGATGCGTCTTCATTCACAAAGCAGCCTTCTTGATCCAGCCTTTCAGTGCATCATAAGCCCACCATCCAGGCACCCGATCTGAGAGCAAGAATGGAAACTCGACCTCGAGGCATTCGAGGATAGACCAATGTGCGATGGTGGTGCTATATTTACCACAAGACTCCTTGTAAAGCTCGTTGACTTGGAGCAAGTCCAGGATTCGCTCTTCGATGGCGGTGAATTGGTTAGGGGTGATGTTGAAGCCGAGGAAGATATGTGAGTTTTTGTAGGTGGCGAAGGGTTAAGGATCGCCATCTTCGTTACGGTTTTCGTACCGTTCTTGTGTGGGTGCGGGGAGGCCGCCGCAGATGGAGGGTTTCTTGAACAGTGTTTCGCGGTAGTACTAGGATATGTAGATGGAGCGGTTTAGAGACCATGGAATGTTACGTATGATGAAGATTGAGTAAACAGAGGAGATCGAATCGCTCTTGATGTAACTGCTCTTGGAAACGAGTATTCACAAGAGTGAAAATTCGTCTTCGGTAGCAATGATAGAGAAGTGTAGGATATAAGGCCTAGACGGATTTTGGTCTTTAGTAAACGGTTTCAAGGGGTGAATTGAATACGCTAGACAGTGTCAAAAAGTGAATGCTCATCGGCTAAAGTTTCACCTTGCTTTTATGCTAAGGTGTTTTGTTGGTACTTGTTGCAATAGAGTGGAAGAAAGCTATTGGAAATTCGCTTGGTTGAGCTGAGTTGACCGAAATTCACTTTAACGCTTGCAATTTACAACTTCGCTCCAAGATCAATTTGAGTCTCTGACCGTTAAAACCCTTAGAAAATCGAAATGAATCCTTGAGAAACTTTGGAAAATTGCCCACAATGCTCGAGGTGGATACTAGAAATATTCGCATTTTGAAAGCGGAAGATATCAACACCAAAAACAATATTTTACCTTGCACTTTAGATACTAGGAAACCGGATTTGACTGAATTTGATATATTGAAGATCGATCTGCTGATCATCGTATCTTGTAAAAATCCGGAGCATACTCCACTAGCCAACTCTTCTCGATCTTCGTAACATCCCTTATAAAAGTCTTGTTCCCCGTCTCCATAACCTCATGAAAGATAACCCAATCAGCTCTGCGATTAAACATCAACGAACTCGGATGAGCATGTAATATCGTGCCTCCCGCAACATTTCTGAACGTGCCGTCGGGTTGCATCTTCGCTGCGTGAGCGAAGAATCCTGTCGTTAGACAACGACGGATCTTCTCTCCTTTATCTGGGCCGCCGACTGCTAAGGGGTGCTTGTTGGCGTTGGAAGAGAGCGTTTCATCGACGACGATACCGAATCTCTCGAGGTAGCGTTTCAGCTGGGCTCGTATGCTAACAGCGCGCGTGAGGGCTTTGAAATTGATATAGTTGTCATGGCAGAACTTCGTTTCTTTCCTGCCTTTCGTAACGAAGGCTTGGTAGACATTGAGAAGCGTGATATGATCTCCTTCCTCAACAGCAAATTTCCGACGTGCTGTCTCCATTTTCTTCTTTTCGCCGTCATGATGGAACCAGATATTGCCTCCGACGCTTGTCATTGCTGCAATGGTCAAAATCTCGCTTAGACACCCAAACGATGATGCAGATAGTAGGGTTTTGGCCATCATGGGCTCTACGGCTAATTCTGCCATGCGCGTGCCGAGTGGACGCGTCAACTTGGCGTAGTCGTCGAGTGCACCGAGGGAATAGAGGAGCTCAAGAGCACGAATGACGAGTTCTGCTGGAGGGGAGGTGATAAAGTCGAATCGAACAATGTTGTCGATTCCTAAAGCCTTGAGCTGTAGAATGACGGGCGCTAAGTTTGACCTTTGTATCTCTGGTATCGTGGCGTCCTCAAGCGATTGGAATGTTGACTCTGTATATAGGCGGTAGCATTTTCCAGTCTTTGTTCGACCAGCCCGCCCTGCTCTCTGGGTAGCCGATGCTTTCGATATAGGAGTAGCTGTCAGTGTTTCAATGCCCGTCAAAGGATTGAAAGCTCGTAATTTGACGAATCCAGTATCCACAACATAGACGATCCCGTCGATTGTGATAGATGCTTCTGCGATATTTGTGGAGAATATGACCTTTCTCGTGTTTTCAGGTGCCTCTTCGAAGACGTACATCTGCTGCTCTGTCGATAGTCCCGCGTATAACGGTAGTGGCATAATCGTTTGTGCTCGAGGATGCAGATTCGCAGCTCGTTCAGAGATTGCTTGTACAGCAGTATCGATCTCTTCTCTTCCCGTAAGAAAGACTAGAATGTCTCCATCGGGTTCCTTCGTATGTATGTCAAAGACCGTTTGCACGGCCTTCTCAACGTAGTCCTCAGCAGGTTTCTCTACATACAGAACGTCGACGGGATACATTCTTCCCTCCAAACTGATGATCCTCCCAATGTTACCACCGAGCACATTATCGGTATCTGGAGCTGTTGAACCGCCTTGAGAAACCAGATCATCAAGAGTCACAGCAGCTGGGGTGGCCGGCTTCGGCTGGATTTCGGTGTCTCCTGCGAAGAATTTGAGAAAATCCTCTGCTTGCAAAGTAGCACTACTAATGATGATCCTCAGATCATTCGGGCGCCTCTTCAAGATCTTCTTAAGCACCCCAAGAAGAACATCCGTGCTCAATGATCGTTCATGAGCTTCATCCACCATGATCACCGAATATCGTGACAGCAGGGGATCTATGAGAGCTTCTCTGAGTAATAGCCCATCTGTTAAGAACTTGATGCGTGTCGAAGCTGAAGTGACATCTTCAAATCGGATTGAGTAGCCGACTTCTTCACCAACTTTACATCCTGCTTCTTCAGCTACTCTGATAGCCACTGTAGTTGCCGCTACTCGACGAGGCTGAAAAAGTTAGCTTCCTGTGATGTATTCACGGAGCAAGGCTGGCTTACCTGAGTAACTGCAATAATCTTGCCCTCTGCACACCATCCTGCTTGCTCTAGATACTGAGGTATCTGTGTTGTTTTCCCCGAACCGGTATGTCCAACGACAATTGTGACTGGGTACTTCTCTATTAGGTAGAGGAGATTCTGCCTGTGCCGAGCGATGGGGAGAAGTGACGCTGGCTTGTGTAGGGAGGGGATAAAGTTGGCAGAGAGGTCGAAGTCAGCCATATTGTGAAAGTCACATCATCACGTGTAGATGGTCCTCAAAGACTGGAGCTTCTTCCCCTTCTCGTGAGGTCACGAGATGGTTGGGATGCAAAAAAGGAGTATATTTTAAATGTCGTTTACGCAAAAAGTGGAGCCTGATTTATGTAGCCTCAGGCTAGCAAAACCATTTTCCACTCCAAGAATGCGTTGCTCTTTGGTCTCGCATTCCTCTTGGATGACTGTTGGTTATTGCTGCCGGTAAAATGCCATTTATCTTAACTTTCATTACGGTACACAGGGCACAGCACAGTACAGTACTGCTAGCACAGCTTACGGATAATAATCTGCATCGGGTTAATTATCCACGCCGTTGGCTGTTGTTGTGCGACTTTGTGCACCTACTCTAGAGGCGAGGCGTTAATTTTAATCTCTCACGCTTCGCGCTGCCAACCACAGCGAGCTAGGGTCGAACGCTGATCGGATAAGGGGTGAGTGAGGGCTGAAGAAGTTACAGTATGTTGCTCAAATGTTGACTTGAGATGAGGAATCGTCGTGAAGGACAAGACGCGACTTTGACCTCTACTTTACTCTCATAAATTTACGACTACTATACTCGAGACCTTTTGATGCTGTCAAATCACATCTTTTGGGTGGCGCAGAAACAATTTGATGAGGTTTGTGAGGCTTGAGAGCAGCATCCCTGTGGGCGGTTCCTGAGTAACCTGTTCTGGAAGCTCCTGTTGTGGACCTGCAGACTTATTTAGATCATGTCCGCCACGCCTCAGGTTACCTATGTCACGCTTCGATCCTGTAAGGGAGGTCGTCCAAACCATTATTGTGTAGATCAAGAATGGTTTGATAGCTACCTATAGAAGAAGCATGTTATATATTTGTAGAGAGTGTAAGAATTCAGTGAAATCTATCTGTCGATTATTAATTCCCGAGTACTTGTACCTTATTCCCTTCCCTTCTTCCCCAGCTTCATCTCATCTCGTTTTGGGATTCAATGCCTGCCCCTCTGCCCCCTGAGCTCCACCAATCCGAATGACTTTCGAGTGGCGAGACTCCGCATCGGCGCATTAGTACGGCCCAATACAGGCCAATCAACACCCGTCCGTCTTCTATTCCCACTCTCAACCTGCTCTTCAATCGCTTCCCCTTCTTCCCTCTTCTCATCACCACGAAGCCGTCAACTCGATTGCCTGCCAGACGGGCTTGCCATTCATTCAATTTGGTCACTGTCACTGTCACGACCATCACACTCTTTTACTCATGTTCTGACCGTAGTCATTCTTTCGAAAACCACTGCTTTTGCGAATTTGCTTCATCGACTGTTCAGGTGTAACCGGTAGCCAGCTACGGGTTTGAGGTTGAGCGTTTCATTACTTACTCCGAATACTGCTGCCACCGACAACACCGACAACCACATTAATCGCTTTGTACATATCTCCCCACACTGCTCGCACCTTCCTGTTCCCATCGACAGCATCACGACCCCAAACACCATTTGTTCGCTTTGCTCAATTCACACCAGCACTGGTCCCAGGGCTGAGCTACCTCCGCCAGTATCGTCAATATGGAGCACCACGAAGCAGTGAATGTTGTGAGGCTGGGCCCTCGGATACCACATCCAGAAGCAGTGGGTATGATGGGCAATGTAATGGAAATCGCGGTCCCAGGTCGCATCGTCGAACGCACCCCACCTACTGGCACTGAAGATTCATCATCATCCACAACCTCAACCTCCTCTAGCTCCAGCTCTTCAAGCTCTTGTGGTGCGAATTCATGCGAGAAGGGGGTTGGCGGCTCTACGTATTCTCTGCCCATCGCTCTTGGTATTGTGTAAGTGAATGCATCATTTGTGTCAGCATCAACTCTGACATAACTTTAGTATCCCCCTGGTTGGCGCCCTGGTCTTGTTTCTTTACCTCCACCGTAGACATGTTCGCAGACAGAGGATCGAGGATGCCAACGATAGACACGCGTCTATGGACTTCGGATTGGGAGACGTGCCTCAACCTGGCCGACCTAGGAAGAATAAGAATGGGCCAAATATGACTGAGATGGATCTTGGTGGAGAAAAGGGAATCACGCATGCAAGCCAGCGATCTATGGACTTCAACATGGAAAGCCCCTATCTTCTGCCTCCGGAGGTACAAAACTCTCGGGAATCTCTGCATTCTTTGTCAAGGTCGACCGAAGACCCCTACAGACCTGTTACTCAGTACTATCCAGGCGACGAGAAGTCAATTCGCTCCCTATCGAGGAATAATGGCTCCTCCATCTACACCGGTTCCAGCATGGCGCCATCAAGAATGCATGATACAGGTACATCAGAGCTTCTACCAAATGCTTCGAGTATGCCCCGAAGCCATCCTCCACGCGTCAACTCCCTTCACCAAAGCAATGCGCTTCCAGGTTCTACCGATTCTCGACCACCGGTTCCACCTTATCCTTCTGAGCCACCACAGGCTCATCTCCCCGAACCACCACACTCAGAAGAGATCAATAGCAAAGGCCTGCCCACAAGCCCTCGCCCCGGACAAAGTCTGGCCCCAATTTCCCCTACTGCTGGAAATGACCGGACATCAGTTGCTAGTGACAATGCTGCCATGAGGCAAAGCAACAACTACCTGGGTGCTTTCATCATTGGCGACGACGAAGCGCCAGCACCTCTAAGCACGCCCCCAGAGACAACTCGCAAACCTCCACCTCCAATGATCAATACTCTTCCACCGAGCTCCCAGGCCTTCGAAGAAGATGATGATCAGTATGGTGATGGATTCAAGGTCACTCCCCCTTCTCCAAGCCACGATGCTGAGACTATGCGAGGTCAGAGGTATTCCATGGATGTTCCTCCAGAAGAGTTTGCTCAAGCTGGTTTGGGCGCCCCTGGGTTTGACCCAAAGCGTCTCTCTATGGGATTCCGTCCATTGCCCCCAGACGCTGTCACCGAGTCGGATGATCCAGAAATCAGAGCAAACAGAATCCGTTCTTTCTACAAGGAATACTTTGACGACTCGAAACCAGATCCATCTGGAGGTCAGTACTATGAGGATTATGACGAGAATTACTTGGGCGAGGCCGCCTACTTCGACCCTGACACTAATGCGTTTGTTATGCCCTACTCACAACCTGTCACACGTCGTGCCATGACACCACCTCCAAGAGGCAGATTTGGAGGGCCGCCCCGTGCTTTGCATGGTTCAATGGGTGCAATGCCTGGACCTCGAGGACAACCAGGCCCAAGAGCCTTCTCTTCGGCCTCAGGTCGTCCACCGCCAAGGAAGCCAATGCCTCCCCCATCAGCTCTCAACACCTTGCCAACTCCCTCAAAACTCAAGGACGATTCATTTGCTCTATTGAATACTCACGAGTTCGCGCCACCACAAAACTATCGTGACAGAGTGGCTGGTAGATCTGATAGTCCACTCGGAGAGAGACGTCCGTACTCGCCATCAGTACCCGCGTTTACTCCAACCGTCAGTGCTTTTGATGAGCTCGCAGCCATGCCAAGCCCGTAAGTAGTTAAATACATTTTCCACCGTGATATTACTAACCCGACGATAGACATCTGCTCCGCAAGTCTGGAACCTTTACCGGACTGGATTTCGCACCACCAAAGAGGATTAGGGATCCTGATAGCATGAGTGACGCCGGCAGTATTCGCAGCAACCGCAGTGGTATCTCGAAGGTACAGCTAGGAGCCATCCGTAGTGGAGCGTACCGCATCAGCAGAATCCCCAAGGACGCCGTCTTCACGAAGGACGATCTAGCTGCGACGCTGAAGCCATCGTGGGACATGCAAAGATGATGAGCCAGCCAGCAATAATGTCTGTTTCTTTCGTAGTGCGTTTCCCCGCTTGGGGCTATGACTCGAGGCATTTGAGCGTGCATTTTTGATTTCAGTCGCAACATGGCGACCCCACCTACACACATACAAAACAGCATCTCATGTCAAAAGGGACTGGCTGTGACGAAGCTATTTGCTCGCTTTTCTAAGGGTTGGGTTACTACCGACCTCTCTGGGTAATGTCTTTGTAATAGAATTGGGATGGTGCTACCGTTGGTTTTCAGGTGTATTGAAATTTGCATATAGATGCCAGACACTGACAACGAACTGGATATTGAAAAAGTGCCTGGTGAAGTTTTTTGTGTATTGTACATCATAACAACCAATGGAACATGGAAATGGGACAAATTATTTCCTTTATGATTGAACATGTGTAAAGTGAATTTGTGCATCGCTGAACAAATACTGTAGCCCCTGTTCTTATCGTGGTAAATAATATATATATTATACCTATACCAAGTAAATGTTCTGACGTCAACTCCTTTTACCCATGCTCGACTTCCTTGTCAACCAAAAGTCCAGGTCAGAAATCAGGATACCGAATGTCTCGATTCTACGCTTGGTGGGTCTCCAACCTCTAAAATTGACGGGACCGTATAATGTTTTCGGGGAGAGAGGAGAGGAGAGCAGTTTGATACCAACTGTAGCGATGACGAGGGGTGAATGAAGATGGGGAGGAACATTTTTATACTTGTACACCGTGCCAGTAGAAAGCCGTGGTGGTTGAAACCGGAGGCTCCGTTGAAGGAAGATAGGTATGGATATCCTCCGCCATTGGGAATGGGAATCTGGATCTGGGAGTTCTTTTTGATCCTGGACTGCAGATTGGACCCTGAACTGACGGGGTACTGTACTCGGCACAGGTTTTACATTTTGACTTACTCTGTACTTCTTCGTGCTATAGCTATGAGGGCGAGAAGAGAAGGAGAATTTATGTAATTGAGATCTCACCCATCTGATCTAGTTTTGCTTCTAAGCGATGAATTCTCGGAGTAAGGCGAGCCCAGGCCAGGTGACAAAGGAAAAGGCAACGTTGCGGCTGGAACTGGACAGACTACACAGCCTCAATGTCACGCTTTTCATCGCTGTACACTGTCGAGACTGTACAGTACTAAAATCCTCAAAGCTGGCGGACTCCGCCATGCCCGGGCCCCGTAGTCCAGCGCTAGAGAGTCAGCAGTGCAGCGCTATCGAAGAAACGGTCGTTAAAGGGCAAAAAGATGGGCTCCGCTCCCTCTTCGTAATAATATGTAGAGTTTAAATTTTCTAAAATAGAAAAGACAGAGAGACGATTCGCTGGTAGAAGACGGAGTAGCAAGACTTGCTGGACGGGGTTAGAGGGACATGCTAAGTGACTTTATGGGCCATTCAGATCGTCGTGTGGAGTCCTAAAGCGGATAGGAGTGGGACAATTGTCACCCGTATTCGTGGTTAGTTTGGACAACTCGTATTAAATTATTCTGCATCTATCCATAATTCGTTCATCCTGGTAATGTTCAAGTTCTTGTCGCACGCACGTACGCACGCACCACACCGTATTCAAGTCAAGTTT